CAAGCAAGCAAGATTTTAGCATAATGCATGTTTAGTATGGTTTCAGGCCTTTTACTCCATATACAAGCTGTAAGAAATGTTTTCCTTTGTCCCTGTCTGATCCCACCTTGACCTCTCTCTATCTGGTTGTCCTCCATCGGAGCTCCAGGAGTGTGCAAGAAGCAAAGACACGCACACACGTGCATCAAAGTTCCGAGACACACTCGTTTATTTTGGAACGGAAGGGCTTTTTCATACACTTAGAAGCAGACATGGCTGGCAGTTCGTCAGTACAGAGATAAACAAAATTTCTAAAAACAATATTCAAATGAGGTGTGAAAGAAACAGGAAACCACGACTGAACAAGACGTGGCTGCCAAGAAATGTATTTGCAGGTCAAGATGTTCTCTCCTGACACAGACATATGATGATTAATCTAATGAACTTGGTGTGCCTGTAGAACAGCTTTGCACAAAAAAGGTTTTCCTTTTAAGAAAATCCACTTCCTTCCACAAGTTGTTTGACTACAGTCCATTCTCTGCTCTTCTACACTGCATATTCAGTCAAAAGCTAATTTAAAATGATAAATTAATACTCTATTTATTCCATTTTACTCCAAACTACATGTCTTATTTGAATACTCAATTAGGCAGACACACATTAAAAGGAGTCTGGATAACTATGCCCATCCCTACACTGCACAGACCTGCATTTAAATTGCTCCTTGAGGAAGACAGAGAAGGGGCAGCAGCACTGTCCACTCCTCATCCTCATTACACCCTCCACTCATTCCTCAGCCTGCAGGGTGATATCTCCATGACAACCATGGAACAAGAGAATGCAAATGAGCATCCATGCTGAGGTGTACTAGCAGGAAAGGTCAACTGCAAACCACTTCCTTTTTCCTCATGTCTGTTTCACTTCCATTGTTTGAATGCACACGCATTGCCTCAACGCTGAGAATCAGTGAAAACGGGAAGAGCAAAAGAACAGCAGCAGCACTTTAAAAAAAGGCTGAGACAGGAAAAGCTCAGCTGAACACAACTTCCCTCTCATAAATTTGACTATGTACGCCTACACACATCAACAGAGCCAGGGCACCAAGCTTATTCTGAATGGTAGGATATTACTACTGAAGATTTAGTAGAGCTACTTTAGTCGGACTCTGTGCGTAGTCCTCGGTTAGACATATAGATGTTAAGTACACTTAATAAAGGCGATTAACAAGCTGAATGACACATCAACTCACTACAAAGCCGATGATTGAAAAAAATATCAGTCCAATGTTGATCATTTCATTTCGAATTTGACCAATAACACTAACCCTGGCAACACAATGCAACCCAAAGGATGATGCATAGGACAATTTCCTTCCTCCATACAGGCTATGCACTTTCCACAGCATCCCTGGTATTAAAAAAGCATGGTGTAAAAAGAGGAAGAAATGAATGGCATCTCACCTTGCAGCATAACACCTCGCAGTATGACTTGCTAATCAGGTTCAAGGGCGGGTGATGCTATAGTAACACTGCCAAAGCAGAGGCGCAAAGACGTAATACTACTGCAAAGCTTCTTTCACAAAAACACAGAAAAGCGATATATTTCAAGTGCATTCAAATAGGCCTAGTTAGGCTGAACCCTGTCTGAGGTCAACCCCTGATGTCTAGATGCCTGCAGATTGCCTAATACCACTGGATTTGGCACCACAAACTGATTTACAGATTCAAACATAGGCTTTGCAGTCACCATTCATATTTATTGTAGTTCTTGTAGTTGTAGCTTCTATTATACCTATGTAGGAAACTGAAGTCTGAGTTTTGCATTGAAATGATCAGTCTAATCCGTCTCTGACGATGTGCAATGCAATCGTTTTTCCTCTGATCTTTTGAATAGGACTAGGTCCCAACTTGATGGCACAGGATCACACAGAGTCTCAACCACAGGCATGTGATTTGCAAATATGTAGCGTCAATTCACATTTGTTCTCATTCTGATCTGCTTGGCTTCTGGGCCTGATTATACTTCTAAAATACAAGCCACACATCTGTCTGTTTGTGCACATTAGGGCTGCACAACTTTGTTTCTATCATTTTTCTTTGCTTTAACACAGAACTGGTAATTAGTAAGTACTGACACACAATGTAATCATTTGACCACTTGTATTACACTGGTTTTGCATTACATTTATTGAATTTTTTTACTGAACCTCTCATATTTCTTTCATAACTCCACAGTGAGTAAATTAAATATGAAATGAACAGATTATCGCATAATCAGATTATAACTGTTTAAAAGAGTTGCCCTGGCAGGTTTTGAAAAGGAGCCTACAGCAGCAGACTTGTTTACTTCCATCATCTGATCAATCACAGTCTTACTGACATATCAGAATTACTATAATTTTAAACAGCAGGAGTAGACAGACTTGCACTGACCAATAGAGCCAAGAAGCCATTTAATCCTGTGGCCAAAATTAAGATTCTGCAGCCAGAATAGTTAGGTTTGTTCAGGATATATTAACTTTTTTCACTTAGAAAATCAACAAAACATGGAATTTGTGTAACGTTTGCATATTAATGTACATTATATTTATGAGGACATATGTCAGTAACAAAAAAACAGTTAAGTGTTGCTTTGAAAAGCAAATATTTGTCAAAAACTTTACAGTAAATCGCCACTGTGGTGACTACGATGGTCCCTCCAGCTAAGCTGGTCTTCCCGACATCATTTAGCTTATTCAATGATAGCATCTTGGTGTAGCACCAGCATATGTAATACCTTATTTTATTAAAGCATTTATTTCATATTGATATCAGTCAATGGAAAAGTATCAGTGGTGCCAGGTGGACCAACTTAGAGGGTAGGACTACCATAGTCACCAGACTGCCATTTTAGCTACTGTGGTGATTACAGTTAAAGAGTTGCAACAAAATCAGAACTGTCTGATTAGTTCTATGTCCAACTAAATAAGTCTGTTAAAAGTGAAAAGGAATGCTAAAAATCTCAGACCTCAAAGGCTGAAAATCTCAAACCGCAAAGGTGGAAAATCTCAAACCTCAAAGGTGGAAAATCTCAAACCTCAAAGGCGGAAAATCTCAAACCTCAAAGGCGGAAAATCTCAAACCTCAAAGGCGGAAAATCTCAAACCTCAAAGGCGGAAAATCTAAAATCTCAAAGGCTAGTGGCCACTGCATTTTAGTGACCAAATGTGAAATGCTGTGGTCAGGGGCACTGGGTGATAGATACTGTCTACCCTTGGGAAACGAGATGATTGTTCTTGTCACTGTTACTGTTGCATTCATTTAACAATCTTAGATTCCCTTGATTAATGTTCTGTGATTGTTTTATGCAATTAACTATCCGTATTAGAAATTACACTGAATTCCAATGCCATTACAGAAGTTAGGACGTCTGAAACGTGTTGAGACTCGACATGGAACAACCCTATTGTTTTCCCAACTGCAGTTGGTTTGCATAGCTGTGCTGGTACTTGGCACTCTCTCCTAAAGGCCCGCGGTCATTGTGCACATGGCCCAAGGACTGCTGAGGACACGAGGAGCGTACACTGAGTGTCCCAAACTTAAGTGAGCACATGGCCTGTCATGCCCCCATGCCAACAGAGGACTTTACTCAGCCTACCAAACAGGGAGCTGAGCTAGCAGTTTGACAGGATCTGAATGTTAAGAAAAGTTTGCCAAGTTATAGCTGAAACTAGTACACTGAAACAGTATTGTTTGTGTTCAAACTGACACCAAGAGTTTGGTTCAGTCAATAGCATTTACACAAAAAAAAGTCACATTATTGTGGTCCTTGTTCTCAGAGGTGCTTTTTCATGTCATGTATTGTGCAACAGACTGTGCAGTCGAGTTTTAGTTTTGCTTTTCTCTCTAGAGCTTACTTCCATAAAACACCACAAGTACTATGACAACACTGCTCATCTGAAGTAAACAGGATGTGGGTTGTGAAAGGATGTCTCAAAGAAGTTACACCATTGATTCTACACTCTTTCTTCTGAAATCAAGATAATTAATAGAGAGTTTGTCCCATTATTGCAGCAGTAACAACCTCTGCTCTTCTGGGAAATCTCTATCCTAGATGTTGTAACATTGCTGCGGGGGCCTGATTGCATAATTCAACCACAAGAGTGTTAGTGAGCTCAGGTACTGACGATGGATGATTAGTTCTGGATTACGTCACTTCAACTCACCCCAGAGGTACTGGATGGGGCTCTGTTTCTCCAGAAAACGCAGCTGCTCCACAGCCCAGTGCCACAGGGCTTTATACCCCTCAAGCCATCGCCTGGTACTGGGCATGATGACTTTAGGCTCATATGCGGCTGCTCCAGAGGCCCATTCTACAGACAATGCTTTCCAGTGGAGAGCTGGAGGGTTGTGTTTGTGTAACTGAATGCAATATGGCAATGGGTGCACCTTAAAGTAGCTACAGTCATTAATTAGAAAAAGTGCCAGGATACTTTTGGACATACATCGCACCTACAAACTGCACAAGAGTGAATTCACAAATGTTACAAACTGGGTTCTGCCTATCTTAGCTGGTTCTGATTATCTTAGCCTGTCCTTCCACTCAATTAGTACAAATTCACATATGGTCCTAGTTGGGATCTGACTGTCTTAGCCTATTAGGCATATTAGACGCAGCTGTTTCTGCAGTCGAAAAAAGCTTAGCTCAAGTAAAGCATTCAAAAAAAAACTTTCGTGCTTGCAGAGATTTTATTGATTATGCACTGGATCTATTTCCCTCAGCTGGCTGGTCATCCAAAGATGAGCAAAGCACCTGCATGGGAAACGATGCAGCAGCGTTTCTGCCTTCATGCATCACATCCCTTCAACAATATCTGTCCAGTTCATCCTGTAATTTACCTAGGAAGGCCTATATTTTACCCATATTTCACATATATAGTTTAATATCCACATATGCATTTGCTTATAGGGAAACTAGCCCATTCAGACCACTGTGCTCGGTTTTATTTGGCTGCCGGGGTTGTAGGACCAGCTTTCACTCACCTTTGGCTCGGCAATCAGCACAGAACTTGTTCTCCTCCAAGGCGAGCAGGGACGTGAGGACAGCCTGATAGCGGTCAACGTCTTTCACAGATTTGCCCGTCATTCTCAATCCAGCCGAATTACTTCTCCTCTCCTCAAATCCTACGGAAACTCCTCTCTCTTTGGTATCAGTCGCAGCTCTTCGTGTGGGAAAGAGAGAAAGTCCAGTTTCTCAGGCGCTGTCAGCGTAAACACAGCTGATTCTGTTGGTTGGTTGGGGGAGATTTCCAAATTAGCTGCGAGCGGCTAGCAAAGTAATGCAGCAGAACGGAGGAAAAACCGTTATGTGGACTTTGTTAGTTAGCTTTAGCAGACGAGAGGCTCCCAAACAAGCGACACTGTAAATATCAAGAGGACATTATTCGGCGTTAAAGTGGCCGTTCCTTGCGTTTCACCCTAACGCTGTTACTTCACACCGCCGAAATACAAACGCCTCACCGCGGCTCTCTCTCTCTCACTCTCACCAACCAACGGCGCTGCTGCCGTCTTCCTGTTTCCGCTGGCAGCCACAGCACAGCAGCCTTTCAGTTTTCAGCGTTATTTTTCGCCGCTATGCGCTTCTCCCGAATTACTCTGAAAATGTAATAAGACCCCCAGCTTATGACAGAACACATATGATTCACAGAGGTAGCTAAATGACTGGTTCAAGACGTTTTGTGTACAATGTGTTTCCAAAATTGGAGAAATTGGGCCATCTGCTGGAGAGACTGTGCAGTGCAGAGAACCATGGCAACCCTGGAGAACAACGTACCGTGAGGGGTTTTGTTAAAACGGTTTACATTTCTAAACGCTTCATGACAACTTTCATTTCATGTGATGCTTTTTTTTCATTGTTATTATTACTTCTTGAATCTAGCTCGGTTATGTTCCCAACTTTTCAGCAATGAGATGTGCCAATGCGAATATTTGTCGCAAAATACTACAACACCCATGATGCATTGCGCCCAGAGCTGGCGTTTTACCTGTTGAACTCTATGGCTCAAATTATTTATGAAAATATTATTTTATTATGTTAAAACATTATATATTATTATATTAAACTAAAAATAATAACTTTATGAAAATGTTTAAAAATGAACCTCAAACACCACAAGAGCGCTTTCGTGCGAACAGTGGTCGATATTTGACATGGGTGAAAAAAGGAGACTGGGCCTCATTCACCAACCGATCTTAAGAAGTAATTTCTTCTTACGCAGGTTTTACGAAGCAGTGCTTTCCTATTTGGAATTTGTTCACACACAAAGGTGCAAACAATTCTGTGGTTTAAGAACACGTCATGAATCTGACGTAGACTTTTTCTTAGGATTTTTCTCAAGAGGCAATTTAAGAACAAACTTAGGAAGGTATTGGTAAATGAGGCCCGATAAAATTACACCTTTTCTCGAAGACTTACTGAATTAAAAAGGGACGTATGAAGTAAAAAAATGTACTTGAGGGAAAGTTAAAAAACGACATTTAAACATACAAAGGTATTTAAAAGTCAAAGCTAAACGTTTTAACAAACACATTTTTATTGTTTGGTGTGGGGTTCAAATTAGTAAACGTTAGCAAAGATGTGGGCAGTTTTATTTTACAGTAATATTAATATGGTTGGATATTTAAATAAAAACAATACATTCAAATGCACAGGAACTCTATTTGGCTGATTGGCAAGAGAAAAATATTGGCCTTTGAGACTTTTATTGAGTACTTTGCAGGCCTTAATGAAAACATGAAGATTAAAAAGAATGGGTTTTTATTTCCTCTGGGAAAAGTGAATAAGATCATTTAAGTATTGTAACCAAGTACAATTTCTCAAGTTTTTTCCAACTGTGTTGTTCAATTATTTAATTGTTTAAAAAAATAAAAATACATTTAAAAAAATTGCTCAGCAGAGGCTGGAATCAGCCTTTCACTCTTTTCTGTTTTTTTTATTGGTGAAGGGCAGATCTGTGCAATTAGTTTCCCAACGTTCTGTTAGTTGTTTAATATTCATGAGAATGATAATTAGATTGATGCTCCACCCCCTCAGGGGTCCACAGGTCTGTCCGGTTCTCACAGTGCTGGGCTCTGAGCTCCCTGAGTTCTCAGGGGCTGGCTGTACAGTTGGGTTACACCTCTCATCCCCCCTCTCGGGTCCCTGCAGCCGTGTTTTTTCTCTTCCGCTCTGGGCACCAAATACTCTCCCACACATACGTGCACCTTTCTCTTGGCCGGAACCCTTCTGTCCTGGGCTCAGAGGCCAGGAGAGGAGAGGAAAGGCAAGGAGCAGTCCCTGGGAGCAGTGTTTCAGAAGGAGAGAGGAGCTAGAAGTGAGTCATCACCATGGCTGGACACTTTACCTTCCTGGTCCTGCTGCAGATGCTGTGCCTGGCTTTGGCTCAAGTGGTGAGTGAGGCTGGAGATAACTGTTCTTCGCTGATGGTGCTGGCTGGCTTGTGTGATCCAAGGTTGGCAAAAAAAGACAGAGGAGGGAGGATAGTGCAGTACTTTATCTGAGCTTTATTGTTAAAGCTCAAAATAACCATTAGATTATCATTAGAATCATTTTACTGCTGTATTCAGCAGATGGTTCACCACATAAACCGGCAACAATTAGACATTATTGTTGCATTATTGGTGCTGGTATTATTTTCATGTTTACAGTCATTAGACCCTTCGGTCAGTTTCAGCTGTACATGTTCTTTAGCCTAAACTTCCCTTTAGATTCCCAGCAATGTACTTTTGTTGCTGTTCTACGATAATGTTCGACATAAACATTAGGACAAGCAATCTAACATATGGTTGTATTGAGTGAAATGAAAAGGAGGTTCAGAATGTGGCCTAGACACAGATGGAATGTAGTGGCTGAGTGCGGAAACAGTCAACAAGGACCCCTTTCAGGCTTTCTGTTAGCAGTTACTAACCTGAAGGTGCTCTCAGAGAATCACACCTACTTGGGAATATTGGAAAAGCAGCACGGACACAACATATGGATTTGTTGCATTGAGAGACCTTGTATTTTACTTGTAAGACATACAGATTCCTAAAAGAATATGATTAATGTTTTTGTTATAGTCATTATACATGACTGTCTGCTGCTAAACTGAATCAAACTGAATTCTGTAAAGGGGGCTGGGGGTGCGAGGCCTTGGTAAACATCACCATCCCCCATCACCACACTGTCCCCCCCTAAACTTTCCTCAGTTTCTTTAATTTTAGTCTACACTGCTACACCAAGATAGATGGTGTCTTTTATTACAATAAAATAGAATAAAAGATTGAAATAAGTTTGGCATCCATTGCAATAAAAGTATGTAAACAATATTCAGTCATGTTGTATATTGAAGCAGATGATTCTGGTTCACAAAAGCTTAGCTTTTTGTTGACACTGAATGCACTGTTCCTGTAATGGGTTAGATAAATAAGTAGGCATCTAGATATTGTTGATGTTGAATTAGTAAAATTAATTTTGATATTATGTTCATATTTAGAGTTTTTACCTCTGTGTCATTGTCCATTTTTACTTCAGTCTGGAAACTATATATAACCGTAATGTACTGTTTCTCTTTAATTAAAGATTTATGGTCACAAAGCATTAATTTATAAGATTCTTTATCAATAAACCTAAATTCCTTGCATGACCTTCCTCATTATGCTTTAAGTGTATTAAGGCCATGCATGCTGTAGGTTTTTAAAAAGGGTGAAGCTGAGCGTATCTGTTTTACTGTATTTAATTTCAGAACGGTCCACAAGGATCACAGGGCCCGCCCGGTCCCCCTGGCCCTTCAGGAACCCCTGGAGCCGACGGCATTGATGTGAGTATTGGAGCCGCTCTGTGGTGCCGCAAGTCCGAGCCGTACAAAGACAGTCATTGTGTGCTCAGTTACATGGAGAGTGCTTCTACTTGCAATGGCACAATTTTCTCAACAGAGGGCGCCAGAAATGAAAACAAGTGTACAATAGAGTCCTGTTAATGCAGAGAGCTAGCTTTATAAGGTAAAGCTGTGAGGAGGCCCCTAGGTAAGAATCTGGCAATTTGATACTCACCGAGCTAAGAGTGGTAGTGGACTTGCACTGAGTCTAAAAGAGACCAAATGTGACGTATTAAACTGTGCTGATGATTAGCAATGACCTTAGTGCGGTAATCAGCAGTGACCTTAGCACAGTGTAATTATCATATGCATCTCTAGATGATGAGGTCTAATCTAATGAGGAAGAATGGTGATCATTATTATGTTGTATGCCTAAGCATGAATGAATCAAGACTGTGGAAGACTCACTTCGGTATAGACTAATGCTCATTTTCAAATGACAGCTTGAATATAAAGCCAAATACAGGGAGGTGTCTATCTGAGGGAGGAGCGTGTTGGTGGGAGGAGTCATTTAACACATAAATAAGGATACATGATGATGTAGATGACCCTGCTACACCCCTCATTCAGTATGCACTTTTTAAAAGGGAACTGAAGTTATATGAATCCACTTTAGAATCATGTTATATAGTATTTTATAGTATTTAATTAATATGCTCCACTACAGAAAGTGTTATTGTTCCTCAGTTATGCATCATATAACCATAAATTAGTTTTTATTTTAGCATTAATAGAACATTTGCCTGTGGTCAAGTGTTTCACTGTTGACTATACGTCAGACATAGACATTATGAGTTGTTAAATGTGATATTTACAGTTATTAAACTAAATAAGACTATTAATATTCTTAAATATAATATATTGATTTAATATTAATATTTTGATATTTCTTTTATTTCTCATTGGAAATATGATATGCTAATAAAATTATTTTTATTATTATTTTTTTTTCATAACTTTGAGACTTGACACCTCTAAGAGTTCTAAGCCCAAGTACACTAGGTTTTATCTGTTCTGATATTCTTTCTCAATGCTTTTAACAGGGTGAAAAGGGACCCCCAGGGCCTCCTGGACCAGCAGTAAGTAACTATCAAAGAGAAGTGGTAATGTAATTCCTGCAGATGCACCTTCTGAAACACTTTTTAATTTAACTATCATCTTTACTTTTCTAGCCACCAGTCTGCTTAATATAACTTCTGCACAAGATATAGCACATACATTTCTTTCAAGTATATAACTATAATTCACTTTGCAGGGTCAAAAGGGGGAACCAGGCGAGCCGGGCACAGACGGGCCTCCTGGGGAGGATGGAATTGATGTGAGTTCACCTCTAATTTTAAACCGCTCTGGTTCCATAGTCAGTATTCTGATATAGCAAGAATGGTAAAAAAGACTAAAGTGCCTTTTCTCACATTGTATAAGCTGATGGATCTCTTTCATCGATTTCTTAGTGCCTTTACTAGTGCATCATGGGTACTTTATGCATTTATTCACTGTCCAGCTCAGTGGTCACAGACGCAGGTCTTGCTGGCCTGGTCTTTTCCCAGTCACATGCTAAGTATCGCAGCAATACCACAGGGATTTTGTCAGATAATCCGCTTTGGAATGTCAGTCCAATGTTGTCTTGCTCAAAACTGCCAAAATTAGTCAAATGTGAATTGTTAGTCTTGTTCTGATGTCAAAAAGGAATGAAAAAAAGAAAGAAAACTGGCAGCATGTTGATGATTTTTCTGAAGCTGTCACAGCATTTGCTTAAAGCCTTAAGTGAGCTTTGAAATTGCAGCCAAATTTCATGAACCTTCTGCAAATGATTTTTTGAACACTCTTCTCTCATTTTCCCTTTTGAAGGGGCTGATTGGAGGAAAAGGTGAAAGGGGTCCCGTTGGACGTCCTGGACCAAAGGTTAGTAAATAGACAAATCCAATAACAAATTAAGCGTTAAACTAAATGTGTCATTGATTTGCTTCACTCTGACTGTGGAGAACAACATGTACAGGTGCTGCAATGCACCATTAACCCTTAGAAGTCTGTTAGAGTTGTTTTGCTATGTATATATTTTCCATTACATAATTAGTCATATATAAACACATAATTACAAACTTAAATGCATAATTATATTAATTACATTTACATTTAATTGACATTCTGTATAGACATGGTCAAGTCTGTGCTGCTGTTCTTTTGTTCCAGTGGAAAGAAAAAACAAAAAATGACAAAATTGTGAAGAAGAAGTTTCTTTTCAGCAAAGACTGTACGCACAATAACTCTTCCCTCACATAGGCTATACTGGGGCTCCCAAATATTGATAGCCAACCAAGTACATTTTGTACCATTTTAACAATAATCGATTGCAATTTTATCCCATTTGAACAATTTCAAACAAGAAAATATTTTATATTGTTACAAATAAATGTAACACACAGTGTCATTGATGCTAAGGATCAAACTTTTCCCCGTGGTCATCTCCACAACCTACACTTTCAGCTTAAAAGAAGCCTCTGTTGATCTGATTTCACTGTTGTGATAATGCTAATTGTGGACTACAGTGTATTTGAAGTACCCCCCAATCCAAGGTACTTAACCCCAGGCTTGTTTCAAAACGCTGGGAAAACGCTGAAATTTGAATGATCTCATTTTCTACTTGCAAACACAAAAGTGGTATTTGATAAAAAAATTAGAATCCACATGTTTTCTGGGCTTGTTTTTATAAGTTACGAGAGAGAAATAATTAACCAAAATGTAAGATGAGGCATTTCAAGGCATACATGGCATTCACCCAGCAGGGTTAAAAACAAAGACCACTTATTTGCTGTTGCCAAATCAAACAGCCAAAAACGAAAACCATAATTTGGGCACTATACCCTGTAGGAAGCGTTTACAACTAACAGTATATACAGGAGGTTTTTTTTATTGTAAGTGTTATTGTTGGAGATCTTTACTTTACTCAAGTATTATTGAAACTGAACGTTGTCACTGTCCAATGAAAAACATGTATCTCAATTTTTTGCGATTTATTTACTTTTCTGTATCAATCGAGCTCAGCAGCTGTCCTTTACATTGTGTGAAAATGTCTTGATGATTGGATCAATAGAAATGCTCCAAAATTGCTTAGAATAAAACCTCATTCCTTTAACTTACATTGAAAGTAAAGAATGTTTTTCTTTGGACATCAACAATATTTGTACTCCTACTCAATTACACATCAAATGGAAGAAACATACTTTTTAATGTCAAAACAATTAGATTCTTTTTCTTTTGCCAAGAGAACATTTGTGTGTGCCAGTTGCACTATGCCAGTGTATGTACTGCCCTTCAGTCACCACTCTACACACATAGTTTGTTAAAAAGTGGTGGATTAACCGGTCTGCATTACACAGCTTATAATCAGCATAAAATTGCATATCCTGATTCTTAATTTTATGTGTAAAACCATTTACCTTTTACGCTTCTATGTTTAAATATATTTAAATGTAGCATATTTTAGCTCAGTATTGTAAGTGAGTAACAATTTTGACAAAGTACTCAGAGTGAATTGGAAATTATACTGTGTTTTTCTTCTGTATGCGACATATTTCTGAGTGAAATGCAGTATCTGGGAGTGTCTCTGAGGTAGCTGAGTGTTTCCTCTTGCTGATAGGTGGGGGTGTTTGGAGTACAAGGTAAAATGTGATATTAGTATAATATATTATAATAATATTATTTTTCCTACAAGTGGCATAATTAAAATAGAAGACGCTTTGTGGCCGGGAAGAAGTCACATTTTGTCTTTTTAATGATTTAACATGATGAATCCTGCTTAATAATATGGCTAGGAACTAACAAGGTAATATGTTTTGATTTCAGATTGACTTAGTTTTTCTGTACTTTTTCCACTCCAGCTTCTTTTTCAATAGTCTTTCCACCACAGAACTCTTCCCATCTACTACTGACAGCACAAGAACTAAGAAGGGACTGGAAATAAAGTAATGTTTAGTGTACATTAATGTATAGAACTACTTTATTTGAACAAAGTCACTCTCTCTTGATTTTCACAGGGTCAACCAGGGCCTACTGGTCCAACAGGACAATCTGTAAGTAGAATAATAATGGTTATTCAATATTCAATATTTACATAATATTAATAAGAAATAATCAATGGTGTGTATTATGGACATTAGTCTTTCTTGTACTACACAAAACTGGAATGTCTTAGCTTTTGGCAGCATCTACAGGTCCACTAAATGCACACCTTATCTATCACTGGTCTAGAAAGATCTCTGTTGTGTACAATGTACTTCGTAATTTTAGGGATGTACTTAAAATCATGTATTATATGAACTAACATGCTAGAAATAGTTTTGTTTCAATAAATAAGACACTTTTCTACATCGTTGTGACATCTTTCTCTAATATTCCTATAGGGACCTGGGCTTCCTGGACTACCTGTAAGTACTAATCATTTCGAATACTGCCTTCCATGCCTTACAGAGAGAAGGGCATGCGGTCAGTACAGGTTGCTGTTAACCACTTACTCTGAATTTAGATTTCTAATTGTAAAGCAAAATAACTAGAAAGACTTCCACTATCATTTGCTCTGATTCTAAATGTTTATTTTTTTTAAATAAACAGTACATCTTTACTCTGTTTTCTGCCTACAGGGAGCACCTGGTGCGATCGGGCTTCCAGGGCAAATTGGAACAACTGGACCAAAGGTTAGTTGTACTCATTTAGATTACCATGAGGATTTATCATTACAACTTGACTTGATGTGACAGCAATACATTATCATTCCATGTATTCCCTTGTTTTAAGCAATAGACTATAATTGATGCCATGTACTGCAGCATAAAGATTAACGTAGCCTTGATTAGCTTCAGGCGACTGAAGCTTCTGAAGAAACAGAGGCACAGCTATGGAATCAGCTCTACCATTTAGGGATGCAGAGCGTGTTTTCAGATACAAGCCAGTCATTTTGTTCTGTCATATGCGACGAGGCAGGATTTACTGCGTTCTTTCTTCATGCGCCATGTGCATCCAATCAGAATTTTACTCTCCTCAATTCCGCAGTCAAATTAAAGTGCTGGTGCCTCTGCAGAATTCATATTGGCCCCTATTAAAGGGGAATTCTGCCATTTTTTCATAATTTCTGCACAATTCAGTTGTCGAAATGTAAACATTTAGAGTGTAAGCCATTCAGCAGTTTGATATTGAATGGTGCATTGTTGAGAAATGTACAGAGTCTGGTTTCTTTACAGTGGTGGTGATAGGAATCAGGGATCACAACATCTACAATACAAATATAGTCATTTATTTACTATCCAAAATGACCAGTAGACCTACGAGTGTCTTCTATTTTTTGTATGTACTGTTGATAATGGTAAAATAGTGATAAATCTGAAAATAATATGTTTTATTAGGATACTATTTTGCCTTACAGTGCTCTACATGTACCACTCTGCTAGAAATAGATTTAAAACAATTACGTTTTAGGTCAAAAGCTGATCTCAGAACTATCGTAAAACAATGTCTCAAGCATAAGGAAAGATTTCTAACCATTTGATGCAATAACTGTCTATAAGGTAGTTTTTAGAGGCAATAAACTACTCAGATGTCTGGTTCCTATCACCACCACTATGAACAGTTCTGACTGGTGATTTTTCAGATTGGCACATTTCACATCAAACCTCTCACAAAATCGAATTAAGCAGAAATTAGAAAATTATTATAATGCAGAAAAAATGGAAAAGTCAGGGAAATTCCCCATTTAACTACAGTCTAAAAGTATCCAGAGACCCTTCCTAATTAGTAAATTCAGCTACTTTAAGCTGCTGACAGAGCTCTACAATCACAACTTCTATAATCTCCATAGAAAAGCATTGATAATAGAATGGGATGCTCTGGAGTGGCCACGCATGAGTCCAAGGTCACCTTGCCCAATGTCAGGCATCAGCTAGAAGGGTATAAATCCCCCAGCACTGGGCTAAGGAGCTGTGGAACTGCATTCTCTGTAGGGATGGGCCTCCATCCAACACCTCTAGAATGAACTGGAGTGGAGCCTGTGATCCAGAACTAATTATCCAACATCAGTACCTGGTCTCACTAATGCTTTTGTGACTGAATGGAATCAGATCCTCTCAGCAATGTTCCAACATCTAATGTAAAGTCTTCCTAATAGAGTAGAGGCTGTTATAGCAGAATAACCAATAAACTACCTACTAATACCCTTGATTTCAGATGAAATGTTTGATGAGCAGGTGGCTTTTGGACGTGTAGTGTATTATAAACCAAAAGCAAAGAGCCATACTGTTCCTCTCACAGCACTGTATGATAATAACAAGGAAATGATCATTAAAGGTCTAACTTGACCAAACGTGGTAAAAAGGGGGTACATTTAATGGAAGCTAGTAGTCTGTCATTTTGTTTTTGGTAGCTATTTACTTTCATTCATTGCTAGCAACATTAGCTTTTTTTTAAACTGTTCCTGCCCCCTAGACACATTTCACTAAGGCTGTTTCTTAGTAATCTCTGTAATGTCCTTTTACAGGGAGTGATGGGACCACCTGGACCTCCAGGATTGCCAGGACCTCCAGGGAAGCCTGTAAGTCAGTCAGCACAGGAGAATGCCTTTAATGTACTAGCATGTTAAAGAAACTGGAACAGACTAACTAAAGTATTTACAGGTCGTTTTGTTACATGAACTCATGTAGGGGTCAAGCACAACCTAACATGGGAAGAAGTAGAATATGCTTTTAGTCACCTACTTGTATTCCTAGAACATCATCTTGACTTCTGACTGATATTGGGCAAAAAACTTGTTTTTTTTTACTGTAAATGTAACTTTTTTCATCATATTTTTTAAAAATAATTTAATTTGTGTATAACTCACAAAGCAATATTTTGGACAGATATTTCTCAGTATTCACCCTTAAGACTTTTTGTTTTTCACCAGAAATGTAACGTTTTTCATCATACTTTTTTAAAATAACTGATTTGTGTATTAGTCACAGAATATTATTTTTTTACACATACATTATTTTGTTCATCTTCTTGGTATCTTAATATGGCACCATTTTAAAGTGAATAAACACCTCATAGTGAGAGCTAGCCAGACTAAAGTACAGCCCCCACACGGCAGGGTTAGTTTTAACACAGTGTTACAACTAATCCACTGAGTAAGTCCTCCCCATATAAATGAATCTCCCCATATAAATTAAAAAGTTAATTTTTCAGAAAATAAAATAAATTTTAGTTTTGTCATGCTGTTATTGACTGTTCTATTTTGTGGTCAGAAATATTTAGTAAATTTGCACGTGTTTGCCACAGCCCTTTTTCAGTAATCATATTTATTTTGATGTGTGTATTTTTATGTATTTAGGATAGAAAACATGTCCAGTTTAAACAACATAGAACTATATTTAATTAGCTGTGTTTGCTTTGAGTTATTAGACTTTTTTATGACTTTTATAACTAGTTGTAACCTTGGTAGTTGTTCTGCTTTCGGCTTAATTGTTAGTTGCTCAGAACAAAGTTTATATTGTTGTTTGCAGCAGAGATGTATGTGTTATTAATTTTGCTGAAGTAATTATAATATTTTTTATTAATAATATTAATAAAAAAACACATTTATCAAAAACAAAAACTCCTCGCTCACCTATAGTAAAGGACATTCAGTTCAAGGATATTCTTTTGAGTAGATATCATTATAAAAATATAGGTTACATCAGTCATGCAAGCATTTCTATGTTGATATTTTAAATTGTAAAAGCTGAATAGCTGGTTTACCATGGTTTCTCAAAAGACATCACTGTTTAAACTGCGCCGATTCCCATTCTGCTCCGCAGTAAGCAAACTGTTATTATATTGTCCCTGTCGCTCTCACTGTGCGTCTCCTTTTTCAATTTCATTATCTGCTTGTCATATTCAGGGTCCGCCTGGAAAATTCCTGGGTGGAGAAGAAGGCAGTGCTGACTTGCAGGTGAGGTGATACTGTAGATAAAGCTGCCTCAATTTCCGCAATATGTCTACACCATGGCAGTGTGTCAGAAGCAGTATAAATAACATAAACTTCATTCTTTGGTATGTCACCAGGCTTTTATTACTGGTTACACAGTTCATATTACTGCTTATGTAATTTGTACACTTTAGAGAACTTCTCTGTGGTCAAACTTACCCATTTAACTTCACTTTATATGGAGCACAGCAAACTTTTGCTGTACTCCTTTACCCTCTGTGCCTCTTACTAGGCTGTTTCTTCCTCTTATTGATCTTAGAGTTCATGGATTTCCTTAATGAGCTCCATTAAACGATTTTCATCAAAGGCTTGTGCCCATTAGCACCCTCTTAGATTCAGGTCCATGGCCGGATTCAGGGCAGTGAAGCTCATGCTAACTTGCCAAGAGTTTAAAAGTGGAGGATTGTTACTGAAGGTAGTCCAGAGGTTCATCTTCACCACTGTTCCCCACCAGAGCCCCCTAGAGTCTCAATCCAACTTCATCTTCTTTTTAATTACTTGCTGGTGCTCTGATAGGGATGGGGAAGGCAAGAAGACCTAAGTTCAAAGAGAAAGAGACAGAGAGAAATGCATGGGTCTTCTTTTAACCATTCATAGATACTTTTATTCATTATATCATTGTATATTTATATTGATCATCAATTGAGATACAAAGTTAGAGTTAGTGTAAAAGTATTTTATCAACAATAACAAAATAATTCAATCCAATATACATGTAATAGGAGTCACTAGCAACTAGACTCACATAGAAAAGTGGTATATTGAAAACTCAAATACTATTTTACATTTATACTTTGGAATATATCTCAACATTTAACTATATGTTATCAATATACATACATTTTTAATAATCGGGGAAGGGTGCGTTTAAAGTTTAAGAGTAGTGATGCAACTGTTTTCTGTTGTAGTGCCCAATCAACTGTCCACCTGGCCCTAAGGGTCCCCAAGGACTGCAGGGAGTCAAGGTAAGTTCATCATCAATATAAACAGAAGTCTTTGCAGATTTGTTCACCTTTACATCACCTTTTCTAGTTCATGATAACACAGGTGATGTGGCATTACTTTGCATTTTGTCAACCCATTAGTTCACTGCATGGTTGAAAAATGTGATGGATTGATTTCTTACAGGGACATAAAGGTCGTGTTGGTGTGCTGGGAGATCCTGGAAGTATTGGAAAGACGGTACAGGAAGTCTTTTATCTTCTTTTCTGCCCTGTTATTTGATCAGCCCTTTTGCATGTAGTAGTCCACTTTGGCTCATATAATAAAAGAACACACTGGAGGTGGACAATATAATAGAAACACTTGGCAAATACATGTGAGCTGAGCTGCCCGAGCAGTCTGTAATGGACTGGGTCTACGACAGGGTGGACTTTTTGTCATGCAGTCTTATTCTTTCCTTACCAGTGATGCTATTGGTATCAGAAGTGGGTAGAGTAACCTAGACCCATACTTAAGTAAAAGTATTACTACTTTGATTAAACAATGACTTAAGCAGCAGTGAAACACCTTTCCAAAAAACACACGAATGAATATACAAAAGTAGCAGCAAAAACTAACTTACAGAACTTCTCAGTATATCTATAAGCATAGGAACTGAAGTTTGTTAGGCTCTATTTTTCTATTCCCTGGATTCTTTTGGTTTAAAATAAAATCCTACAGCTTCAAAGTCAGAGCCCTGACCAGATGCAAAGCAGTACAGATGCTGTCACCAACAAAACATAATGAAATTAAACACACAAAAAAGGAGCTCAGTGTTAAGGACTAAAATGTAACTAAGCAAAAAGTACATTACTTTCCTCACAAACACAATTGAGTTATCATTTAAAAACACTGAGAAAAGTACAAATTCATCAAATGCATTCATTCAGTACTTGATTAGCTGGATCTAAGCAAATACAACTAATTCCTACGCACCTATGATTGGTCACTCTTAGTAACTTAGACAATAATAGCCAGGTTTGATGGTTTTTCAGCTTTATATACTGAAACTATGTGAATTCTGCCGATAATGTGTTTCACTTTAACTTTTCTTTCATAGAAACTTCTGTATGTAAACAATCTTAGTGTCTACTGAAAGAATGGAAGGGTTGATTAAATGGGTAGCCAAGCAGAAAAATAACACAACAGTGCGATTTGCTTGTTGTTGTTACAATGACCTGGTGATTTCTCTTCTGAGCACAGAAATATGCTGACTTCAGAATATATAATATATAGAGCCATCATCATACATTCACTGTCCACAGTGCTATTTAACAATGTTTTAGAACCTTAAAACAGAAAGGAATACTGCACAGACAGTGACGGCTGGTCACAATATTGGACAGCAGGTCCTGAAAAAGAGCCTATTCCCAGCTACAGCAATGAAACAATGACATGATCTATCTAGATAACTATCCCACTTAAAGGGAAATTCCACTGATTTTTCAGATTTTTTTTAATCACTGAGATGTTAACAATGTCATTCAAAGTGGTTTGATGTTGAGAAACTTACCAGCTTACCAGATTCAAGGGTTGTGACATCTACAAATGTATGTAAAAAGAGTCAAACAACCAACACAATGGAAAAACAGTGGTAAATCTCAAGAAAATATGTTTCCTTTTCACCAGGCAGATATCCTATCACCATCACTGTGAACAGTTCTGACTAAGTTTCTCTAGAATGGAGCACTGCATATCAAACCACTCTGAATGACTTTGTTTACATCTTATTGATTAAATTATGCAGAAATTAAAAAAAAGAGGTGGAACTTTTTTTTTTAAATGTTGATGTGGACCATTACATAACGACTTGAGCAAGTAACAGCACTATTACTGTATATTTCACAGCAGCATTGCACTTTTTATCAACTACAACATGAGCACATAACAAGATTTAAATCATTAATGAAGGCTTTCAGTGCTACAAGCTCCAAATGCCTGTGTTCGACTGTTATAGCACCCCTCTTAGCTTGGTGCTGCTGATTTTACAAATCTCATAAGCATGCTTACAGAAATGAACATTTTTGCAGTGGTGAAAATCAGATAATTACAGGCTTCTTATGAACCAAGTTAAAATGTTTCTGCATTAAACTCTTTCATGTAATGAGGTGCTCACAATTTGACTGTATCTGACTCTAAAAAAGTACAGAAGATTTTTAGAGGATTTCTTATGACCTCTGGGTGGTGCTATTGTTCTTAGTCATTTGTTAACAGCAAGCAAAATTCTGTCAGTGCCAAAAATAAAACCTTATATTGGTTCCTGTTTTTCTTTGGTAGAGAGAAAGGGGGTTTAGCCATCCTAGGCCATTTATACTAACTACACCTGTGTACAGAATATAATGAAACACTATTACAAGCTACAAGCCAGGCTATGTAGCATAGCATAATGCTAAAAGATATATTTCATGGCCAATTCAGTGCAATGCTGTGTGTTTATATTACCTAACAAATTTCTTGAAAGCATATCATCACTGTGAAAAGAAAAATAATGTATATATATATATATATATATATATATATATATATATATATATATATATATATATATATATATATACATGTATATTTTGAAAACCTTAGAGAAGGCAAAACATTCCTAACTTTCTGTGTAAGTTAATGTAATGTGAAGAACAGTTCTGTGTTCAAGTGACCTAGAAATGTAAAAATCAACAAAAATGTAGATATGTTTATTTTTGACAGCAACAATCAAAAAAGATCAGATATCTTGCATTTGCACTGTTCTGAGTATTTAAAAAGGATAAAGGAGTGTACACACTTAAGATGGTTCTTTAGTGAAGAAAATGGTTCTATATAGAACCATAAACACTCAAAGAACCCTTTGCATAACTAAAGAGTTCTTTGCATTGTGAAAGCGTTCTTCAGACTGATGGAAAATATGCGGCAGATGGTTCTATATAGCACCAAAATTGGTTCTTTTATTGTCTATTGCTTGACACTGTAACCATAGTAGCCTTTCTGGTGCTATATAGAACTCTTTTCAAATATCTCTATGTAGAACCATGTAAAACACATTCTCTTTCAATTTGAAGAACACTTTCATGAAGACTCAAAAAACCTTTTATCATGCAAAGGGTTCTTTGAGTCTTCATGATTCTATATAGAACCATTTTCTTTACTATAGAACCCTTAAAGAACCATCAGTTTTAAGAGTGTACAAGAAGCCTAAAACAAACATACAAACAAGCATAAAAACAGATAATTGAACAAAGAAAAATGCTCACGCATTGGCCCACTCGCTCATCCAGGGCAGGATTAGCTCTAATGAAGCCCCCTGAGGTGCATGAGTGGCAGTAATCTGCGTGCGATTAGTCAGGACTAGCCCAGCTGAAAAGGCGAGAGAGAGGGTCAGGTAGTGTCGGAAGAGAGGGAGCTACAAGACTGAGCATTAATCAGATTTAATGAGCGCCCCACAGACAGAGGGGCAGAGAATTTACCCATAGTGCACTGCATGGTGGCATTTGTGTGTCTGAGGACTGTTACACAGCACTGAGATCCAAATGCTGAAATTGCTGACATGAAAACATTCAGGCTGCTAGGTCTTTTATTCCTGTTGAAATGGACTAACAAGTGATCAGCAGTTTTAGTGTCAGTAAAGCAATGACTGATGAAGGTATCAGTCCAGACTGGACAACAGTTCAGTTTTCATAACTTTTGCTGTCGACTGCGGCAGCGAAATAAACTGGATAATGATTTTTTTGGAAGCCTAGACGCACCCAGTATTAGTCAAACAAAAATATTAAAATGCTACAGAGGCCTTCTGTCTTTATTTCATCTTAAATAAACAATCAAAATGCTCTCTCTGATAATTATCCACATTTACCTGTGATGCTGTCACCATGGCAGCATCAGCTCTGTGCCGCTGTACGGCATGAAACAATATTTGTTTTCTGTGAATGCAGCATAACACTACATTCACCTGCCTTTGTATCATGATTAAATTGTAAGTCGCTCTGAAAAAGAGCATCTGCCAAATGCATAAAGGGAAATATGCCCCAAATTTGTTTTTTTGTTTTTTTTTCCAGTGTCTGTCACATTTGGGCACTGTCTGTTTACAGTGCTAGGCAAATGTTCAGGCACCCTTGGTCGAATAACATGTTTTGTTGATTTTCTAAGTGAAAATAATTAATCAAAATATCCTCTACAGAGAACACACTTCTGCACACTTTAATGCACAATTACTGTTTATGTGCTGATTTTAACACATCGAGTAAAAAAGCATAAATAAGCATAAAGCATAATAAAGCATAAAATCTGGCCTTAGTAAACATCATGGCACATTTTAAGTTTTGTGTTTTAGCGGTTCTTCTTTTTCTTTTATACTTTTTAGATGTTAAAATCAAGGCAAGTCAAATCAAAGTTCATGTATAAGCGTTTTTTTACAACAGACATTGTCATAAAGCAGCTTTACAGAAAAAAAAAATCCAGGTCCAAGAGTGTCGCCAGTGGCAACAGTGGCAAGAAAGAACTCCCTAAGAGCAAGAGGAAGAAACCTTGAGAGGAACCAAGACTCAAAAGGGAAACCCATCCTCCTCAGATCAAAACCGGATAGCAAATAAATAAATTTCCCCTGTAGAGGATGGGTTTACTTATTTTTGTTTAGAAAATCAGCAAAACTTCTGCATACGACTGTACATATATTTATGTCTTTTATTTCTGTCTAAGCCTTTTTATGCTGCTTTTATTTATGTAAAGCATTTTGAACTGCCTTTTGTATGAAATGTACTGTGTAAATATACTTGCCTTGCCTTGAGATGAGGACATAAAATATAGGCACACTTGGCATCGAATGTGTTGCTGAATAAAATTCTTCATGTGTATGTTTTATATATGCTAATTTGGCATTTCTGCTTGTTTTGAGTCATATTAGCACGCACACTGTTTTGTCTAGTGGCAGAATATGTCAGTATAGTGTTAGCCTGCTTTAATAAAATACTGATAGTATTAAAATTCAGAGTATTGATTTTTTGCTATGGAAAACATTGACATTTTAATTCATTGTGGATATAAAACTAGCTATAATTTTCTTACTTTTTTGATAGGGCACCAAGGGAGATGTTGGAATCTCTGGTGAGCAAGGAATACCCGGCCCTCCAGTAACGTATTCATTTATGTTTCCCTTTGTCATTTTGCATGAGAAGAAGCTTTTTGAAGTGTTTCATTTCACTTTGAAAGACTGACCTACTTCTCTGTTTCTCTGTCTGTTCCAGGGTCCACAAGGTCTGAGGGGCTACCCAGGAATGATTGGGCCAAAAGGAGAGACAGTGAGTCATCTAACATCCGCAAGCGGACCTAAGAGCACTAAAACACTAGCTGCAGTGAAAGCATATTGCCATGCTTTGTGTATTATTTTCTTGTTGGCTTCTTCCACAAACACAATCAGTCACAAGCTTTTAGAAACAGACGCAAGCCAAATACTGAATTTTCACCAGTAACAGGCGAAACTGGCTGAGCTCCATATTGCTCCATCTGTAGTTAATGATCCCACGTAGTCATTTATCTTAGCTTGACCGCCCAAACATTACACCCGACTATAAGCATTTATCTGTTGTTAGTGAAACAAGCCAGCTGTAATGTCTGCTGCGCTTTATTAGCATACAGCTAGCATAGCTGCTGAGATCGCTGGGAAAAGCCTGCTAACTCTGTTTCTTTTCCTAAGAATCTCTCAGCACTTAACAGTACTGTGCGAAACTCAGAGACCACTTTTTGTTTATTTCATTTCTAGTCAAAACGACCATTAAGTTCTTCATTTTTCAGTGTCAGGAGAAAAGGCAGAAAACATATATTTAACAAAACAGCACACAGAGGCCTCGGCAGATACATATTACTTTAATTTTTCCAGCCTTTTTCCAGCCTTTTTTCCCTTCTTTTTGGGAGACTTGCTTTCAGTTTTTCAAAGAAATGTGCCACCTCCAAAGTTTAGTTGCAGAAGTTGGTTTTGCCTTTTTTTTTCTTCTCACGATCCAGATCCCAAACGCATTCAATGATGTTGAGGTCTGGACTCTGTGGTGGTCAGTCCATTGTCCAGAGAACGGCAGCATCTTCTTCATTTAATTTGCAAATTTTATTTATTTTGTCTGTTTCTTCCCAATAAGGGCTTCTTGATAGCTACACACCCTTTTAGATCCATAGCGTTGAGTTGTCTCCTCACAGTGGAGGGATGGACAGAAACACCTGTGGATTTTTTCAGATCTGAATTAAGAGTGGAACTTGATTTTCTCCTCTCTCTCAAAGATGAAAGTACTGTTTAAATGACGGTGAAAGTTTTGGTGATCTACCAGGTCTCGCATAGTTGTTAGGAGTCCATTTGTCTCTGTATCTTTTAACAGTTTTTTGAAATCCATTTTCGGAAACTACTGTTTTTGTCACTTATTTTCCTTTGACTTTCCTTTATGTATGTAGATTAATCCTCATCTCCTCAGAAATATTTCCTTATAAATGAATAACTTGTATCTAATGGCTGTTCTGGCAACTTATGGTGGTGATCTCTGACTTTTTCACAGTACTATAGAACACCCATTGTAATTCAACCTTGAGTTAAATCAGTCTACACAACACACCTTTTTACTTTGTCTCGTTTATATTCTCTCTTAGGGCCCTCGTGGTTACAAAGGCATCACTGGTCCCATCGGCATTCCTGGAATCCCTGTAAGTTTGAAAATCCATCTCCCTCTCTTTTCCAATCTCTGAATTAACATATTTACATCCAGATTTCTTCCTGTGTGACATAGGGTGAGGAAGGACCTCAAGGACCTCCTGGAGATGCTGGTGAGAAAGGTGATACGGTGAGTAGTGTTTATCTGTATTCACCTGTCCTCCAGTAGCTAGAGGCTTTCTCCAGGATATTTCCTTTTATCCAACTGTGTTTACTTGTAGGGAGAACAAGGCATTAAAGGGCCGCAGGGAGCGGTGGGAAAGAAGGGCGAGAATGTGAGTAAAATCTGATACTTTTGATAAAAAAAAATACTTCCACACTGGGGAAAGCATGTGAATTAACTTTCAATGAGATTACAGATGTGAACATATGCTGCTTCATATGCAAAGAACATTCATAATGCGTGTCAATAATGAGAAAATAAACATTTGTTTACATTGTCAGGGTCTTCCAGGGATTGATGGAAAAGATGGTACACCTGGCATCCCAGGAATAAAGGTACAGACAATAAATTCAAATCCACTAAGCCCCAGACTGTCGTTAGTTGTTGTGAGGCCTTTTTACATCGAGGTAATTGTTACCAGAGAAAAAGCAGATTTTTAGCGCACTTTTTTTAACACTAATAAAGAAGACAAAGGCTGTGAATGAAATAGTCTACTACATACTGCTCATGAACTGATTGTGCCCAAAACTAGTAAGTAATATGCAGCATGTGACCAACATGAATTTCTCCAGAGCTCCAAAGATATTGACTCTGGTCAATAGCGCACAGCCAGAGCAATGTTTGTGAAATACTACACCCCAAAATGCTACACGGTCACTTCAGGAGGATGTAGCCACTGATGTAACCACATGGTTTGCTCCAAACTATTTATAAACCTTGGCTTCAGTCTTATGTGGATACATAAATGAAAGGATATAATTTGTTCTGCTACTGTGCTCAGTGCAATGCTGAAGCCTCATCAGTTTTCTCTGCAGATCTTAAACGTAGGTTTCCTAACTTCATCTATTTAATGAAGTTAACTTACTGCATAGATCATTTAATTAAAACAGTTACTTAGTAAAATTAGCCTCAGCCAGACAGTCTGCACAGCGTTGGCTTTTCAGGCTTACAGGTGCCACACTTCTTATTATTCAGTTAATCTGGCTCAGATTACCAACAATTAATATAATGAAAAATAATATGACTCACAGGAAATTGCCTTATTTATGTCTAATTCCCTAATTTATGACTATTTATATTTCTGTTTTTATCTAATATTTGTAGGTTCGTGTCCAGATATCTATCTATCTATCTATCTATCTATCTATCTATCTATCTATCTATCTATCCATCCATCCATCCATCCATCCATCCTTAAATAAATCTCTCCCTCTTTAAAATTGGTGTCTTTGGAACCCACACAGGTTTACCACATAGACAGATCCTTAGATATTTTGTTTTTGTTTTTGTTTCTTTGTTTATTTGTTTCTTTGGAAATGGGTAGAAAACAACACCTTCCACTCTGTCATGCGGTCACAATTCTTGACCAAAATATATCCACATGTGCTGCTAAAAAGCTAAAAATAGGCCAACTATGGTCACTAAGCAGTGATTGGAGGGCTAAAAAAATGGGGCAGATCTTTAGATCTTGAGCACGGCTTTAGTTGTATGCTGGATGCTATACAATACACTACTGATGAAGAGTAGCATGTAGTATACAGTATAAATTGGAGCAGTTATAATTTTTCTTTTAGCCAGTGTGCAGACACAGTCACTGGTTAACAGCCCATTCTGCTTAGAAAGGTTCAACACAGGCTCAGTGCTGGGTGTGTGGAGGAGTTTGAGGCTTTACCTCAGCTTCGAGCATTAAAAGGAGCTGACAAACGATGAGCAAACCATGAGCCCTGATGTGAAACACGACTTTAGTGTGTGTTTTATTTTGATGTGTTTTTTGTAAAACTTGGACAGACATCTGGTGCCAATTGAAATAGTCCTCAATGCTAAAGTAAAACACCCATAGTTTCAAATAATCAAAATATCACTACTTATTGAGGATTTTGTCCTGATTTATCAATTTCTTTTTATCATCCCATCCCTGGTTGCTAACAATAAATGGAAATGAATAGCCATCACTTGGCATTGCACAAATGACACCATGCTAATTAGTGATCACTGGCTTCTATTCACTGTGAGCTACATTGGCTTGTGGTCAGTTTGGTCAAGCTACTGCTGTAACCTAGAAATCTTGAAATGTGTTTTTTTTTCTCTTTCTAGGGTGCTCTGGGTCAGAGCGGCAGACCTGGTCTACCTGGCCAACAGGGGACAGCGGTAAGCACCTATTTCAAATCCAAATGACGTTAGCCTTGTTAATACTTTTCTACAGTGCTGCGGTATTGGCCAGCCCATGCCTGAGGACACAAATTCTCATCCTGCTCATGTACAGAGAGTTGCTCTGCATTGCGTTTTGCTCCACCACTCTCAACAGGCTAAAATGGAAATAATTAAACAAAAAAGAAGGCAAAGTGTCTGTGCGTTTTCTAGGCACAGGTCCAGACTGACCTCTGGGTCCTCACTACTTTAGAATTTATACTACCTTGAAATTGCCCTCCCTCTCGTTCTCCGCAAACAATTCATCATCATCAAACATGACTCTTTGTCCCGGTGGTGGTGGGTAATGGAGCATGCTGGGTATGATCTACACCATCACTGTGTGCTCAGCACACAGCATAATGGAGAAGCCCTCTCCAGCAGCACCGGTTATCACTGCCTCTTTCGGGCAATTGCTTGTGTGGGGAGTCCTTAGAGGAGGGACACAGGGATCACCTCCCTGACCTTTTCTGTTCTGTGTTGTTTTGTTTTTTTCAGGGTTTGCCTGGTAGCCCTGGGACCAAAGGCGGTGTGGGAGATAAGGTAAGACAAATAAAACCGTGTTGCCTACGTGGTTCTTATTAATAATAATTATACCCTGTGGATGTTTCAGCGTCAGATATCACTGATGTCTTATTCTGTGGGTTACCCTGCAAGGTTAAGGTTCACACGGTGTATTGTCACATAGATTCAAGCAGCAGGGAAAAGGCATAATCCAAAACACAGACCAACTGTAGTTCCCTTTTTCCACAGGGTGAGACAGGACCCAGAGGTTTGATGGGAATGTCTGGTGCTCCAGGCCCACAGGTAGGTCATCAGAACATGAGATTAATTTGATATGTACTATATATTTGATATATACTATATAACACTGACATAACCGTGCTATAAACATGTCAAGACAGATGTCATATGCTGTCATAAGTTGTCATGACAAATTAAGTTCAGTAATACCTCTCTCATGCTCTCTCTCTCTCTCTCTCTCTCTCAGGGTGAGCCTGGGCCTCCAGGTGAAGCTGGTATGGAGGGAGTTCCAGGACCAAAGGTGATAAGTTTCCCTTAATGCCTCATGTTTTATTGTGATTTTTGCCCAGTTATCACCTCAAGGATAGTCAAAGTTCCCACCCTCTGTCACAATTTCCCTTATTCTACCAAGAGACTGACTTATCAGGGAGCTCAAACTGTTACCCATGCAACATTGTAGGGCAGCTGAATAGGCTTCAGGAGTGCTTACATGAGCACAACTTGCCAGAATCGCTGTGCAGTGGATTTTGTCTTCAGACAACATAAACTTCTTAGCCAGTTGTGCCACTCTGGAGCCCTTACCTGCCTTTTTAATAGAATGGTTTGCTGAAAAACGAATGAATGAAATTTGAATCAGCTTACTCCAAACACTGTTACTTGGCCAAACTTGCTAATATATAGAAGCTAATATAACAGAGGTCACCGAAGGTGACAGACTCCCAATACTTGTTAGTGACATTAGCCTTTAGCACCAGTGTAAAACAAACCTCAGACACAAAACATGTCTGATTGACTATGTATAGTCAGTGACTCATTTCTTAAATGAATATTTTGATATTTAGACCAAGGCTTCTGGATCTGTTCAACTAAAACCTCAATTAAACTGATTAAACAGCCCTGTAGATGGAGGTTCCTAAGGAAAATGTTTAATGTAGTTTAGGTCTGTGCTGAAGCTGTGTCTGGAAAACCAACCCTCACTTAAATGCATGTCTCCTTTTTTATTTATTCATTCTGATTCATTTACTGATTCATGTTCCTCCTCCTATAGGGTGACAGGGGGGAGAGAGGACCAGTTGGGCCTCAGGGAATTGTTGGCAAATCTGTAAGTTGACTTACATTACATGTAAAACGTCACATTTTCTAGTGTTTTTGGTCATCTAAATCCATCTCTGAGTAAAACATGGCAAACCTCAAAGGTCCTCATTTATGAGTCCTGCTGTTCTTAACTGATCACTCCTGTTTTATTATACTGTCATCTGTGTCTATTTGTAGGGAAGTAAAGGAGAGAGAGGGCCGATGGGTGTACCAGGACCTCAAGGCCTTCCTGGAATCAAGGGCGACAAGGTGTGTGTGTGACCAAAGCATCTTCATCTAGGCATATTTGTGAATATACAGTGCTGTGAAAAAGTATTTGCCCCCTTCCCAGTCTTTCCCCTGTTTTTCACTATTTTTGCATATTACTGCACACTTGAATGTTTCAGATCATCAAACTACTTTAATATTAGACAGAAGTAACCCAAGTAAACATAGAATGCTGTTTTTAAATGATGATTTCATTTAGTCAAGGAAAAATGCTTTTCAGCCCTACCTGGCCCTATGTAAAAAGTAATTGCCCCCTTAGCTAGTAAATGAACTAGTTAACCATATTCAGTTGACTGTTGGGTTCTATTTCACTAGCCACACCCAGGCATGATTACTGCCAGACCTGTTAAATCTAAACATTACTTAAATAGAACCTGTCTGGCAGTGTAAAGCAGGCCAGGAGGTCTCAAAAAGCAACACATGATGCCACGTTCTAAAGAGATTCAAATATAGATGCGAAACAAAGTCATTAAAATCTACCAGTCTGGAAAGGGTTGCAAAGCCATTGCTAAGGCTCTGGGACTCCAGCAAACCACAGTGAGAGCCATTATCCACAAATGGAGAAAACTTGGAACAGTGATGAACAGTGGTGTCCACCAACCTAAAGCTCAAACGCAGTTGGGTTGTGCAGCAGGGCAATGATCCGAAGCACACAAGCAAGTCCACCTCTAAATGGGTCAAAAGAAACTAAATTAAGGTTTTGTAGTTGCTGAGTCAAAGTCCTGACTTGAATCCCATTGAGATGCTGTGGCAAGACCTTAAATGGGCAGTTCTTGCTGAAAACCCTCCAATGCAGCTGAATTAGAACAATTCTGCAAAGAAGAGTGAGCCAGAATTCCTCCACAGTCATGTAAAAGACAGATCGCAAATGTTTGATTGCAGTTGTTACTGCCAAGTGTGGCATAACCAGTTATTAGGTTTAGGGAGCAATTACTTTTTCACACGAGTGATATAGGTTTTGAATAAATCTTTTAGAAGCTGCATTTTGTGTTTACTCATGTTCTCTTTATCTCATATTAAAATCAGTTGGATGATCTGAAACATTAAAATGTGACAAATTAGCAAAAATAGAAGAAATCAGGAAGGGGCAAATACTTTTTCACAGCACTGTGTATGTCCAGAATGAAAAGATAGCTGAGAAAAGCTGGTCTGTTAGATGTTGCAGTAATATATTATGGCCATACAGTGGCACTATTACGCTGTGCATCAGCAGAGAGTTAGGTACTGTGCTTTTTCACCAAAAGGCATCTCTGTAGCTCCTGGGTAATTTATGTCCCATGTTGCCAAATAATTCCCCTCTATCAAAGATGAAATATCCTCATATGGGCACTTTAATGTTTGTTGTCCTTTTATCTATAATATCCTTGCCATTTAATGTAAGCTATCAGGCATTGCCAGTGATAATTTAGTGTGGTGGTCCTCCAGTATCTGGTTAAACAAAGATATTGCATACAATAAATTGTCTCTGCCTGAACCATTAGGCCGCATGATGGATGATGTGTAATCTGGTGTTGCTTCTTTCTCTTAGGGATTTCAAGGCAAAGTGGGGGCAAAAGGAGATGTTGTGAGTATATGCTCAGATAAATAGATGGCCCTTATGCAGCATAATGGAAATCCTTCATGGACAATAACTGAGTGACTTTAGAAGAATTTTAGGTGCCTTACCAATTTTGCTTTGCTATACAGGGAGATCCAGGGGTGGAAGGATTGGCTGGTGAGAAAGGAGAAAAGGTAAAGCTCTTATGATAGAAAAAAAAAGATTTCCTTATATTCAGATTTAGATGTTAATACAATCACGTCTCTCATCATTCAACAGGGACAGTCTGGTGAACCTGGTCCCAAAGGACAGGTAAGAAGAACAGAAAGTACATGTACAGTAGTGAAGATTCTAGAGGATTTCTGCACCTTTGTGACTATAATTACAGATTATTGAAGAAATAGTTTACAGTTTAAAGGAAATTGTTTAAGGGAATAGTTATACAGATTTCTGCCCATGTTAAATGTAGTTAGTCAGCCAAGATGTGTTTGCTGTTTGAAATTTGCTTCTTTAATTTTGCAATGAAGCTATACAGATAAAAAGTTATGGAACTTTTACCTCAACACTTCTACAGCTGTACACATAAAAAACAACAGCCAGCTAGCACAGCTGATTGACAGTTACCATGTTATTGTTGCTTAGCACCAGAGACCAGCAGCCAGAAGCAGTGCTGATAAAATGCAGCGTGAACCCGTGAGAAAAAAAAAGGCTGTGCAGTGCACCTCACGTTTTTCCGCTTTCAGGAAAACAAGAAAAGCTTTCTGAGCCCCACTAAATGAACACATGCTTGCATCAAACTGCATTGAGTTATAAAGTAATCAATCAAATAGACTTGCTTATTTAGTTTCTGACACTGTAGGACATACTGTTAGCCTCAAAAAGGGTCAGATGTACAGACAAAATTCAGGTTGCTATTACTATTTTTAGCTAAAATGCTGTACTTTTGTCTGTTACTATAGCTAACAGTACATCATACCGTGTCAGAAACCAAATAAGTAAGTCTGTTTGAAAACACACACATTTTGAGGCAAGTGAGATGATTTAGGCATGCAGCATGCATGATGCCAATTAGTGGGGGTATAAGCTGTTAGCCACATTAGCCTCGTAGCTCCAGTGCAAAATTAAAGAATCAAACTTTGCAAACGTCTTAGCTGATCTACATTTTAGATAAGAAATATTTTTGTGTATTTTTGAGGTTTTCGATGAGAGAAAAATGTATTAAATTAAATTAGAGAAGCATTCAGTAGAGAATTTACCATAGACTTCCATGTGTCCTCTTAGTAGTGAGCATCTTCAGCCATTTTCTTGCATTTCACTGACAGCAAGGAGTGAGGGGTGACCAAGGACGCAACGGCCCCACAGGTGATCCGGGTAAACCTGGAGATAAGGGTCCTCCAGGCCTGCCTGGACCCCGAGGCCTCAGCGGAGTGAGAGGAGTGCCGGGCATGCCAGGAATACAGGGACCAGCTGTGAGTATCCCTCGCACATTACAATGTGTGATTTCACAGTGCTTAATTTTTCTCCAGCTGTGCAGAGACAGCACTTCCAATTATCATCTCAGTATATTTCTTATATGTTTATATCTTCAAAGAGTAGAACACTGACCACCCATTTTAATATTGGCTTTAACATGCTTTTGTCCACTTGGCATCTCCATCTCCCCTTAGCCATAGGCCTGCTGCCAGGCCCAAAGTTTTATTACTTCTATAACCTAAGAAAAGCTCCATTATTTTGCACTGAAGTGAAGTCTGTTCCCTTCTGAGTTGTGAGAGAGAACTTTTTCCTTTTCAAACCTGAAAAATTGGCAGACAAAGCCGTTGATAAGCCAATTTGCAATTAAGTACTTTAAAATTTACAGAATATTTTCAAACCATCACATTTGATTTGTTATGTTTAGAATGGCTTAGGTAGCAAACTGCTCCATCTGTTATGAATGTTGATAAAACTTTACTTGGCTAGCCTGCTAGTTGGCGAGCTAAAGCCTACAGAGCTAGCGATAACAAGAAGAAAGGCAATACACCCTAGTTTTGAACTAAAGTTTATTTCTAGACATTCCATTTGAATTACCCACTCCTTACTGTACCCCACTCCCCTTGTACTGCGAGTGGCCACTTGTGTAATGCTGGTGTGGTTAACAATATATATATATAATATATAGATGCTAGTTTTGCAGGCGTTGTCAATACAAATGCAAAATCAAAAAGTATGTATGAAATGTGAAAGGAACTGGTGATTAAAATTGCAGATTCATAGGTTATCCTCTCTGTCATTCTCTTTCTCTCTTCCCTTCCATCCTCCCCCTTCGCCAGGGCCGTGACACCTCAGATCAGCACATCATTGAGGTGGTCTTGAAGATGCTACAAGGTGAGTATGAAGCATTATGTCTCAAAACAAGAGGTTGCCCTGGGCTGCAGAATAAAGCAAGCTGCAGTCACAATGTCAAAAAGAGGGCAGCTGAAATCTATGGAGCTAAACCCATGATGCACTTTTTATCCATAGAAATGAATTAATGTGAAAGTCATCACTCCTCTGGGAGGTCTTGGCTGCCAAAGAACGTGGATAGTGCAGACTGCAGCTATTTTTCCCCTCCTTTTCAGATTGACTTTTTCTTCCCTCCCTCTCAGTTTTCTCAGGGTTTGTAAGTCTGTGCTATTTTGCCGGAGATGACCAGGGCTGACTCATGATAACCTCTGTTAGGCCTTATCATTTCAGTGTAATCCTTCAGCCTGCCACACACACACACACACACACATACACACACACACACACACGACACTCACATACACACACAATTTGACACAGTCAGACAAACAATTTGAGAGAGTGGAGAATTTCTACCTTCCTCCCTGCAGTGAAGGTGATTAGATTTGGCCACTGAGACACCTTGGGAAGTGGCCGCAGGTTAACACTTGCAGTGTCATCCTCGATACACCTGCCCAGCTCTATGCGGTTATCTTAATGACATTTACCCCGATGTCATTGGATGGCAGATATACAGTAATGTACATACAATTCCATCCATATTTGCACACTACTTAAGTGATTGTAAGATTGTATTATTATCTCCTGACAGAGCGGTTAGCCGCTGTAGCAGTGAGCGCTAAAAGGGCAGCGCTAGGAGGAGCTGGAGTGATGGGACCACCAGGGCCTCCAGGACCTCCCGGACCCCCAGGGTCTCAGGGACCTCACGGCCTTACTGGCGCCCGTGGCATCCCTGGCATGCTTGGGGCTCCAGGCCAAATTGGGAACACTGGCCTTAAAGGTAAAGCACCTGTAAAAGGCTAGAAAGCAACAACAACAACAAGCACAGATTTAACATTTAAATGCACACAGACATACCATGAGCTGTTAGCATTCTGGCACTCATATCTAACACAAACTGATCTACAAACTGCATTCTATGACAATGAGAAAGTAATACAATAAAAATATATTGATATTTTATTTGTAAATTGGACAAGGTGAGGAGAGTGAGGCGTCGGTTGCTTTTAGGCAGAGGTGTAGGAAACCAATTTGTGTATATCCTATCGTACACTTAAAATTGCACAATAGCTTGTATCTCTAGCCATGTTCATCACTGTATTTGAAATGGTGACAGCAATGTACTGAATTAACACCTAATGTCAATTCTGAATGGCCATGGCAACAAAACTCTCTCTCAGTCCTCGTCAAGCATGAAGGTAAAATGAAACCCTTTAAATGAAACGCTTAATGATGACTGTCCAGTCATAGCTTAGCAAGATTTATTTTTTTTCAAGATTTATTTATATAACACTTTTATAACACTATTATAATGGACATTGTCATGGAGCAGCTTAACAGTCCGATCCCCAGATGAGCAGGCCAAGGGTGATGGTGGCAAGGAAAACTCCCTAAGAGCAAGAGGAAAAAACCTTGAGAGGAACCAAGACTCAAAAGGGGAACCCATCGTCCTCTGGTCGGCACCGGATAGAAAACAATAACATAACAAGAGCAACCACATGTTAACCACTGATAACCACTGACTACTGGTAAAAGCCTTTCACGGTAACAAATGAGAAATAGCTCTATGAAAACCAGTGATTACTGTTAGAAGCACATCGCAGTAAAAAGGAGAGTCAGTCCATGAAAGCCAGTGACTATCATTAGGAGCCTGTCATGATGATATGTTAGTGTGAATACAAAAAGGACTCAAATATATATATACACACATAAGGAGAGGTCTAGGATCTGGACCGAACAGTGTGGAAGACTGCATTTTCAATAAAACCCATCTATTGCCATTGAAACTCCATATTACTCCAAACTTGTCAGATGTAGCAACAGTAACCAAGTGGTGACAGGGCTCTATCTTAAAAAAAGACTTTGCTGTTGCCAAGGTGGTTGTTGGGAGCAGAAAAAAGTAAACAGTCCTAGAATCTATAAGACTCATATAATATTACCAGAAAAATGCTCTTTCCCCACTCTACCATGTGAGTGTGCTTGCATGGTCCCTCATTGATTGATCCTCCTGAGTTAAAGTTATTCTTAGCTACCTAAAGTCTTGTAGTTTGCAACCAAATTTACACCATAACAAACAGTAGCAATACCTAACATTAGAAATACGGTAATTAGTTATTTATGTAGTGTATTTATGTAAGTTGGTTAGCATTTTAGATGTGTTTCCATATGTTAGCTAAGCTACTCTTGCTAACAGTTGGTCACAGTATACACGTTACTTCAGACTAGACTAGAAGTGTTGTGCGATATGGACAAATGCTAGTTTTGGGATTATACTGTTTAATTGCACTATGATTTGCACTATGTTAAATATGCATTGCTCAGCCAATAATATGACATGATTGAATATTAGACTTATTTTGACCAAAATCATTTACATTTGTTGGATTACATCAATACCTTGATTGATAGAAACACCCACATATGAAACTGTGACTGGTCAGGATACTAACAGCACACAGTGAAAGACACTATCATTGACTAGAGGGCTTATTCGCGCATGGGAGCCTTCTATTGGCACAGGCCAATATTCCAGTAACGATTTACAAATGGTACGCTGTGCTGCTGGCAATCTGATACATTTAAGGGTTAATGTACTGTGGAGCTAATGCGTACGCTTAACCTTCTCACCTGGCTTGGCACAAGATTGAGCCTGTGTAAACTCAGGATAGAATACTGCTTGGCAAAAGGAGTGTAGAAGAATATCCTTATCCTCTTTTTGTGCTGTACTTTACAGGAAAGAGAGGTGCAAAGGGAGAAAGAGGAGATCCTGGCCGTCCACATCCAGGCCAGCCTGGGCCCCCTGGCCTTCCAGGTACGTTTTATAGAGGCCCCTGAGCATCCTATAGAACAGTGGTGTCAAACCCAACCACTATAAGGGCCATATTAAAAATTTCAGCAAATCTGTGAACCAGCTGTTATTTTATTTCATTGTTTATTCAAAATATGCCAAAACTGCAACAGCAAAATAGGCAATAAATACTTACTCAAAGATAATTCTAAATAAAAACAAATTGTTTTAGGTAGTTTTTTTAAAACTGCCTGTTTGCTTGAACCAGAAACCAGGCATCTTTTCTTTTAGTGGAACTGCTGGCCCATAGATTGTTGTCGGGGGAACGGGGTCAGAACACACACTATGTTGCAGTGCATGCTACGGACTGTAGTGTATCTCAGGGAGAAACAGGCTAATAAGAATAGAAAATTAAAATATTTTCATGGGCCTAATAGGACTGTGTCATGGGCCTGACTTGGCCCGCGGGTCTTGTGTCCATAGAACTTTCAGGTATGGTCGTATGCAAAAGTTTGAACACCCCAGTCAAATAACGATTTGTTGATTTTCCAAGTGAACATAAGTACACACACTCTACAGAGAGCAAACGTCTGCACATTTTTATGCCCAATTACACAAACTATCCAAACATGAAATGTTAAGAATATCAATAAAACGTCATTTAAACAGTGATGTTCAGACTTTTGCATACAGTCAGTTTTCCACCTGTCCTCAAAAATGGACTTTTGAGAGCACAAAGTGCACACAATGATTTAGCAAAGCTAAGAGCAAAATCACAACTATTATTTTTGAGGCTGTGGAAGTTACTACTGCTATGCTTCAGGCTTAAAGTATGGAAGAAAGCAGTGTATACATGTACAAAATACTATTAAAACAATCAAAGTGAAGTTATTACATTTGAACACCCACAACACTAATATGGAAAGGTGATCAAGATTTTTACAGCACAGAGTAAAGAAACACTGATTGGTTATAGGTAACATACCAGTATCGCCAAAATCATCGCCATCGCGTAAAGGCCAAACATGATGATAACAGTTACCAATTGATACGCTGTGTTGCCTGCAATCAAGTCAACAACTCACACAACACATTTTTGACATTTACTTTAACTGACATTTTTTTTTCTAAAGTTTTTCATAAGTTTGCAGTGATGTAAAAAAGTATTATATATAAAAAGCTTCACAGTCTTTGTTGATCATAGTCCCTTACACTCAGCAGTTTTTAATTATTTCCAAACTCCTAATTTAACACGCCTGATTCAGTTCATCAAGTCTTCAGGAGCAGCTGAGTGGGGGAATGAGGTGGATGTGATTAGAGCTGCAATAAAACTCTACAGGAGAATCACCAGGAGCAAAACAGATTAAGACCCAGTTAGATGTGGACTATTGCTGCAGAGATTTAGCCGAACCCTTGTGTTCTACCCTAAGACACATATTGCTGCCCATTATCTCTTTCTCTCATTATCCGTCTATCATCATTCAATGTTTCTTCTGAAATCAAGGGTATTAATTAGAGAGTTTGCCTCCCTTTGCTGCACTAACAGCTTCTACTTTTCTGGGATGGCTTTATGGTAGATATTAGAGCAGTGCTGTGATTTTTTTTGATTGCATTCAGCCAAAAGAGCATTAGTGAGGTCAGGCACTGATGCTGGATGATTAGTTCTGGATTACAAACTCCACTTCAGCTCATCCCAAAGGTACTGGATTGAGCTCTATCACAGTTCTACTGCTACACAGCCCAATGCTGGGGGTCTCCATACCCCTCCAACCTACCAACGTATCTACCAACTAACCAACCAAAAAACCTACCTACCTACCTACCAACCAAACAACCAACCCACAAAGAAGCCTTTCTGTCGCCTTTATTAAAAAAAAATGTATAGTGTAATTGAACTGTACCCTGCTTTCTCTCAGGTCCTCCTGGTCTGGACGGTGTGGCGCGGGACGGTAAACCAGGAGAGAGGGGGCCGCAGGGTGCTCCGGGTGAGGCGGGTCATCCTGGAAAAGCCGGATCTCCTGGCCTTCCTGGCTTCTGTGAAGCAGCGGCATGCCTGGCAGCCTCAGCCTACACTTCCCCCAGACTACAGGAAGCGGGTAGCGTGAAGGGGCCGTCCACTTAATGCAGGCCATTCACTACAGCCTGAGGACATCTGAGAGAGAGCCAGGAAAAGACATACGGTCCTATCTTCCACCGGATGTCATCATGAAAGCAGGTGGAACGGTCCAGAGTGACTGACTTTGCAGTTTAGAGTGTGCGTGTTGTGTGCGTTTGTGTGTGATTGTGAAAGATGACGAGACGATTTGACTACATCACTTAAAGTGGCGACCAACGTTAATCGTAATAGTAATCTGGGCTAGTTGGGGGTCGATGGTTTGGCAGTGTTAATTACTTTGGTGCCATCCCACCATGAAGACAGCAAGATGTGAAAATATTTTCAGTATCATAGATGACATCAGGCCTGGACTAGACAATCTGTGATACGCAAGTCCAATCATTGGTGCTTTTTCTTATTTTTCTACAGTGGTCACTGCATACATTTGTTTGTTAAATATCATCTAAGTTCTGATTTAAAGAACAAGGTCAGTAAACATTCCCTCAAAACATGTACAAATTTTCCCAATAATAAAAAAGTCCAAAACTATAGTCTGTACCTTTGTAACTTATTGTTAATTACCTCATGGAAGCGCTTGTCTGCTCTTGAGCTCACAATTGCTATGTATATTATGCCCCCTTTGTACGTGCCTCAGCTTTGAAACAAATGATATGTCCTTCTATTTGCCCAGAAACAGTATATTATGCTGAATATTATCACTGATTCAGTGCTGTAAATCTTTGTAAATGTGTGTTAATTTTATATGAAGGGATGGGTTTACAAATATGAACAGAAACCCACAGTTAATGAATATAATCAGCATTTGGGATCAAGCAAAGAACTAAATGCCACTTTCAAGTTATCATGTGTTGTTTGTTTTGCCACAAAAGAAAGGAGAACTGATTATCTTCATTAACACTATTTATTGGTGATTATTTGGTTCATCTGTAAACGCTCAAGGTTTCTTATTTTCTTTTTCGTGGTTGTTCACGACAATTCAAATCAATAAAGAGGAACGTTTTGTAAGACTGAATGTTCTTCTGCATCTTGTGAAGCTCTTCGAAAAAAAAGAAAGCAAAGTTAAAAACCCTGCACCTGGCTTAATTCTTTTTCCTTTACAATTGCTACTTTCATTACATCTTCGCTTATAAAATAAAACAAATGCATCCATTAAGATGTTGTTTCATGGTGAAAAATCATCATCACTCCCATTTCAAGGCAAGATCTCGAAGGGTAATCCTGACCCCTGAAGCTTGCGGACAAGACGAGCAAAGAAATGTAAGCAGACCTTGTTTTTTTAGCTAGTGTGGCCAAGACAAGCTGTAGCGTGTAGAGGTCAGAGACATGTATTCCCATTTCCAATCAAAATAGCCATCAAGTTCAGCAGCAGGACACGTTTTAAAATATATTAGACAGAAAAATTGACAGAAGTGCCAGCAATTAAATATACACCACCTGGCCACTTTAATAAATATACCTCCTTATTTCTACACTCATTCCCTATTTTATCAGCTCCACTTACTATATAGGAGCACTTTGTAGTTCTACATTTACAGACTGTAGTCCATCTGTTTCTCTGCATACTTTGTTAGCCCCCTTTTACTCTGTTATTCAATAGTCAGAACCCCCACAGGACCACCACAGAGCTGGTATTATTTGGGTGGTGGATCATTCTCAGCACTGCAGCGACACTGATGTGGTGGTTGCATGTTAATGTGTGTTGAGCTGGTACGAGTGGATCAGACACAGCACTGCTGCTGGAGTTTTTAAACACTGTGTCCACCCACTGTCCACTCTATTAGACACTCCTACCCCCAAAGGTACACCTTTTAAATGTATAATTAGAGACAGTAGCTCATCTGTTGCTGCAGTGTGTATTGCTCATCCTCTAGACCTTCATCAGTGGTCACGGGACACTGCCCACAGGACGCTGTTGGCTGGATATTTTTGGTTGGTGGACTATTCTTAGTCCAGCAGTGACACTGAGGTGTTTAAAAACTCCAGCAGCACTGCTGTGTCTGATCCACTCAGACCAGCGCAACACACACTAACACACCACCACCACATCAGTGTTACTGTAGCGCTGAGAATGATCCACCACCCAAATAATACCTACTCTGTAGTGGTCCGCCACACAAATAATGCCAAATAAAATTTATGAAGTTCTCAAATGAACTGAAACTTATGCTGCCAATGTTGATGTTCTATTGCAATTCATAGGAAAAACAACAGTCATTTAATATAGATCTAGGCAACTGTTGCCTTAAGGGAAATGTTTTCCTTGCTATCACATGCCCAATTTAAATCAGCCATCAGAAGAATCAAAGCAGGGGATACACTGTGCAGTTCATCAGGCCTCCGGGACAAAGCCTTTCTCTCCCTGATACTGTAATAAAAAGTAATAAATAATAAGTCACAGCGAGGTAATACCACAATGTTCCCACATCTGTCAGAAAAGGAAACAACAAAAGGGATCAATAGTCAAAACATGAAAAATTACATTGCTTTGGGTAACAACCTGTTTGGAAGAACACTGTTAGTATTCCATTGAATGAATCCATTCCAGTCTGCTTTTAAAACTTTATTGCTTTCCTTAATTTTCTTTAAAAAAAAAAAATAATATTTGCACACAAATGGCTACAACATGATGAATGACAAATGGATCTATAAGTAATGGTGGCTTTTTTTCTCTTTTTAAGCTTGACGTTTGTTAAAGCACTGCAAAATGAAGTGAAACAGCAAGTCGTTTTTGATCACATAGAGGCTCTGAGTCATTTTAATGTACATTGGGGTAACAGAGGTTTTTAGCTGAAAACTTACAACTGAGAGAACTGCAGAGATTATAGTTTTAATGTGCTAAGGGTCAGCTTTATAGGTGCTTTATGTAGGATTTGAACCTGAAGCGGCATCAGAAAAGATCATAAATCGGTAGCTAACACTAGTCACTATTGCCGTTTGTCACAGAATGAATGTAATTATTGAATGCACAGATGTTTCTCACATACAAAATAATCATTTTGAGCTATAAAATAGGTGGATTTGGGGGCAAAAGTAATATTTTCTGGCTTTTATTCCTACATAGTGCACCTCTAAATGGTCCCAGATTCACCCCTCTGCCACACACAGATATACACACAGATGCTTGGGTTAGTACACTGTAAAAAATAAGTCAGGTTAACATTTGGGTCAAATTTTAAAGCAACCATCTGCACAGCTTTTCCGGCTCAACTGTGTAACCACCCAATCGGGAGAATGAATCTGAATCGCAGTGATGTCACTGCCATCTGTGGTCGGGGGTCTAAAAGGAGGAAGCACTCACACACACCCCACAATGCCTGTCCCCCAAACAGGGGGCATCACGCAATAGCCTGTAGGTGGGATCTGGCAATGACCAAATTCAAGGGAGGTAGAAACTGAATAAAAATCCAACCAAACTGTAAACAAGTTGAGCTTATAAGGACGTGACAACATTCACTGTTTTTATTGAGTAAGTAAGTTATAATGTAAACAAAGTCATTCAGATTGATGTGAAAGGCTCCATTCTAGAGAAACATGCTAAATTGTACCATAAAAAGTTATGGTTAGGAATATGCTGCCTGATGAGTTTTACGATAGGTCTAAAATATAATTTTGGAATACATTTATTGCAGAGAGGTACATGCAATGCAAAATAGTAGCCAAAACACATAAACACAAAAGTTAAATGTGTAGGTTTACTGGTCATTTTCTGTAAGAAATAAAATGGCTATATTTGTGTTGTAGACATCACGACCCCTGGTTCCTATTAGCACCACTGTAAAGTAATCAGAGTCTTCATGATTCTCTACAAAGAACCATTTCATATCAAACCACTCTGAATGACTTTGTTTACACCTCAACGACAGAAAGTATGATGAATTGGTGGAATTCCCCTTTAAACTGTACTGTTTAGCTAACTAAGTGAGATAACTGTGCAGCTGGTTGCCTTCAAATTTTAAGTTGACCTGAGTATTTCATTTATGGAATATACTTGTGAGCACCAGGCATTGACCTAAATGTACGTAGGTATAATCTCTACCCTGCATTTGACCCAAATCCCTGGCCCTGTGTCCAACCCCAACCAAAAACAAAGACCACAAGCAGTGGTTTGGCTCTTTCAGTTCTAAAAATCAAAGGCATCACACATACACCCACACACAATAAAGTTACGAAGGTCTGACAGAGAGCGAGAGAGGATAAAGTGCTGACTGTAAATGCATCAGGTTGGCGTCTGGCTGACACAGCAGTGTGCAGAATGGCGGTATCAGGAGAGCTTTCAGATTACCGGATGAAAACTACAAACTATGGATGATGGGGAAGCTGGCGCCTTTCTTGTGGCGAATATGAAAGCACAGTAAATTCTGGATGTTAAAAGTATTGCGAAACCAACAGAATTTCTGCGAGGATCTATGTGGTTTACCTGAAAGTGGTACAGCATATCAAATCAAGGAGTTCAAGTCTAAAAGGCTTTAGAGTGGTGGAGGTTTGAAAGGTTAATGATTCGAGGCCATGGATGGATGTCGCTTAAAATTGCTCTAAAGATTATCTCCCTACAGGATTCTGTAGTACAAAATTTTCCACTCAAGTAAACAAGTTACTGACTTCAATTTCCATATAAAACCAACAAATTTGTACATAATTGATCTGTTTAGTGCTTTTAAAAATACCACAATATCTGAGATGACACTAGCAAATATAATAAGGACTGTCATGCTGATGCCAATCTATTACAAATGTATAAAAAGCCATTACATATTAACACAAATATGTACAACACAAGCCCGAAGGGAAATAGGAATAATTATATCTCGTCTGTACCTTTACAAGTGCCATAACGCGAATGCAGTGGAGTGAGTATAGTAGGCCACAATATCTGGCACAAAATAAGATTGAAGGGACTTTTTAAAGACATCTTGAGACGTTAGGTTCATGTAAAGAGAGAGCGTTCCAGAAGGGACAGTGTGAAATGTTTGTGACACATTGACTCAGCAAAGCAGTAAACCAGCAGAACGCAGCAGCTGCCAAGAAGACCCAAAAAACTAGAGGATTATTTGCAGCGAAAGCATTTCAGCACAAAAAAAAAATGGTGCAAATAGGTAACGCTGGCAGGGAAAGCTGGTTCATAGTTGATTTTCTCAATGATGACACCATTAAAGCCAATAAAGCAGGTGTGTTCAAGGTAGTGGAGTTGGAGAAGGAAAAGCTCTTTTTATGGTCAGGGTACTTAAATCCAGGAGTCTTCAGTCAGGCATTAGTAAACAGAAACTCCATATCAGATGGTAGAGAACTCCAAATAAAAGAGAGGCATGATGGATGATAATCCAGGTTTTCCAAGAGAGTTTGTAGCCTTGCTGCACTCATGGTAGTGGTTGCAGGGAAATTCAAACCTTTTGACACCGGTTCACCTTTAACAGATAGCTTATAGAGGACTCCTTTGGTGGTAAGCCAGCAACCTGGCCCTGTAGCATTTGTCATTTTATGATGACAAATGCCCCCTAATTCCCCCTCGTTCTCCAAGGATCTTCTCAGGTGCGATAGCAGGCAGATTCATTGGTGTGATGAGAATGCTGATCTTTGGGTCTCATCCTGTCCCCTTAACTCTCTCGTTCCCTCATACTCTCTCTAGTACATGGGGCCTTTCATTGGTGGGCCCTTGGGACTGTACTCCACAGGCACACTCATACAATCAGAGGGGTGACAACGGCCATCTTTGCCCTTCTGTCCAGGAGACCCTGGAGGTCCAGGAATTCCAGGAATACCCTGTTGACCAGAGGGGCCTGGTGGTCCTAATTTACCATAGCCAGGGGGTCCAGGAACACCTGTGGGAAAAATGGGAAAAAGGAGTGAGGAAGATCAGATTGAAAGACATGAGAAAATTCAAGGATATATTAATTATATTGATTAAGGGTTTAAGACAAATGGAAAAAATGGCCAGTTCTCTCTTTAAATTAGGGCTCCTTATTAAGCAACACACTCTGTAACATGCTAAGTAGTGCTATTTTGAAATGAAAAGACAATGATCTAACAAAGCCAGACATGTACACATTTTTGTCATGAGCTACCAATCTGAGCGAGCAAATGAATGTATATACTTTAACCTTCAGTCACGTCTCATTAGGCCTGTCATGATCATGAAATTTTTGCCAACAATTTTTTAACAGATTATTTTTGTTCGTTGTATGCTGCTAGTGAATTTCAAGCCTAAAGTGGCCAAACTGGCTAATTAGTTTGCTCTGGCAGTATTATTGCTGCTTCTTTTTCACACTTGTGATGTATTACTTATGGCAGCCGACAAGATCCTGTTCACAGTACAATTAAAAACACGTAGCAAACTCATAAACGTGCTGCAAACACAAAAAACACTTGTATCAAAATGACTACACATGCAGAAAACACACACACACACACACACACACAAACACACACTTTCTAAGCTGCTTATTCTTCCAGGTCGCAGGAGGGGGGTGGGGGCTGGAGCCTATCCCAGCAGTTATTGGGCGGAAGGCAGCCTGGACAGGTTGCCAGTCCATCATAGGGCTGACACACAGACATATATATACACACACACATTCACACCTAGGGGTAATTTAGCGTAACCTTTGAAATTAAACAGGCTGTTTTTGTTACTTTGTCTTTAAGACTAATATATGCAAATGATCTATGTTTTGACTGGCTGCCCTGTATCGTGCCTTGCTAAAAAAAACTTGGGCTGAAACACTGCTTATAATTTCAACATTAATGGGAGAAGCTAAACTGGTAAATAAATTAAAAGCACTGGGTGACATCAGAAAAGCAATTACTTCAAAACAAGCTGCCTTTGCAGATTGGTTTCTAAATGTGGACTCTATGGACTGAAGAGGGAATGACACGTTTTGAAACAATAACATGTTTACTCTTTTACAATATCAAACTCTTTTATTTAAAAAAAAAAATTGTTTTCCACGATATGAGCCCTTTAACCATCTCTAGGCCCTTTCTATCACAAACGCTACACGGCACGGTTTAGTAAGTTTAATAAGATGTTCTCTTCAAGTATAGACGGCAGCATCTACAGCACCTGATGCTCTGGGTGAAAACGTTATGAAAGACAGGCCAAATATATGTAACCCAGAGAAGCTGGATGTGCTCTCTGTATTCTGACCCAGTCCTTCAAACACATATCTGAGCTCTCACCTGGAGCGCCTGGGGGTCCGGAATCTCCCATCTCTCCCACGCCTTTATCTCCTTTCTCTCCCTTTACACCAGGCGGGCCTGCAGACACATTCCAGTGGTGAGTAGAATACCGAGCTCTGGGGGTATTCTCGTGTTTATTCTGGGAAAAATTAGGACAGTGCTGCTCTTACCTGGAGGGCCAAGAGGTCCCGATCTACCCTCCCGCCCGATCTGTCCTGGACGGCCAGGTATCCCTGGGGGTCCAGGCATTCCTGGGCTTCCATCTTTTCCTGGGGGTCCGGGTCGGCCAGGTGGTGCTACCATCTCCACTGGCATCTGCACGCGTGACATGTAGTAGGCCATTCGCTCTGAGGAGACAAGTGAACATTAGTCAAAGAGAGACCTTAAGGTTTATGACAATATGTGGGAGAATAAAAGTGACCATTGCTTTATTTGTTTACTTATTTTTTGTGTAGACTGTTATTGCACAACGGTAACAACACAGGCAATTTTAACATCCTGTATGAAACAGAAACCAACACATATTTCTCTCTGTTAGCACTTTACAAATGGGGGTGGGAATCACTACAGGCCCCACGATACAATATTATCGTGATACTTCAGTCATGATATAATTCTATTGCGATATTAAAGATTTGTGATATGCTGTGTATTGCAGTGTGACGTTGCAATCAGAAAATTACACAAATTATTTATCCAAAATAAAAATTTGTTTCATATAATGTAGCTTACACTTTACCTTACTTAAACCTTTTTAATTGCAGGAAAACACACATCAAACAAAACTCAGATTTATTTATCTAGCAGATGCTTTTATGCATAAAATGTATAAAGAAGACAAACAAAATTTAAAACAGGCTCCATCATTATACATTTAACAAATGCAATTTACAATAACAAATGAATATAATATTAGAAATCTTGCCTGATGATTGATATATTGTATTGCATAATGATTGATATATTGTATAATATACTCTACTGGTATATTATAGTGGTGCTTCTGATTCCTGCCTGAACATTGTATCAAAGACCCAAACCAAGAGCGCATGCCTCTTCAAGTCAATGGGGCGATACAGTGATATAGTTCCTGTCTGCATAAGTCTTGCATCATCCGCTTAGTCTCCCAGGGCAATAACAGCAGACTGTGCAGAATCACCATGTAGCTGGCTGAACATACCCAAAACAAAACTGTTTTTTTATTTTTTTTAACTTAAAACTCCTCAGAAAATGCATGTTTAGGCTAAAAAAAAGTCACAAGACCCAAAATATACTTTATTTAACACTTTATACAGTCGCCAGTTCACTGTAATCATGAAGCAGGGAAATATAATTTCTAAAGTTAGGTGAAATGGGCAGAATTTCCTGCTGTTGTGAATGTGGTTCCGGTCTCTGTTGTCTGCATAAAGTGGGAATAAGTTCCCCTTCCATCTCGCCTAAACCATATGACTGCAACCATGTGTGATTCTTTCATGGCGGCTCTTGCTTCAAGAATCCTCCCTGAAACTTTTGTTCCAACAGAAAGAATGAGCACAATCTCATGGACTAAGACAGAATTGCATTTTGGTAATCTATTATTATAAGATACAGTATATTAGTACATTAGTATTTTCATGTATTAACCAAACAGTATCTCTTTAGGTACATTGATTGTTATATGTCCTATGCAATTGTTATTTTTGACCACGGTTTCAATTAGTGAAGTAACTGATACGAACAGTTAGCATAGTTGAATCCATGCATACAATAAGCAGGAATCAGAAGCAATAATATACTAATAAAAGTCACTGGGCAAGATGTCTAACATATTCCCTTGCTATTGGAAATTGCATTCGCTAAATATCTAATAATGAAGCCTGTTTTAAATGTTGTTTGTCTAGTTTATATATGCCGGCTCAACTTATGCTTACCTTAGGATACCTAATGTACCCGCAAATAAAGTCCTTCTATTTCTGGAGCCACTTTTGAGAGAATAACGACCTTGTCTGAGCATGTTTAGGGTTGTTACTTCAGTTTTCTCCAAGAAATGTGTCATTACTTTTTATTTGAGGAAAATAATGTGAAAGCCAAGTGACAGCAGGTTCTCTCACCATCAAAGATCTTTATGACCTGCTGTCTGATGAAAGACCTGATCTCCTCATAGTTGACAACAGCCTGAAAAGAGAAAAAATAGCGCATAGACAGTGCTGCTCTCTACAGCCAAACAGATCCATCAAGTCTATTTTTACACACGCTACGTTTGGAAAAGTTATTATATTTTATATTTGTTCAGATAAAGTTTGTAGACAAAGTTCTGCAGATAAAGTTTGATTTAGATAAGATGCTGGCAGTTGGCCTTACATCATTTCCTGGCATTCCTGGTTGTCCAGGGGGACCAGCCTGTCCAGGGGAACCAGGGCTACCTCTCTCTCCTCGTGGCCCTGCTGGCCCTATTATTCCTCCAGAGTCCTTCATGGAGTAGGGTCCTCCACCTCCTGGTGGTCCAGGACGACCACGCTCTCCTGGTGGACCCCTTGGTCCTGGTGTTCCTGCGTCACCCTGAAGGGACAATGGACAAGTTATGATTCCTGCATGCGATTAGGAGCAAATAAAGAAAAGATACAAAATATTAACCCAAAGACGATTGCTACCCATGAAAGGTCTTGGCACCAAAGTTATGAGCACATGCAGAGTAAAGGTATAAATCTCTGACATCATAACAACTGGATTTGATCATAATTCTTTAGGAAATCATTAAATGCTTTAAGATTTGATTCTTTTGGTACAATTTAGAGTTTTTTTAAATACATCTAATATATGAGATGACCAGAGGAACAGAGAAATATAGACCACAGAAACAATAACTGACAAAACAATACATAAATATGAAATACCTGTAGTAATGGTTGAAGTATTTGGGGAAAATATCGAAATGCAATTTTTCTGACTAATACTGCAATTGCAATTTAAATGCAACTATTTTCTATAAATTAAGCTCCTGGCATTTTTTGGCCAAGAACACCAGCACATCCATTGTATACTGAAAGTAGTGTACCAGATTAAAACTTCTTAAGACAACGTTAAATAATAAAGGTTGTAATTAAAATTGCAGTATGTGACTAAATACAGTATTCAACCTGATAAGTTCTCTTCGGATGGGTTCTTTATGACATGGCTCTTCAAGCACTGTAATCTCCACGACAAGCCTCTAATCTCCATGGCAGGACTGATGAACATTAACACACTCGAAAGCAGCGGCATCAATAGCATTAGTGAGACTAAGTCAGCTGAACGCTTGTACGCTGACAGGCTCCTGCTGTGGGTTTGAGAGAGTAGGCGCTGCAGTAAGACAGATAGAGACAGCCACTCAGTATGAAGGTGTGACTTTACATGGTTGAGAAAATGGGCAAATCTGGAGAGGTGTAGCTTAACTCAGGGAGGAAAGGGTGAGGGGGGGTAAGCAGGGGTGACGCTATCCTGCTCCATAATGTTACAGAGGAAACTGGCTGACGGGTAAATATGAGTAAAAAACATTGATACCAAAGTACATACTGCAGTAATTCCTTGTGTAAGACATTACACTGGTGGAAAGCAGGGCTGCATGATATGGACATAAAATGTGATGATCGATAAAGCTACTGGTTATCACTATGCTGATATCAGGGGTGATAAATTGTTACAAAAGCAGTGTGTCTCTGACTGAATGTGCCACAAGTACAGACTTTATTTGCTGTGTAAGCAGAAATCTAGCTAACAAAATTAAAAAGGCTCTATTCACTACTACAAAATAAAAATAACAAAATACTAATAGAAATACTTTAGGAACATCAAAAGCTATTTGACTACTAATTGACTACTAAAAATTCTTGTGGAGAATTTGAAGCCTATCAAGATTCCCTGAACAGCTTGTTCTATTCATGTTATGTTGGCCTACAAAAACATATATATATGCAATGCCCTGCGATGGACTGGCGACCTGTCCAGGGTGTATCCTGCCTTCCGCCCAATGACAGCTGGGATAGGCTCCAGCACCCCACCGCGACCCAGAAGGATAAGCGGTTTAGATGATGTATGTATGTATGTGTATGTATGTATGTGTATATATATATATATATATGCATAGCCCCTTAAAAAGCTCCTTATGATGATGCAGATTCGTTGTGACAGTAGCGCCAATACTGCTTCATACATTTTACCATGCAAGCAAGCAAGCAACGTTTATTTATATAGCGCTTTTTACAACAGATGTTGTCACAGAGCAGCTTTACCATGCAGTCTATACAATGTACATACTAATACATACTAGGCTAGTAGGACTTAGTAGGCTTCTAATGACACATTCTCGCAAATCTAATTACATCACTTTTGTGCTGCACATAATTTGGTCATCACAGCGTTTAACAGTGTTTCTTGTGGAAACTCATCGCAATTCCGATAAAAATACCATTTATTGTGTTGTCTTAGTGCCAAGTATTTACGTTCCTAATACATTTCAGTACCCTAAATAGATTTCACTGCATTAAGTCGGTTAACTGTTCACCAGTGTCACTACTTGACCACTGTCAAGACACATGCAATGAAAATAAAGTACACATGCAGCACAACAACTATGCCCTCCTACTATTGGAGAATCCTATAGTGGATTAGGGTTGAGACAAAACATTGTAATATATTGTGTTTAGCATGGGCTATGTTTCATGATAACATCGGATCGCAAATTACTCTCTGCTTCCTTTCTTGGGTGAAAATACTTTGAGCATCAAGTCTAACAGGCTGCATTTTGTTTACTACAATCCTGTAAAAATACTCCATAGCTAGGTAGGACTCCCTAGACCAGGGGTTCCCAATCCACACCTGGCAACCCCACACTGCACATTTTAGTGCTTTGTCTCATTTAGCACACCTGATTTAACTTGTTGACTAATTAACAAGGTACTTGCTGGCAGGGAATACACAAAAATGTGCCAAGCATGGAGTCACCAGGACTGGGACTGGGAACCCCTGCCCTAGATCACGCAATGCTACCAAACTGAGAGGGTGAAGATTAACACAGGATCTCCTGAACTCCCAGCCATGTTGGCAGGACTCAAACTTACAATCTCTTGGACAACTGCACTACTCGGAAGCTGGAATGCTGTTACAGGGAGCTGTTAACATTTAACAAACGTTTGAACGTGCGAGAATGTGCAGCAGCAATATTAACACAGTTGCACTAATTATCCACAAACGTTTGCCCTAAACAGATCTATTTTTAATGGATTAGCTGTTATTTGTAAAATCTAAGAGTAATTTAAAAAATAATACTATTACATTCCCAAATGGGATATGATGGTGTGAAATAAGATGGAAATAACAGGATAAACAGCCTTTTTCTGTATTTTCACCTCTATTCCCCTGTGTTTTTTTTCTTCCACAGTGCCTTAAAACAACAGAACAGACTCACCTTCTGTCCCTGTGAACCGATCTCCCCTGGCAGGCCTGGTGTTCCCTGAGAAGCAGATTTAGGACAAAAAGAAGAATTATTCAGTTTAAATCTTTGTATTATTTGGAAATGTGCAATATCAGCATGATAAACGGGCAGATGTTAATTTAGTGACTGAACTAGGTTGTTCTGATCAATCAAATGTTCTGATCAATTAAACTGATCAAACATGACTTACATCTTTTCCCACAGCACCGTCGCTGCCTGGTTCTCCCTGAGTACAGAAAAATATTAAACTTTTTAAATAGTTTTTCCAGAGTATTAAGACTGAAACACAGAGGTTAAAGTGTGTGGGTCACAAATTTGTAATGAATTGCAAGTACAGACCATCTGTCCTGGATGCCCAGGGGCCCCTGGAGACCCAGGCATTCCTGCCAGCCCTCTCTCTCCTGCCTCGCCCTTGTCACCTTTAATGCCCTGCCGATTGACAGGAGGACAGAGTCAGTTGGATCAGGATGAAAACCAGCAGGGTGGGATTTTATTGGCACAGTGAACAGTTTTGTTTGTCTTACTCACCACGCCAGGAGATCCAGCTTGCCCTGGTGGACCTGGGGGGCCTGCAGCACCCTGTAGAGTGAATTACAAACAATTCATGTCCACATATTTTTGTGGATTATAATAAATAAAGGAAGAACACAAGGAAGGTCTTCTTAAAGGATTACCAGATGTCCTGGTGGTCCCGGTGGACCTTGTGGCCCTGGTGGTCCAAGGTCACCCTGAAAACACAGGCCAAGGAAGGTGGAGGTCAAATTGATCATGCGAGCAAATAAAACCAATGATTCTGGAACAGAATACTTCGCTAAAGTATATCGATGTTGTCGGAACAAAACCTCGTATCTCCAAAATGGTAACTTTACAGGAGAAGAGAAAAACATACTTTACCTTTAATGTAAGTCAATGGAACCAGAGTTTTTTCCAGGTCATTTTGGGCTGTTTCTTTTGGTCCATTCATCATGAAATTTATAAAGAATGTAAAGGGCAACAGGCATTTTCAAATTATGTCAAAAACTGAAAAACGAGGTTATGTTCCGACAGCAGTGATTTATAGGCTATTTTAAACTTGAATCAGAGTAAGATGCATTAAAATGTAATTGTAGACAGCTGTTACCCTCCTCAGTGATTTTAAGTGGTAGTTCAAAAATCAAATTTACACAACTTTTGTTCTAAAATGGACAATACAACAGACAAAACTGGGTCTTCACTGTGGCTACTATCACCAGCTGTCCACATAAGTTGGTCCATTTTTATAAATAACATTATGCCATATACTGTCAGAAACATTTAAAAAGCTACATTAGCCTTGTAGCTCCAGTGAAAGCAAAAGAAGCAGAGTTTGGACACTAAATATATTCACTGTCCAAAGAAAAATGTATTTCCGAAACAGTAACTTTACAAGAGAAGGCAAAAATATTCTTAGCTTTTAATGTAAGTTAATGTAAAGTGATTTTAGAGCATTTCTGCTGGTCCATTCATCATGAAATTTCCACACAACGTAAAAGACAGCAGTCATGTTTAAATTACATGACGACATGCTGATCGAGATTTGGGGTAGATGGGAAAATCTTTCACTGAACTATCGCTTTAAAAGACTGCTGTTTACAGTTACTTTTGAATTGATTTTAGTGGAAAAACCAAGGTTTATGGAATCGTTTCAACCCTACACCACTTCCCCTCTTGAGTATAAAGCTTTATGGACAGCTATAATAGAGCTCACCTCAAGCCCTGGTCTTCCCGCTGTCCCAGGTGGACCCTGAGGTCCAATATCTCCCTGAAGAGCACAAAGAAAGAGAGATGAAGACGCAAAAAACAGGGACGAAGAGATGAAGCAGCAAACAGAGAGAAAAAGGACCACAAAGAAAAGGTACTAGTTTTAAAGTGTTCACTTCATCTGCATGAAAATGGTGAAGAAGACTCTTCTACCTTTTGTCCTGGGAGGCCTGTATGACCCTTTAAGCCCTTGAATCCCTGCCATGAGAAATAACATAATCAGAGCTACACAGCATACAGAACAAGTCTAAATCCGTACGTTCGAGAAGACAAAATCAACATCCAGACACCCAATGTTTCCATTTGTTTAGATATTCCAGAAATAGGAGCCACATTGAGAACTGCCTCAACCGGTTCAACTATGACGGAACATCTTCAAAGAAATGGGAAGATAAAATTAGAAACATATAGACAGATTCTTGTTCATACCGGTATTCCCCTGGGTCCAATAGGGCCAGCTGGACCTGGATCACCCTGCGAGTTGAAGAGACAGAAGTAATAATAATTATTATTATAAAAATAACAATATTTATATACTCCTTGCTCAAAGTGCTAAAAAGAAAGGCTTTAATAGAAAGACATCATTTAAAAATAAATGTGAAAAACATGGAAATACAGTGAACAAAACAATGCATTTGTCATAAAGTAGCAATGAGGACAAAGTAGTACAGTAAAACAGCAAAACAGTAAAAAAAATGGAAAATTTACTTTTAAAGCAGTCATAAAAATCTTACGAAAGCCACGCTAAAAATTAAAATGCTAAAGGAAGTGTGCTTATAAATGTGCTAGAAGTACAGCACCCCTGGTCGAATTATGTGTTTTGATGATCTTCTAAGTGAAAATAATTTAACACGTCCTCTACGGCAAACACACTTCATTTATTCACTGAGTTTAATGCTGAAATGCTAAATGCTAATGCTAAAAAAATTAAATATATGTGCCATAAGACTTGTGCCATACATTTTGCACATGCCAAACTTGATGTTTTATTTTTTCCCAGCAAATAATTTTGCATTAAATTGTGCAGAAGTGAGTTCTCTGTAGAGGATGTGTAACTTTTTTCACTAAAGCAACAAAACATGTTATTTGACCAGGGTTGCCAAAACATTTGCATACAACTCCGTAGCTCCACAAGTAACAAAGTAATGTGACCCCACAAGCCATGTGATGATATGTATTGCTAATGCAGTTTAATCAATGCAACTGAATCAAGAAGCAAAATCTAAACTAAAACATTTGAAATATCATCTGACCCGTGGTCCTGGTTTTCCGTCCTTTCCATCGTTTCCTTCTAACCCAGGAGGACCCTACAAAAAGACAGACAAAGACAAACATATACGTTTATAAAGAAGTATGCATAAGTGGAAAATAAAACCGCAGAGCTGAGTTCTTGCAGGTAGAGACATTGTGTAGTGTACATCTTCACTAAATGCCTTTCTTGGACTCTGTGCCAGGGTAGGGCTATTCTCCTGAGGCTGTGGAGCTGGCCTTGCTCCCAGCCTCCCACACAGGCACAGACGCTACATTAGCTTTACAGATGCCACAGATTTACAGATCGTCCTGGGTCTGTGCCCTCACCGGCATGCCTGGGCGTCCTGCAGATCCGGGAGGGCCTGGGGGTCCCTGTGGGCCTTGGGCTCCAGGGCTGCCCTGCAGGAGAGATACAGCACAGAATCAATTATTCAAGAATCCAGTGAACTGTCAACTAGGAGATTTCTGTCAATTAAATCATCCCAGACTATAGATGTGATATGCATTCCAGCAGCAGAGCTACAGATTACAGATATATAGTATATATATATATATATATATTATTCTTATTATTCTGCTGTATTGAAATTGCGATATACCATATCTATTAAAAATGAATTTAGAAGTAAAGTGATTGGTTTAAGGCCTTGTTTCCGTATAGGTGCTATTATCATGATAAAGGTCAATACCTTGATAACAATTACCAAATAACACATTGTGTAACCCAATCCTGCTGAACCTGTCAGTATGTGTATATGGTATAAGAGTGAGAGACAAACTCTATGTGTAGATGAATTTTGAATAAACATGCGTTTTCATTGTGCCAGCATATTTTTACTTATTTGGCACCAAATGCTCATATAGATTAGATACAGTACTGTGCAAAAGTGCAAAAGAGACCATTCTTCATTTACTTGAATTCCAGTCATAACAGACATTAAGTTATTCATTTTTTACATATTCTTACTTTACATAAAATTACCAAGTAGCCTCAACAACAAAACATAATGTCATTTTTCAGTATTTAGTGTGTTCACACTTTGTCTTTGTTATAGCTTCCATTCTTTTCAGGAGACTCACTTTCAGTTTTTCAAAGAAATCTGCAGGGATATTTTTCCACACTTCCAAAGTTCAGTCTTAGAAGTTGGTTGCATTTTCTGTTCTCGCGATCCAAGTAATCCCAAATACACTCAGTGATGTTGAGGTCTGGACTCTGAAGTTGTCTGTCCATTGTTTTGAGAACAGCAGTGATGTTTTTGTTTGATTTATACATTTTCTACATTTTCTTTCTATCTATATGTTTTATTTATTTTTCAAAGAACTGCACTGGTTACCTGTGTCTTTTAGGACAGATTTTGAAGTTCTGCTCTTAGTTTTTAAGGCTCTAAATGATCTTAAATCTCCCGCTTACATCACAGAATGTCTGTGTGTTCTAGCCTTCTTTAAATACGTTCCGTAAAATACAGAAAACACGGAGAGGCCTCGTTCAGTTATTATGCTTCTAAACTGTGGAGCTCAATTCCACTTTTCATTAGACAGTCAAGCTCAGATCACAAGTTTGAGAAACATTTGAAAACATCTCTTTAACTGAGTGTTCAATTAAAATTCGACGTGTCTTTGTTTTTTATTTTTAACTTGATCTGTCATTGTCTTGTCTATTACTGTAAACCATTAGCACCTGTCTGTGAAGATCTTTGAGCTGCCACTGGTATGAAAAGTGCTCTATAAAATAAAGATATTATTGTTATTATTATCATTCCCTTCTCACAGTGAGGGCTTCTTGGCAGCTACATATCCTTTAAAAATAAAGCATTGAGCTGTTCTCTCACAGTGGAAGGATGGACAGAAACACCTGTGGATTTTTTCAGATCTTAAGCAAAAGTGGAGCTTGATTTTCTCCTCTCTCTCAAATATTAAAGCTTTAAGTATGTTCATCTGATGGGGACAGTTTTGGTGGGCTACCAGGTCTTGCAAGTTGCTAGGAGTCCCGTTTTCTATCCATCTTTTAATAACACTATTAGGACAACTTTTTTCAATTATTTTTCTTTGGATGTTCCCATCCTTATACAATATTTCTCATGTGAAATGAATAATTTGTACTTAAAGGCTATTTTGAAAAAATGAAAGATGGTCTCTGACTTTTGCACAGTGTCAAAATTGGCACTTGCCGGCTCTGCTTTTGATCCTGGTGGTCCGGTAGGTCCAACTTTTCCTGGGAACCCTGGTTGTCCCTGAAAAGACATTCAGCAGTTAGACTATGGAACATACGCAGGAAAGCCATACAATGACTGTTAAATCTTATTAAGTATGTTCTACCTGTTGTCCAGGGAACCCTGGTGGTCCTGGGAAGCCCTACATCGAAACAAAATAACAGAAACAGTTCTTACTAAGTGTTCTGTACCTGTAACTACAACGCTGTTCAGACTCTTGGGATTCTTATTTTTTGTTTTGCCGGAGCTATAAATATGTTGAGAAAAGCAACAGAGATAAGCAGCTTTGATATTTTTAAAGTAAGTGGTATCAAGAGATAACGCAGCTATATAAGTCTTTTAAGATAAAAGTTGTTTGGTAAGAGTTGCTTTAATGTGTTTTCATACCTGATCTCCCTTCGGTCCCAAGGGTCCCGCTGCTCCTGCTTCCCCTTTGGGACCCTATAAGCACACAGGTATCTTTACATGGAGCATAATAAAAACATACTGATAACAGCACAGAAACCGTTAGCACTGCTGAAATCTGTATACACAAAATACACTATAAAACAGACAGATGAGCACAAACAGACGGGGATTTAATGATGGTGGTTGTAGGCAGAGGGGATGTTTTCTTACAGCTGGGCCTTGTGGTCCCTGGTAACCTGGAGATCCTGGCGGACCCTGCGGAGGCAAACCACAACTGAGATGCCTGTTTTCTTTGAATGTTCCCTTGTGTACATTTGCATTAGACTCTGGGATCTGCTGCACAGAGAAAGTTTCTTACTGATTCTCCTTTTTGTCCCACGCTTCCCGGACTGCCTCTCTCTCCTTTCAGGCCCTAAAGCAGCAAACAAAAGAATTCATTATTCAGTTTACAGTGAAAACACAAACCCAATTCCAAAAAAGTTGGGACAGTGGGTAAAATGCAAAGAAAAACAGAAAGCAGTGAATTGTAAATCCACTTTTACCCGTAATTAAAAGAAAACAGGACAAAAATGTTATTAACTTCTTTGTTTCTTTGTTATTATAAGGTTCTTCCAAAACTGACGCCTGCAACATGTTCCAAAGTTGGGACAGGGTACTTTAAGACTAGGAATAAAAGAGCTAATATAATCATGCTTGGGTATAAAAGGAGCATCCAGGAAAGGCCTAATGCTTTACAGATGAATCGTGGGCTTGCCACTTTGACAAAAATGCTTCTGCAAGGATTTCAGGTGTTTCACCCACTGCAGTGCATAATATTATTAAAAGGAATCCGGAAAAATCTCTGCAAGGCTAAAAAACACAGCTGAATGCCTGTGACCACTGACCCCTCAGACGGCCCTACCTTAAGAATCAATATGGTTCTGTGATCAATATCACCGCATGGGCTTAGGAATACTTTGACAAAACATTATCAATATACACAGTTTGTCACTGCATCAACAAATACAAATTAAGGCCGATTTATGCCTCCAGACGTCCGTAATGTCCAGAAACGTTAGCGACTTCTCTGGGCTCAGGTTCAAGGTCTTTCATGGTAGAGGGGGTATTAGTAACTTACACTGTTACACCAATAACACTGAACACACTTTGAAACAATATATACTGCCTTTTAGATGCCGTCGTTTTAAGTGACGTCACTGCTTATTTCAACATTACAATGCCAAGAAGCATTCTGCATGTGTTAAACAGCATGGCTGGTCCGCCTGTCTACTATAGAAAACACATGGTGCATTAAGAAGTGCAAAATGCGACAGTGAAGGCCCTGTATGGTTGTGCAGCTGAAGACTTGTATAACAAAAGAACAGCAAAAATATTACTTTCAAAACTGGATCAATTGTTGTCTTCAGTCCCCAAATGATTATTAAGTTGTGGCAAAATAAGAAATGCGATGTAACAGTGCAAACATGCTCCTGTCCCAACTTTTTTGGAACATGTTGCAGGCATCAAATTTGGAATGAGCATACACACTTAAAAAATATGGTTCTCAAGGGATCTTTACTAAAGCCCATAGTTCTATAGAACCATTTCATGCTTAAATTTCAGAACATTTCTGAAAATGGTTGTATATAGCATCAAAAAGAGTTCTTCTATTGCTTTGACGTCAAGCGTGTAACAATATCAGAACCTTTTTGTTTGTTTAAGTGTGTAACAAAAATTTTGTACTGTTTTGCTTTCAATTTAATACAGGTCAAACAGAATTTAGTAAGCACTGCTTTCTGCTGTATTGGCATACTGTCCCAACTTCTTTTGAACTGGGTTTGAGGAAATGTAACTGTAATTGTAGTATAATTCCAGTATAGTTGTGCTGTCATGTGACCTACTTAATTTCATTTCAAGCCATTATGTGGTATTTCATGTTAAATTTGATAGAGAACCAGACCAGATTTTTTTTTCTCTGATATTCAATCTAGTATTTTCAACCCTTTACCAGCTCTGGGTATGGGATCAGTGTCAGATCTGTAAATTCAAAATGTGATAACAGGAAAAAACACAAAAAAACTTTAGGACAGGAAAGCAATTACAGTATATATAATATATATATATAAGTTGACACTACATACAGGAAGTCCAGGTTGTCCCATAACTCCTGGGTATCCTGGTAATCCAGGTGGTCCCTGTTAAGAATAAAAAAGAGATGATGGAGTGGAGGGTCAACAGCTTTACTTAGAGATCTTGAAAACAAAGTACAAGTATTTATAGAAACCTTGAGGAAAAAAAAAACCTCATGTGACCCCTTCAAACCTCTTTGATCTTTAAAGCATCCTGATACTGCCCAAAAAGAAAGCCAGAAAACAGACCTACCTGTTCCCCCTTCAGTCCAGGAAGCCCATGTGATCCTCTCTCACCTTGCTGACCCTGCAACATAAATGATAATGGAGGGGCATTTGAGAAAAAGTATGACAAAATAATGGACTGCGCATGAATATACGTGTGAACAGGATGCACCATTGCAGCAATGTGACCATGAAGCACAGTTTTAAAGTGGCTGTTTACAGCTTTCTCAGATAGCCTATGTTCTGCATCATGATTTGAGGGGATTATAATGGTGCCTCCAGACTGCCTTGCAGTTCAGATCTCATTTCTGCGAGCTCGGTGCTAATGTGCTACGCTGGATCCTGACACCATCTCATTATTTACTTCCTAAGCGAGGCCTGGTAATGCGGTGAATGAATTATTGATCTCTCCTCTCTTGTCATCTGTATTCCATGTAAACAAACAAATGATGCAGAGATATTACCTTTATTATCACAGGACAAAATGCGCCCATCGGCTATTGGAGATGCATAATGAAAGATATGTGCACCTGCGCTGAATCGCAGATAAGATTATCCATTAGAAGTCGCCACGCATGGATATGTCACTAACATCGCTTAGCGTGTGCTCTGCCATCACTTCTGCAAAGAAATCGTCATGGAAATTCTAAGCGGGTGCAGTCAGAAGTGCAGAAAGGTGGTATTTCTCCCAAGCCATAGATGTTTTTATAAAGATGGGTCGGTCCTTGGGTCGTTCTCAGTACTTGGAAAAAATACTGTGCCCTATCATGATATCAATAACCAAAATTATTATGGTTTAAATATAATTAAAACATACAGAAAATGTTTGAAAAGCACCGGTAAACACAAACAGATATTACACTAAAGACATCTTATTGAATTTCTTTCTTTATTTTACCCAAAAAATCAACTACAAATGGAACAAATACTAAATTACCACCAGCATGACTGTTTACCTTTCATACTATAATTATGGAAATGTGTCATCCTAATCACTGCTAACACTGTCTTATACATTTATTGCAGGTCACACCGCACAAGATGCAGCAACTGAATACTTGATCGAATTCTGGGGCAGATTGTGTGACATCAGTTACGCTGAGATCTTCTAAATGTACAATAAATATTATCTAAGAATAGGCCTACAATGAAAGAAAAGACAACCAAAGTGTAATGCATTCTCTTATTCTCTTTGTGCATTCTGTTTTTTCAATGTATAATGGGGCTGGGCAACCAAAAAAAGCCTTCGACATAATAATGTCAATGTTTTGTTAAAAAAAAAAAAAGATGTAAGTGGTGAAGAAAGAGAATTTGGAGTCGTTCGTGGCTGGGTCAACATGGAATGTCCATTCTAGAAAGTAAGCTTGAGGTAAAGAGGTTCATTTCTCTGTCCATTATGTGGTAGCTAGCTGTCCCATTTCAAGGCAGCTTTTGAACCAGCTCCTTTCATTGAATCAGCCATATTGATCAAAAACTCTGGCTTAATTATTCTAATAAAATGACATATATGGTCACTGTGGTCAAATTGCAAGATGTAGGACCAAAATTTCTGGCGCTACCATTACAACTCTACAGAGCCCTGATGGTGACACCCTGTATAAATGAAAATCATGCATGGCCACGACTTAGTAAGGCATGGGAACATGATAATTAAGTCATAGCCATGATTTAGTAAGGTGAGGGAATGAGATCATAATGCGTAGCCACGACTTAATAAGGCGTCTCATTCCCATGCCTTTCTAAGTCGCGACCACGCATTAGGATGTTGTTCCCATGGGTTACTACAGGGTAGTGCATTATTTTTATCTGTACAACCCTTATAGAAAATTCATATATATGTTAATAAAATGTAAAATTAAGTAAAATTAATTAAACTTCCCTGACTACACACTTAAGTATGTAAGCTAATATATATGTGCACATTTGTGGCAGTTTATTTTTGCTCTTTCTATTTCTTTCTCTCACTTACAAACATATACTAACATTGGTTGTTTTTTTTCAGATGTGCATCTTGGCAGGGGTCATACAGTAATACAGCAGGGGTCATAACAGAATTCAGTCATACGGTAACTTTGGGCCCAAATTCACGAAATCGATCACCGTAGTGCACGTCACAATAAAACTTTAACGTACAGTCAAAGACTTCTGTCACAACCTGTGACTGCTGTCTGTGACATCATTTTGGCGTGAATCATACAGTGTGACCCTGTTTTAATCAAATTTGGTATAATTAATATTTGCATTTAATACTCTTTATCATTTAATATCAAGTTTATCATTAAAACCAGTAACTATTTCATCTCTTGGAGATAAAGACAAAACAAATTGCACTTAACAGCTCTGTGTTTTTGGCATCTTCTTTGCTGTCCTAAAAGCTTGCTGACTAAACACACCGCCCAGGGCTTCAGTAATACGTTTAGTCAATTTGCAGATCAATGCTATAGAAAATTTCAATTCCGAAAACAAGAATCAGCTCCACAGTCCTACTGTTCTGCTTTGCTGCGCTAACAGGAAAACCACAAACAATGAGAGAAAAGATCAACACTCGTCAGGCCGGCAGGTTTAAAAGATTTGGAAAGAGACTGAGGGAAATTAGAGGATACAGATAGTGCACACCAGGCAAAAAGCTGGCCACATGGAAAATAGAATCCATGCTGAACTCATCACTGAACCCAAATCATTGCTAAAACAAGGCATTCAGTGCAGAAGAAAATAGCCTGTCAGCAGCACAACCTCGCAGTTCAAGCTTTACACATTTTAGCAGGGAGAGGTAATGGAACAAGTGGCAAAACAGAGAAGATTCTCTTTATCTGTTTGACACTGATTTATTGAGTATGCAAGATATGAAATTTCTGATTAGGATTGGAGGCCTGGCAGACGGTAAGATAGACAGAATGTTTTCAATGTGTTTGTGTACAATGTGTTTTGTATTCATGCATTTGTGAAGGGTGTACTACACTTACAGGTAGTCCAGGGGGGCCTTGTGGACCAGGGAAACCAATATTACCCTAAAGAAAGAGGTGGGTAAAAAAAAAGCAGCACTTAATGATAATCACTCTGCCAAAAATATATTAAATAAATAGATAATTGAACATTAGCAAGGTGTGCCCAACTGACATATCCCATGCCTTATCTTTTAATTAGTCCTTATCTCTGTCTGCAAATCAGGTTAATCAAATGCCTAATCATGGAATGAGTTGCAATTTTAAAGCCCACCACTAGAGGGCTCTGTGACCTTGCTGTGAAAAGCAAGGGGCGTTTTCTTTTTTTTTTTTCTTTTTTTTTGATCCTTCCTAATTGAAAACACTGAACCTGAAACAAAGTAGCCCCTGTAAACAAGCGGAGCGCTCCGGGACTAAATGTTAATGGCCAAATCAAGGCATGAAGAGCACTCCAGCATCTGCGCCGCTTCTAAAACAGGAGCACTTTTGCTCCGTAATGGCCCGTGTTTGCACCAGAGACATCTGGTCTGTGGAAACCATGGGAAGGAGGTAAATACAATAAATAATCCTCCTTCAAGAAACACAGGAATAAGAGGGAAAATTCTCCAGTGGTGATAAAAATCATGCCAGGCTGAAAAAAACACGCAAGAACAGACTTACAGGGTTTCCAGGAAGACCAGGAATACCCCTTTCACCCCTGTCGCCCTAGAAAGAAGAACACAATGGAGAGCAGAGTGGTTAAAATATTAAACAGTAACACAATATGTACATAAAAATATGTTGTAAAATCCAGAGTATGCAGATAACAGACTGCAGGTAACATCAAAGATGGCACGATACCACTATGTTTTGGCTCATAATTCTTCTTTAACAACTATCAAGCTAAAAAATGAGCTACTTTTAGCTGAAGCTCTTCACTTTAGACATAAACGTATCTGAAAGTAGGCTATCATGCTCAAACTACTCAAAAACTGCAACCCCACAGGAAGAAATACCATCAGTGGCATCTCTACAGAACATACCATATAGCAAAGTATGCAAGTAACACAATGTAAAGTAAGTAGAGCTGGCCCAATTAGCATTTACAGTCTTCAAATAACGGTTGATGTTTTCAAATAAGTGCTCGAATACTCAAAATCAATCCTAAAAACATTATCTTTAAGTACGTTCATTAATGCAGTTCAAAATGCATAGAGTAGGCAGCAACAATGTAGTAACAGGCTGAAGCTCAGCGCTTGCACACAGTGTGCTGCTATGCAAACTGCTGACTGTAGCCCTTTCATTCAAATACAGCTCATTTCATGAGATAATAAGGGTGAAATAAAGTAGAACTATTGTTTTGTTTATCACCATCATGGTTGTAGTGTTAGTTTATTGGGTTTGTTGTTTTTATTTATTTTATCAGGTTATTTTATTTGTCTGCGATGGACTGGCGACCTGTCCAGGGTGTATCCTGCCTTCCGCCCGACGGCCGCTGGGATAGGCTCCAGCAGCCATCCACGAACCAGAAGTATAAGCGGCTTAGAAAATGTGTGTGTGTGTATTTTATTTCGTTAGTTCTCTATTTTTTTTTGTAACATGCAAAGCAGCAGTGAGGGCGACATGCAGACTGAGTTGAGCTCAGCCATAGCTGAGTCACAGACAGCGGAGTCGAGGACTGGGGAGGTTTTGAAGCTACAAGCCTGTATGAAATGCGAGGAGGACCACCCTAGAAGCAGTTCAGCGGGTGCCCCGCCCAGTAGATGAAGCCGTTCCTTCTCTTACTGGTTACCGTAAATTTTGCATTTCTTTCTGAGGCATCTTTGCTCTTTTAGCTTCAGTGATAACATGGACAGCAGTGAAGTCTGTTGTGTGGCAATTTATGATGTATTCAGCTAAACCAGCTAAATCTTCCATATATTAACCCTTGTTGTGGTGTTCATGTGCTTGTTACTCAGTGGTCTGGTGGACCCACCGCGTTACTGTTTTTTTTTTAAATCAATACAGTCATAACAATGTATGTAAAAATACCAGATATTTAAAATATCACAAGTGGCCAGTGTAGGGTTCTCCTTTAGCAGCTGTAGCCAGTCAGCAGCCTGACCATGTTGTCCACCCTCACACGCACGCACACATATACAAACACAGACACACACACACACACACACACACACACACACACACACACACGTACACACATGCAAACACATACACACAAAGACACACACAGACACACACAGACACACACACTAACAGCAGGACATGTAAGAGGACAACAGAGTGAAGGAACACAGCACCTCCATACTTTTCTTCCCCGTGGGTTCACCCCAACACCACATGTGTAATATAAATGTGTAGGGGGTGAATAGTGTGAAAATGAGCAAAGGCCAAGGAATCTGAGGTTGAAACAATAATAAATTGTATAATTTTTTCTTCTGGGGGCAGCACGGTGGCGCAGGGTAGCGCTGTCGCCTCACAGCAAGAAGGGCCTGGGTTCGATTCCCGGCCGGGTCACCAGGGTCATTTCTGTGTGGAGTTTGCCTGTTCTCCCTGTGTCTGCGTGGGTTTCCTCCCACAGTCCAAAAACATGCAGTCAGGCTGATTGGACATGCTGAATTGCCCCTAGGTGTGACTGTGTATGTCTGTCTGTCTGTCTGCCCTGCGATGGACTGGCGACCTGTCCAGGGTGTATCCTGCCTTCCGCCCAATGACAGCTGGGATAGGCTCCAGCGACCCAGAAGGATAAGCGGTTTAGATGATGTATGTATGTATAATTTTTTCTTCTGATAAACATTGAAAATGGGTCCCCAACACCACACAAGGGTTAACAATAACTTTTATCTAAAGGCTTTTTTCTGATTAACTGTGTTGTAGTGTAGTGTAGTGTGTTGTGGAGCACAATTTATGTGGCTTGAAAAAAAGAAAAAGCAACTGAATACTAAATGTAGAATCGAATACCAGTGTAACAAATAAATACTTTTTAGATTATCAGGGCCAGCCCTTACAGTAAACATTTAGCATGCAAATACTGTACTGTAAAGGAATAATACAGAAAACATATTGTACAGGGCAACTATGCCAAGAGCTCTCCTTCTCCAACAAGTAACCATATGTTGAAGCCACAAAAGACACGGCATTAATGTACTGATAATGAATAAGCCTCTATCGTGACAGTGCAAAATTGGCACGTCTTGCCGAGCACTCTCTCTCACCGGATCTCCTTTGATGCCTGGTTGCCCTGGGATACCAGGCGTCCCTGGAACACCTGTGCAAGCATTGTTGCTGCTAGCCTAGAAGAGATTAAACAGACACAGGACACTACATTACAAACATCCTAGGTTGACTTAAGGACATGCTGAGGCAATGGCTGTTTCGCAGGATGAAAGAACGCTGTGGTTAAAGATAGCTTCCGGATAGCTTTGCGTACACTCACAGGCCCTCTAGGTGGTTCCTCTTGCTGCAGCCTCTCGAGACACTGTGAAAACAAGCAGAGATTGTATTACAAGCTCATTCATATGCAACTGCAAAATGATTCCAACCTGCGCAACGTTATATCAAGTAAGAAGCGTGACCAGAAGCTAATTTGAATGTTTGTTGGACGGCCGGCTGCAAAATAACACACTTCGTATCAACGCTTGCATCATCTATGTCTTGATAATGCAGGATGTTGCAGCTTTCAAGTACAATATCAAAAAGAAAGTTAAAACAGCCACGCCAACAGAACCCCAAAAAACACTCTGAATGAAAAAAGAAAGCCACACTAAAAGCCCCCCTCACCCGCTCGCAGCCATCTATGGAAATGACGCCAGGCTTGCCCTGCTCTGCCTTGTCAACCTTAGTGGAGTCAGGCACGCCAGGCACGCCTGGCAGGCCTTGGGAACAGTCGCCACACACCACCTACAGCAGAGCACACGCATGTCACACGCACATATTAGCAAATACACACACATTGTTAGGAGTCTGCTTTCAACACCTTAAACTGCAAACGTATGATTCAATTAACCATTTTAAGACTTAAAGGAGCAGTGTGATGGAAAAACGCACACAATTTTCCACTCATTCCAAATGTAGTCGATCAACCAAAACATGTTTTTTTGCTTCTTTAGTTTACCGCTGGAGCTATGAGGCTAATGTTGCTAACGGAAATGATGTCAATAGAATCGACAGTCAACAGAAGTCAATAGTCACCTAAATCCTTTCTGTAAATGCATCCCTAAAGCTTCTCACAATCTGCTCAAACCACATCCAGGTCTTCAGTAAGATTGCACAGACTAGACTTGCTGCCTAAACAGGCATGGATGTGGTTTAAAAGGGTTGAGATACGTTTCGGGGATGTATTTACAAAAATTATTTGGGTGACTATCGACTTATAGCGTTTGTTAGAAGTGTAGCTTGTAGCTTCAGCTCTAAACTAAAAAAGCACAATTTGGACACCAAACATCTAGGCTGATTAGCTATATCTTGGGTAGGTAATAATAATTGCCAATAGTAAGTAAACCGAAAGAAAATTATGTGCAACCTGGTTTTCAAAAAAGTTGGGTCACTATGCAAAATAAATGTAAACAAAAACGAAAGGCAGTGATGTGAAAATCATTTAAACCCTATATTTAATTGAAAACAGTACAAAGACAACATACCAAATGTTGAACGTGAGAAATCATTTTTTATTCTTTTTTTTTTAAATATATGCCCATTTTGAATTTGATGCCAGCAACATGTTTCAAAAAAGCTGGGACAGGGGCATGTTTACCACTGTGTTTCATCACCTCTTCTTTTAACATCATCTCTTCTTTTAAACGTTTGGGAACTGAGGAGACCGACTGCTGTGATTCTGAAAGTGAAATATTTTTCCATTGTTGCTTGATAGAGGATTTCCACTACAGAATCATGTTTTTAATGCAGTGCCACCTGAGGGCCTGAATATGAAGGCCATCCAATACTGGTTTTCAGCCTTGTCTCTTGCATACAGAGATTTCTCTGGATTCTCTAAATCTTTTAATGACAGTACGTACCATAGATGGTGGAATCTCCATGTTCTTTACTATTCTATGCTAATAACCGCTATACAGAGTGGTGAAGCCCTCCCATCTTTACTTCTAAAAGACTCAGCCTCTCTGGGATGAAATGAACCCAATTAGTTGTGAGATGTGGCATTTTTTGTTTAGCATTACACAACTTTACCAGTCTTTTGTTGCCCCTGTTCCAACTTTTTCCAACATGTGCTGGCATCAAATTCAAAACAGGCATATATTTTTCAAACTAATGTAAAATTTTTCTGTTCCAACATCTGATATGTTGTCTTTGTACTATTTTAATTCAACTAAATGTAGGGTTTAAATGATTTTCACATCATTGCATTCTGCTTTTAATTATATTCTGCAAAGCATCCCAACTTTTTAATTCTTTGATGTACACCTCTGATGTAAATTCAATAGATTATTAATTTAAATTAATATGAGATGTTCAGTAACTACTATAACATTAATATGTAGGTTCAATGATGTAACTGGGATCTCATGGACATCACTGCAAAAAAATAAATAAATATGTAAATAATAATAATTACCTAAAAAAAATAATATAAAAAGGGCAATTCAGTCTGCTTTTTACTTGCCGCCGTTATGTATAAATCAAGATTTTTGTAGGTACTTGTGAATCACTGGTATAAAATGTGTAAGCAGCAATATAAGGGGTCCAATAAAAACATCATGGGGCCCAGTCACTTTGCACTTTGAAATGTGGGTCCTCATACAGTTTAAGGGTTAAAGAAAAAGCAAAGACAAAATAAACACAGTGTACATCACTTGACTGTATGTGTGAGGAGGAGAATTGTGAACTGTGAGTCAGACACATGGACATATTTCATTAATTACACTGTCCAACAAGCATGAACAAGTAGAAAATAACATGCACCCATTTACTGGCTTTGAGATGTAAGCAATCACTCAAGTAGCACAGCATGATTAACAGAGCAACCTGAAGTTCATAAGTGTCAATGTATGAGTGATGACACTCAATAATTTCAATGTCTTCTAGAGGATTTATAGCAAATATTTTAGATGTGCGCAGCTTTATCTTAGATAATTAAAACACATATTTCTGTACACAACAAATATTTGCTTAAAGGAACGATTTAGCAAAAAAATACACAATTTTCCAGTTACCCTACATGTAGTCGATCAGCCAAGACACGTTTTGCATCCAAATTCTGCTCCTTCGGTTTTGCTACAGGGCAAATGTTGCTAGCAAAGTCTAGAAGTCAAGGAAATCTGTATCCAAACACCCATTGTTTAATATGGCTGCTTGCTGTGTTAAGTTCCACTGTGAAGTTTCTTTCTTTTTTATAGTTCACATCATGTTGTACTGTGCACTAAACTGTGCCTGCCAAGTCAGTGCAACCTTAATGAAGAGTTGCATGTGGTTTGAGTGGGCTGAGAGAAGTTTTGCGGATGTATTTACAGTAAAGATTTGGGTGACTATTGACTTCTAGTGTTTGTTAATAACATGTCTAGCAACTCCAGTGCTGAACTAAAGCAGGCAGAATGTGGACACCAATCTTGTCGTGGCCGATTGAGTGCATCTGGGGTAGATTGTGTAAACTTTTTTAGACTATTCCTTTAACTGTATGCACATGATGGAGTACAATGATCCAATTTAGTTCTTGTAAAACAGGGCACATAACTGTGCACGATAGTGCTGAAGCAGTATCCAGTGAAATTCAAATGTCTTGAACTCTTACTGCAGTAGGCTGACAATTTTGGGTAACCTGCTCTTCAGTCAGTGCTCGGTATTCATGAATAATATGAAATATTCACAGACAATTGTGGGAAGTCAGTACACAGTCTAAAATTCCACCAGTCTCTCTTAAGCTCTCTCATACGCTCTGGCTTACTAAGTAAAACTGAGCTCATCTCTTTAAGTCTCATTGGCCATGTTCACATTACCAGGCTGAAGTAGCACAAATCTAATTTTTTGCCTTAACGTGACAAAAATAGAAAGAGCTGTGTGGACACACAAATCTGATCTTTTCAAATCAGATCTGAGTAATTTTGGCTACATCCACAAACCTCATTGCTCAAATCTGATTTTATGCACATCTCTCCCATCTGTCTAACATGATGGTTCACACTGACTTAGGTAAGTGACTCAAATCTGTCATTAATGTGAATGACTGGCATTCTGATATGACCCGCATACACATGTCCAAATCAGTAACATCACGTGAATGAATCGCCTGCATCATGAACAGCAAACAAACTAACGAGCAAAACAGCCACAAATTGGATATGTATCCGATCTAGCACATATAGAAGTGTCTCAGGACGGATTTGAAAGATCAGATTTGTGCATCCACACAGCTCTGAAAACATCAGATCTGAGTCATATTAGGGCAAAAAATCAGATTAGTGCAACTTTAACCTGGTAATGTGAACATAGTGTTTGGCTGTATTCAGACTCCAGGCAAATTAGATTTGTTTCTCACAATCTTTTGAAACAACTAATCGCACTGCTATCTGCAAGTAATCGGATCGGATTTGCATGTCCAGACATCACCAACCTATCTGCATGGGTTGCTGTGGTAATGATGTAGGCATCAGTAATTATACAGCTATGCTGGTAACATGGATTTCAAACACAGATGCAGGACAGATGAAGGTGCATCCTCTCGTCCTCCAAACTCTTCAAAATTCTCTGGCATAAGCATGAATCTTTGGCACTCTTCTTGGATCCCAGCACTTCATTCACTCTGGATTTGACATTGTCATTCTTTGTTGCACTGCAAGCGATGCAAAAGACACTTTGAAAGCATCCAGAGCATCCAGACTGTGGTTTGGATCTGACTGGCAAAAATTGGATTTTGTGTGGCTTTTTGCTGTTCAGACTATCAAAAATCAATCTGGATAAAATCAGGATATGCCAAAAATTGGATCCTAGATCAGATACATATCAGATTTGTGGCCATGCAACCTTAATGAGAACGCTCAGATCAGAACCCACGTGTATTTTTTTCACTGCTCATGTGGGTCATTTCAGAACGCAGGTTCGTTCACATTAACGACAGATTTGAGTCACTTACCTACACTAATGTGAACCATCAAGTTAGAAAGATCAGATGTGAGCAAAACATCAGAATTGAGCACTGAAGCTTGTAAAATGGACACAGCCATTGTGAAGTGAAAGGTTGAAATTGTGCAGAGGAATAAAAAGTATAGGCTGCTAATGCAATTCCCAGTGGGCTGGCCCATCTTGTCTTGCAGAGGGACAGACTTAAGTGCTGAACTGAGGTCAGCTGAGAGGACATAACTGGGCACAGGCCCTTGTTTACAACATGAAATCAGTCTCACTTTATTGCTAACCTTTATGTTGGGAGCAGTGTCATCCTTTGGAAGGGGTAGCGTGATCTACAAAGAGAGAGAAGTGAGTTGTGGTGACATTATATCAGTACATGTACCGTTCAAGTTCTGTTACAGTCCAAAAATCAAGAAGTTCAAAATACCAGTCAATGTTTTACTTGGTAAATTTCATGCTCTGTTTCAAATGTCTGGTTATAAATTGTCATTAAAATGTGAAAATGAACAAAATCTATAATTCAGCATGAAGAATAGGCCTATTTAATACTGTAGCATGTGTTTAATTAACAACAAAAACAATGCCTCCGGTTTTTGTTTTATGAGATAATGAGAAAGCTCTACTTCTCCAGAAAATTACTATTATTTATTACACGGTTTAGCGGTTCTGTTTTTACAATTACAGTTTGGAAAACAAGTGTTTCATAACACACAGCAGTTCAGGAGGTCATACAACTCACATCTGCCTACTAACTTTCCCAAAAGCACCGTATTCAAATGACTGAAAACACAGTGTACCCCCACATATCTCAATGGCTCAGGTTCAACAAGCCCACACATCATGTTTAAGCTTACAAACAAACAGTAGCAGCAGTTTTAATGTCAGCCCCCTAAGTAAAACAATTATTTCGGCTTAATACAATATGTATGTAACCAACAGTCACGACTGGCAATGAACCAGAGACCCTGTCAGAAGTTGGCAAGGTGGGCCTGTGGGTGTTAATGTAGCAGGTGTGCACAGTCACTGGGCAGATATGCAGTTCATATTTCTCCTGTCACTACTGGGTGGTCTGAAGCACATACCTGTGACTCCACAGTAAAGAGCAGTGCTTTGTGAAGTGGTTTCACAGTGGGGTCTTTCTGAGGAAGAGAACCTGCAAATCACACTCTGCTTCCTGTGATATCTATCCAGTAGCCCGCCTGTTCTGTCCAAACCGCTGTAATCAGCGACAGTTGTAATTTGTGCTTAGTAACGATATGATCTGCAGTGCCTTCAATTACAGGTGTGTGCAATTACAGGATCCCTTAAAGTGACAAATCTCTGTAATTATGTATCACTGTGCAACTAAGAGTGCCGTTCTAATCCACCCTTGTTTATTTAACTTACCATTTCTATTTTTAAGATAATTCATTAATTTGAATATCTTTTATCTATTTAAAGGCTCTGAGATTTTAATGAGATACACTATATGTCCAAAAGTATTCAGACACCAGAGCTTTAATCAGGCCTGAAATTGTAGCATGAACCCGAATTCCGTTTGTGACCAAGTCCGGCCCAACTCGCATCATCAAGCAAACCCAACCTGGCACTATCCAAGACATGAGACCAAACTTGACACGAGCCCAACACATTTCTGTCAAAAACTGACCCGAACAGGCCCACCTTTGGCAAAACTGCTGAATTAAACCTGACAGAATAGCACTGGTTACATTACCACATAGTGACACTAATGGCTGTCATTAGATCACAGACAAATGAAATAAAAAATGTATATAAATGAATATGGTGAAATAAGTTAACTCACTGTCCAAAATCAAGCTTAAATTATGCTTTAACAAATTTATTCATCAAGCAAAGATTTCAAACAACATCCCAAACAGTGTTAAGTCTGGGTAACTTTCAATAATACACTGCCTTATAATGCTAAATTCACAGGTGGATGGCTTCAGCATGCTTCATTAAAAACTGTTATAAGGTAATGAAAGCAGTGAGGAAGAATACAATAAAGAGTAAAACTAAAGCAGAGTGAAATGCACCCAAATGTGTTTAATCCTAATTTGAGCTTGACACATATTCGGAAAATGATGTCCGGACCTGTCCATGAACAGTCAAGTCCCGTCAGGTTTAGGCAAATTACAAGCTCTAAATAACTCTCCTTCTAATTAGTGAATTCAGCTACTTTAAAGTGCACCCATTGCTGACACACAGCTTCTCCATAAAAATATTGCCAACAAAATGGGATGCTCTGGAGCAGCCACACACGAGCCTAAGATCACCTCTCCAAACATTAAACGTCAGCTAGAGGGGTATAAAACCCCCCAGCACTGCGCTGTGGAGCAGCGGAACTATATTCTCTCAATGCAGTACCTTCAGGATGAGTTGGAGTGGTGTTTGTGATTCAGAACTAATCTTCTAACTTCAGTAACTGACCTCATGAATGCACTTGGGGTTGAACGCAATCAAATCATCACAGCAATGTTCCAACATCTAGTGTAAAGCCTTCCCAGAAGAGAAAAGGCTGTTACCACAGCAAAAAGGGACAAACTCCCTATTAATACCCTTGATTTCAGAAGAAATGCTGGTGTCTACAACCTTTTGGACATATAGTGTAGCGTAGTGATTAGGCTCTACTGTGGTGGATGAATTATGGGAGTATTTTACTAAGAGGCCGGATGTTGCATTGACATAACAGATGTAGTTTGGCTGCTAGAGGAACTGGTGGTTGGACTCTGGCGATGTTCGAAGTGGAGCAGTACTTAGTGGGTGGGATTCTGAAGTCTGGCCAAATTTCCATGGCGAACAAGAGAGGCCTGGAGATGAGAGGCCAGCGTGGGCCTTTGGCCAAAGGAGAAAATGAGCCTGCCAAAGCGCTGGTCTCAAATGAAGATCTAATGGCTCTTACTGTAGCGCACATCAGGCACCCTTAATAGCCGTCCTCTCTGTAACTCAACGCAATGGCAGTGTTTACTATTCCAAAAAGCCTAGGAGACAGAGTTAACACTGAGAGGGCAATGAGATCATTGGCGTCCATAAAACGTGCAGTGCAATGGAGACAACTCACAATGTGCTGAGTTAAGACACCCGTAAGTGCTTACAGGTTCCTTTCGAAACCATAAAAAAGCAGATGGTATATTGCTATTGTTCTCAAGATGCTGCTATAGGGAGATTAGTCTCTCCATGCCATTAATTCCACAAACAGCTCCCACTACCGCCTAGCCTGCTCCAGTTCCACACCAGATGTCGACCAACCAGGCCTTTTGGATTTTTCTGTAACCAATTACAAAGCTAGAGCACTCTACTAGCTCCTCCTCCTATCTGGTTACTCACATGGCCGGGCAGACCCGGTTGCCCTGGTAAGCCATCGTTGCCAGGGAGACCCTGTAAGAAGGAACTGAGGTTGAATTGGTTTAGCCTTCGGCCACACTCTGGTCACCTCCTTCTCCAGCGGGGGTAAAGGGGAAAAGTAGCCAAAGCCCTGGGCCCTCTCCTGGTTTGTGTTCCAGCTTGTAGTCTACATTTAGGTTTAGCTTGTGTTTATTCTTGCTTTTAGTTTTAGCTCTTCTGATTCAGGCTTGGGAAATCAACACAAGACCAGGTTAAAGACCAAGCAGTGCCCACAGTGAAGTCTCGGTGAAATAATACTTTACCCAAAGTTCATTATCAGCTGCTTTAGAAAGCCATAAAATAACACGAAAAACTACTTTGGGTGAAATTCCACCTTAAATTTCTTAGCAGGTCTTATGCTTAATCAGTAAGGACATTAAAAGGGGCACCTCACTAAGCAGCTTCCATAACTTCACAGAGAGCTCTGCATGGTTTTTAAAAAAAGAAAACAGAATGTTATTCCCAATTACATACATTAAATTACTTTTACGTCTTCAACAAAATTACTTTTAAACTTTACTTTTATTCATACATTTAATTTTATTTTAAAAACTGCATAAATCTGCTGTGATCTACATTTACTTTATCTGTGTTTAAATCACAGCCAATTCTTATGTAGAACATACCCAGGCCCCATTACAAGTGTTAGTGCAGCATTAACAAAAGCAGCTACATTACAAAATTACATTTAAAAATTACACATACAGCTATTTTAAACTGTTTTTGCACATATTTACAGTATTTACTTTAATTAAACATTATTACATTAAGATTTACATTATATTTCTATTTAATTATTTAGTATAATAATGGTTTAATTCATTTACATTAATGGCAGAAATATTACGAATGTACTTTTATCAGCTTTAGCCAAAGCCCACAGCTACCCATGCAGGCCCCCCCGACAAAACAAAAGCCACACATATGACTGCGAAAGAGGTAGAGAGACAGCAGCAGAGCACAGGGAGGCTCACAAAGACACAGGGTCCACTCCCATGCCAAAATAAGTATGGGAGGCCCACGGCCATGTGAGCCAACCAGCCCACTCCGCACTTACCTGTGGGCCTGGGATGCCTACGAAGCCTTGGGGCCCTGGAGGCCCTGGGGGGCCCGGAGGTCCTGGAGGCCCCTGAAGCACATTCAACATATCACAATGAGCCAGCTTTAAAGGTAGGTTACATGAGACAAAAATGACGTCTTTTTTGTTTTTTCCATTTTAGACAAAGTCAACTACATACAAGTTCCAACACTGATGAAAGTGTTACAGTGAATTGACATAATTTAAAATATTCATTTCAGTATAGGGGGCATTATAATGCCCTTATGGTATACTTATTAAGCCTTATCAAGCAAGCAGCTGCTAATTAACTGCCTGCTCATTACTATATTATTAAGTAGTAACTAGAATTTCTTAAGAATTGTTTCTAGAACAATTTTATATGTTTCCTTGAGTAAAAGGCCTCATTTATGTTATTTTAGTTTTTGATTTTCTTTCTTCGCCCATGAGAACAGCCATGTAAAGTGAAGCACATTTAAAAACCAGATGCACCACATTCGTCCTTGTTACTGCTTTATAATATCGCAACATTTTATTCATAGCTATTAGCTTGAGAAGGGAGTTACCAGCCAATGGCTTGATAAAGCTTAATAATAGCATCACAATGGGCCTAACTTATGTAAAAGATAATGATGTGTAATACACAAATACCCTAGTTATGCTTTAATCATGCATTAATAAGCAGCTAGTTTATTACTAATTACTGATTTGTTAAGACTTAATAAGCACATTACAAGAGCATAGTAACCCCCCATAATGAAGTGTTATTGAATATATTACATCCATACAATTATTGTCAAAAGTAATTAATTGACTTAACTGTGTTGATGTAATACATTTTATTCATGTGCCAATGATGTAAACATTTGAACCAAGTAAATTCAAAGCATCACTTTTTTCAGTGTATATATTTCAGTATATATTAGAAATATTCAGACAAGCTAGACACAGAGGACAGAAGTGTATGTATTAATCCTCCCAGAGTGCTGATTTGGGCAGTTTTTGACCATAAAGGAACAAGAGATTGGCCAAAAATCTAATTTTCTTAGATGAAGTAGATCAGCAAAAGACATATGTAGTGTCTGAAGTTTGCTTCTTTAGTTTTTCACTGGAGCAACAAGGCTAATTTAGCTAATGAGTGATGGACCCTGCTGAAAAACACAGCACAAACCAGCATGCATTCAATGCTGGTCTAAGCTGATGTATACTGCTCAATGCTGGTCAAGTGCTGGTCTGGTGCTAGATTAGCTGGGCATCCAGCATGGTCATGCTGTTTGACCAGCATACCAGCATCCAAAAACTCAACATGTGCTGGTTTTGCTGGTGACTAGCATATTAAGTTCCAATGCTGATGACCAGTATACGAAACACAACATTTGATGGTTTGGCTTGGTGACCAGGCATACTGGTCTATGTGGGTTTTTCTAGCAGGGGAGGCTTACACAATTAGCACTGAGCAAACTGCGTACCTAAATGATCATATACTTGCCTCAAACAGCATTTAGCAATTACAAACAGATTTGCTAATGTACTTGTTTCTGACACTCTCTATAAAATGCTGTACAACATACTGTTATCTACAAAACTCAGGCTTGCAGTTTCTACTATGTATTCCACTACATTAGCCTTGTCGCTCCAGCACAAAACTAAAGATGCTAAACTTCAGACACTAAATGTGTCTTAGCTGACTGACTAAGAAGAAGGTAAAGAAAAACTGTGTACATTTGTTTTTTTTTGTTTTTTTTACCAAAATATTGTTATAATGCCTAAATGACTATGACTGCACAGTCAGCATGAGCTGATTTTGGCCCTGCACCCTATATGAAGATGTCTGATACATATGAGCCTTTAGGCACTACATGAGTATCAGCTCATCTGAATAGGGCCAGACAATCAGACCTGAGGACCTGCCTGCCACATGTTCCCACCACCAGGGACACCCTGTAAGACAAAAAACAGTCAGATTCAGAGCAAACACAGCCCATGCACAGCTCATCACCAACATTAGAGGAATGGATCACTGAAAAATCACATTTACATAATTTTCCCCTTACTCCAAACATAGTCAATCAGACACATGCTGGTTGCTTCTGTAGTTTTGCACTGGAACTCTAAGACTAACATATTAGGGTGACTTTCAATATGATCAAGCTACATTTTCCTCGTAGCTCCAGTGCAAAACTAAAGAAGCAGACCGAAGCTGCATTCATGACCAATGGAATCTCGGAATCTCCAACTTTCCAGACGCTCACAGAAAGCTTACTCTTCTTTGGTGTGCAAATGAACAGCTCTTAATAAGTGTTTGCATTTGAATGAAAGAGTTATTTATTAGTGCTTAATTTATTTTAAAGGGTTATGAGCTTGAGGACTCTTCAAATGGACTTTTCCCACTTTGAGGTTGGAAACCTCCCAGTTCCCACTTGGTCATAAATGCAGCATTAGGATTGTCTAGCTGACTCACTACATTTGGAGTTGTTGTGTAAATGAGATTTTTGGGTGAACAATCCCTTTAAGCATTTGCAAGCTAAGGCCTGTATGTGTGTGGGAGTCTACAGCTCGTACGTGTAAGCTGGTTTATACAGCATCATGATAAAATCACTGAACGTGTGGAAGTACTCACAGGTACTCCAGGTAATGGATTATGCATGCAGTTGCAGTCTCCTGGTTCACCCTACGAAACAGAAAACACACCATACTGTCACACTGCAGCATTTCGTTGCTACAAATATTACAAATAATTTTTTTTAACACTTTTTAAAAATGTAAGCTGTCGTTTAGTTATGAATGCTGGGATAAAAATCAGGGTTTATAATGTCTACAACACAAATACAGCCAAATTATTTATTATCCAAAACCACCAGTGAACCAACATGTCTTCTTAGTTAGTTAGTCAGACAACAGGCAGCGTATTTGTCACCGTGTCATGTAATAGCTTTCTGTGATGCAGCTAAAGGCATTACACTCTTCTGATGTCTGGTTCCTATCAGGACCACTATGAACTATTCTGACTCTGTAAGTTTCTCTAGAACAAACTATTCACATCAAAGCACTCTGAATGATTCTGTTTACATCTTAAGCATTTAATCGTGCAAAAACTTTGAAAAATTGCTGGCATTCCCCTTTAGGTCATATTAAAAGTTAAGAACATTTTCTTTCTCCTGTAAAACTACCATTACAGAGATACAGTGTTTCTTGCAACAACTATGATCTCTGCTCACTCACTTGAGTGTAATACTGGGGATATCAATGGAACAACTGAGCATCAACACAGCGTTCATATAGAAACACAAAAGGCTCTTTATCCTTTATCCAAGCACTCAGCAGCAGCGACAGAGCACTCCATCACACTTAAAGGGAATATGCATCATTAGCTATCAGACACAGCTCTCCTCTCTGTTTAGACTCAGTCGCCTCAGACATAATGGAGAACATTAGAGAATGAAATATTTCAGCTCTTTCTCTCTCTCTCTCCATCTTTATCTGTTTCACTTTTCTTACTCTTTTCTTTCATAATCTTTTCCACTCCTCTGTCTGTTTCTCTTTATCTCTCTTCTTCTGTTTCTCCTTCTCTTTCCTTCTTTCCCTCTTGCACTCTTTTTATCTTTCTATTTCTTTCTTCTGTCCGCTTTTTTCACTCCTTTATGTTTCTCTCTTCTACTGTTTTTGTTTCTATCAATCCTCTCACCCTCTCTTTATCTCTCTCTCTCTGTTTCAATCAATCCCTTCTTTTTCTCCATCTCTCTACATTTCTCTCTCCCTGTCTCTCTCTCCCCTGTTTCACTCTGTCCTCTCGCTTTCTGTCTGTTTCTCTTTATCTTTCTATTGTCTCTCCCTGTTTTTCCTTCTCTCTATACACTCCCTTGTCCATTCTTTCTTTCTTTCTCTTACATTCTCCCTCTCTCAATCTGCTTTCACTCTCCTTTCTCTTTATCGCTCCCTCTCTATCTATTTTATGTTTCTCTTTTTCTTATTCTTTTCTTTCTTATTCTTTTTTCACTCTTGTCCCTGTTTCAATCAATCCTGTTTCTCTTTGTATCTTCTTATTTTCGCTCTCTCTTTTAGTTTCTGTCTTCTTTCTGCTTTTTTCACTCCTTTCTGTTTCTCTATTTGAGTGTTTTTGTTGCTATCAATCCTCTCACCTTCTCTTTCTCTTTCTTTCTCTCACTCATTTCAATCATTCCATTCTCCTTCTCCATCTCTTTCTACATTTCTCTCTCCCTCCATTTCTCTCTCTCTCCCGTTTCACTCTTTCCTCTCTCTGTCTGTTTCTCTTCATCTCTTTCTACTGTCTGTCGTTCTATCTACTCCTTCTCACAGTCTTTCTTTCTTTCTCTTACATTCTCCCTCTCTCAATCTGCTTTTACTCTTCTTTCTCTCTCTGACCTTGACTTTCTCTCTCTTTCTCATTTTCTATTTCTCCCTCTCTTTTTATCTCACTTTCTCTCTATATACTTTCTCATCCTCCCATTTCTTCTTTCTTTTTCTTACATTCTCCCTCTCTTAATCTACTTTCACTCCTACTCTGTCTTTGACTCTCTCTCTTTCTTGTTCTCTATTTCTCCCTCTGTCTCCCACTCCCTGCTTCTCTCTCGCCCCCTTTCTGTTTCTCTCTCTATCACTCTTTCTGTTTCCCCTCCCTCCCTCTTTCTGTTCCCCTCTCACTCTTTCTATATCTCCCCTCCCTCTCTCTCTGTTTCCTTCTTTCTCTTTCACTCTTTCTATATGTCTGTTTCTGTCACTCCTTTCTCTATCTCTCTGTCTTTTTCTCCTTCATTCACTTATTTTCTCTTTCTTACACTGTTACTGTTTCCCCCTCCCTTTTTTTCCTTCTCCTTCTCTTTCTGTAATTCTGTTTCTGTCACTCCTTTATCTCCTTCTTTTTCTCCTTGGTTCTCTTGTTCCCTTCCCTCTTTCTGTCAGTAGATTACAGCTGACAGCTAATTAATAGCCTCATTCCTGCTCTTAAGGGTACTTTTAGCTTCTTTCAGTGCAGTCAAACTCTTTTGTCATCCTCTCTCTCTCTCTCTCTCTCTCTCTCTCTCTCTCTCTCTCTCTCTCTCCTCTCTCTCTCTCTTTCTCTCTCTCTCTCTCTCGTCCTCTCTTACTCTCTCTCTGTCTCCAGGGTGGACACATCACTGTCCATGCAGCCAATCCCCTCTAGACTTCTCCTCCATCTTTTTATGCACATTCACACAAACACAAGCTGCTTTTGCTTTGGAGGACCTCCTCCAGATTGTCTCCTCAGCCCACTGAACCAGAGACTTACCTTGTCACCCCTGGGTCCAATGGCTCCCTGAAAGACAGAAGACACACACACACACAGACACACCGACACACACACACAGACACACACACACACACACACACGTGACGGCTCAGTTTAACTGTGTTATTGTGCATAAAGCTCCTGGGCGTGTGGAGAGGCGACAGCTGATGAGATGAAAGCAGACAACGTGTTGTTGTTATGGATCCAGGCAGAGTTAGAGTCGACCCTGCCCGTCTCTGCCTCTACTCCTGCATCCCCCCGTGATAAAGCCCCCGGTAATTAACATCTGATGCAGTGAAAGCAGACGGCACCGCCTTTGTTTCTTTAATGAGGAGAGCCTTGCCAAAACAATAAATTCCCACTTCCTTTCTCTCTGCTGCTGATGAAAATTCATCCCATGCCAACCTTACAAAGGATATTTTGATTAATTGTAGACTGCAAGAGTTACATAATCAGGAAAAATAAGTGCTTCTCTTCTTTGGAGAGTTCCCTAAAAGAACCACTTTTGGTTCCCTCTCTAGTGGATGGTTCTTTATAGAATTATTACTGTAAATGCGAGCCTTTAGAACTTTTTTACAGTTTAAAGAACTTCCACATAATATATAGGTTCTGTATCAGTTAATACAATCTGTACCATTCACATCTACAGTACTGTGCAAAAGTCTAAGTTTTATTTAATTCCCAGTCAAAACAGTTATTCCATTTTTTTCATGAGATGTTTCTGAGGATGTTATATATAACTTGAATAAGGAAGGAGAAAGTCAAATGAAAATAGGTGAAAATAACAGGAGTTTCTAAAAGTGAAGTTAAAAAAATTATTAAAAGCTACAGAGAAAATGAGACTCCTAACAACTGTGCAAGACCTGGTAGACACCAAAACTGTCCCCTTCAGATAAACAGAGCTTAACCCCGTTATGCAGATCCAAGTTTAAGCTCATTTTCAAATGATTTGTTATACTAAACTATAACACTAGTTAACTTAAGTTTATAAATAGCACAATGATCATTCAAGGCTGAAATTAAAGTCAACGCTTGGAGTAAGACATTTATTCACCTCCAGGCTTTTATTTCCACCATTTAAGTTCCATTCGAGAACATCAAATACAAAGGAACTGTCAAACAAACAAAAAAGCCTGTTATTTTTGGGGTTTACAATGTGTGTATGGATGCTGGGGATAAGAAAATCAGTCAAGTTCCACATTTCTTGGTTCAACAGGGTCTCGTAAGACAAAGTACAAAATCTGGGCAGACCCGCATTTCCCACTGGGTGTCTACTAAGCGTCTCCGAAGTGTCCCTACCCTCTCCAACCTCTCCAAACACAAAAAAGAAGTCTGCCACTACATATAGTGCAAGTTCACCTCAGAGTAATTAAAGCTCTCCTCTTTGAGAGAGAGGAGAAAATCAAGCTCTACTCTTGATTTAGATCTGAAAAAATCTGTTTCTGTCCATCCTTCCACTGTGAGCCTGTAAGGATGTGTACCTGTCTAGAGGCCCTTACTGAGAAGAAATAGACAAATGAAACTGCAAATCAAGCTGCTATTGTTCTAAGAACAATGGACTGACCACCCCAGAGTCCAGACCGCAACATCACAATGTGTTTGGGATTATTTGGCTTGTGAGAAGCAGAAAACACAACCAACTGAACTTCAGAGGTAAAATATCCCTGCAGATTTCTTTAAAATACTGAAAGCAAGTCTCCTGAAAAGAATGGAAGCTGTAATAAAGGCAAAGGCAAAAGATATACTACAATATAAAAACCGATATAGTATTTAGTAGTTGAGGCTTCTGTGTAATTTTCTGTTTGTTTTCTGCTTTATTTTTCCTCATGCTGAAAAATTAATAGCTTATATTTAATGGCTGTTTTGACTGGAGTTTGAAGAAACAAAGGGCGGTCTCTGACTTTTGCACAGTAGTACATATCAGAATTTTTATATTCTCTTGGGTGTATATGTTCTTTGAGCACAAATCTGTTTTTTTTTTTTAAACCGATTACACCATATGGTCAAATAAGTGAGTTTCAATCACTTATCACATCAAATTCGCTTCTTTTAATCACACAGGGTTGTTTTTTAATAAAGGCAAATTTGAATATGAATAATCAGTGTGAACATGATATATAATTAAAACAATTCAAATGAGTACTTATCATTCAAGGTACAACCGCACAAAATTTCATCACAAGCTCTGTGGCATTTTTCCTTTTCATACTAAATTAGGTTGTTGGCTATGAACGGGCTCTAAGAACCACACAAACAAGCCAAGAACAATTAGGTTCTGAATGAGCTATGGAGTGAAGGAATGTTTGGGAGAGAAAGACAGCGGCTGAAAGGGTGAATGCACTGGAGTTTTACTCACAGGTCTGCCATCCTCCCCAGGGATCCCACGCGGACCAGGAGAACCGTCCCTACCCTGAGACACCAGACACATAAATCACATTCTGACACGCCAACATTCATATTCAGGCACATTTACTGGCAAATTCATTTTACTAAACAAACTCAGCTCTCAGTTACACTCAGTAGCAGATATTCCTTTCCATACACCTCTATTCAAAACCTGGTAATCACTCGTTATGTTAAAGATCTTTATTACTGTATTCATAACTACAGTAACTTACACTGTGTAGATTTATATAATCATAAACTACACACCAAAATGTCAACAGACATTCAATGTTTTATTCAACATTTCAAGCATGTTGTGATCAATAAGATGTTATTACCTAAATAACAGACTAATTATCTACTTAAAATATTTTTCAATTAATATTTTAATCACCACTTTTGAAGCACCAGACATTCATTTATTTTTAAGTTTATTTTCAGTGTTCTCAGCTTTCTCTCTTATTTTAGAATAATCTACAGATCAATCCTCATATTCTGGAACATACCATTTCTGTAACACCTTACCTGAACTCTGCTGCATGCCATGGACATGTAATGGCAGGTGTTATGTGCTGTCATGACAGATTTGGTTCAGTAATATAACAATAGTATGTAACCATTACCATTAATTATCATGACAGGTGCCATAATGTTTGATGTAATGATGGCTAGCTAGACTACACTTAGCAAAAAAGATCACGTGACATAAGCAACCATGGCAACTCATGACAGTTTATGACATCTGCCATGACATATTTATGGCATGGTTATGTCAGTGTAATGAAGCAGGGTTCAAGCATAGCATTACCAAAGTTACTTAATAAACATACAGATAGGTGATCAATTAAAGGAAAAAAACAACATAACGTGTCGAACGAAGGTGTTCTGCCATTACAAGCTGCCAGAACAGCTTCAACAAGTGTCTGGAACTGAGGAATGGAACACCATTCTTCCTAAAGGCCTCCCTTTATCAATCAGAATATCTTAGCATTGATCCTCAGTTACCCTTCCCTCTCAGAGGACAAGTGGACCCATACCACATTAGCAAAATGCCCTTTAACAGAGCCATCTGACCACCTCACTGTAGGCGCCAAGCATTCAGGCCTGAACTGTTTTTGCCACACATGCACTCTCCCACTTGAATATGGTGATTGATCTGACCATATCGCTCTTTTCCACATCTCTGTAGATCAGTGTCTATGGATTTTCCACCACTGAACTCTCAAATGTGCATTCGTCTTTGTAATGGAGGATTTATACACTGTACCTCTACAATAATATCCTTCTCTATGTAGCTGTGAATGGACTGATCTTGCTGACACATCATTGAATATCACAGTCAATAAATGTGCACTTTTAAGCAGAAATTTCCAACACTATTTACTGACAATCTTTCCCATACTGTCGGATGCAAAAGTTTGGGTGCCCCTAGTCAAATTACAGGTTTTGTTGAAAATGTGTCAACACATTCTTTGTAGAAAACACACTTCTGCACAATGTGCATAATTACTGTTATGCATATGAAATATTTTATGTATTTTTTTTTTTACAGCCAATATGTTAAACTCAGTAAAGAAATAGAAACTGTGCACAAAAAAACATTTAAGTTTGTTTCTTAGAGGGCATGTTTTCATATTTTGTCTTACTTGACTGGTAGGTTCCAACTATTTGCACTCAAGTGTAAATACTAAAAGACCAGCCAGCTGAGCAATCCTTATAACTGAAGCTCCTACCATCCATGCCCCGATAATAATCCCCCTTACAAAGTCACTTAGATCTTTTCCTCTTGCCGTCTTGATCCAAAGTCAAGGTCACCTCGGCCTGCTCAGCATTTTTACACTATGCTACATCCGAGAGCATGGTAGGAAGCATCTGACCTCATTTATTTAAGGCTTTTCTTTAATTTGTCACCTGTCTGTTTAAGTACAGCTTTCTATTAATTATATTTAATGTATGAAGTAGTACGTTAGCAGCATATTATAATCATTTTACACACAAATCTGCATCCGAATTGGTTTTATATTATCGTAAACACTGATTCCAAACTTTTAAACAGTAGCTTGCTGCGTCCTTACCGGAGGTCCGACTACACCAATGCCCATCGGCCCCTGGGGTCCCGGTGACCCCGTGTCACCCTTCAGTCCCTGTGGAGGTCACACAAAGTCAGGCAGTTGTATGAACAGCCTTGAGGCATGGCTGGCCTAAAAAGTGCAGAGTCATCATGGCAGCCACCTACCCTCTGCCCAGCTGGTCCCGTCAGCCCAGGGGGTCCCTGAGGCCCTACAGGACCCTGTGGCATACAGTTATACAAGTTTACACTTATTATATGCACAGAATGGAAATGCACTTGGGCTTGGAGCAAACAGGGTGATAATGTTATAATGAGGTTGCAAAACTATCGCTATGAGCACATATGCATTTTGCATTTGCTTAAAAATGCAAGATTTAGACCTTTTTAAATGCACTTACAGCAGCTCCAGGAAGACCTCTCGGTCCTTGTTCCCCCTAAATAGAAAAGGCGAAGGTGTGGATTAGCGGAATAACGCGCACAGAGTGTGTTTACAAAATGATAAGGCGATGTGTAGAAACAACAGCTTCTTTTGGCACTGCAACGAACCAGTAGGATGTAGAGTAGGTGCACCTGCAGTTCTCATATTTAGTGCAAAAGCTTATAAATGTGAGACCTTCTGAAATCAGTTTAGTGAAATGTATCTGCATTCAAACGGCACTCCATGTACAACACCCAAATGAGATTTGCTTTTTATATTACTATATCGGATTTGCATGTTCAGGCAAACCATTAGAATGTGAAATTACCTTTTTTTGCCAAAAATGGCTATGAAAATACATGAATGGAAATTAGAAAAGGTCAAGATCCAGGTGGCTTTAGCAATCAAAATCACATTAGAAGCATGAATAAAATCTGCTTGTCTAAATGTAGCCTCATACTGTTCTATTTAAATATACCTGCGGTCCTGGGAGGCCAATTCCTGCAGGTCCAGGATCGCCCTAAAGGGGAAAGCATAATGAAATGACCTCTCATAACATCTGATAAACACACACATGCACACACACATTTTCTAAGCTGCTTATTCTCCTGGGCCTGGGGGGCCGTGCTGGAGCCTATTCCGGCGCTCATTGGGTGGAAGATAGGAGACACCCTGGATGGGTTGCCATTTCTTAAAATTTAAAACAATAAAATATATTTTAATTTCATCTCATATGTATTATTTTATTTATGGTAACAGTGATTAAAACTATCACAGTGTCCTGTATTAATGTATTATTGTTAAAATATATTGGATTTTTTTTAAGGAGTGCTAATACACATTTAAATCATTTCACCTTAAGCATTACATTGCAGTAGACTTTTGTTAAAACTTTATTTGAAGGCTTTCTTCAAATAACAAGAACATTCACTGCCACAGGATCTTATTTCACCGTGCATTTTATCACAGATGAGTGGCAGCAGCGTCTCATGTGCTCCAAACAACAGCAGTGAATGGGAGCCTTCTAGTTCACTTGCCACATCACTTCCATTTGATGTAAAAGATATTGGAAGTAAATTCATTATGGATCATTACAAATACTTTCCTTTAAAAGTACCAAGTCCTCACACAGAAAAATAGAAAAAAAAAAATGCATCGATAATCATTTTATAATCGCATCACAGCCCTCTGAATCATAATCGAATCGTGAGGTGCCTAGAGATTCCCATCCCTACACACGACTGTGACTAAGTGACTAAGAGCATATAAAAAATACACTGCATCAGCCTCAATCTCAAACTAAATTGTGGCAAAATATGTATGAAAATGATGACTTCACTCTGAGCAGATCTAAATCTTTTATGGAACTGCATATGGCGCTTTTAATTAGGCCTCTGCCATATCACATAAAAAGTTTCATAACAGGTTCCTAGCACTGTCATAAATGGAATAACTGTCCATCAATTTAGTTTAAGGCCTTTTCTGTCATCTTGATTGATTTACAAAACCAATTCCAAAAAAGTTGGGACAGTGTATGACATGCTAATTAAACAGAAAACAGTGATTAGTAAATTCTGTTTGTAACCTGTACTAAATTGAAAATGGTACCAAATTTAGGCCTTTCCTGGATGCTTCTTTTATACCCAAACATGACTGCATATTCTCTTTAGGGGGATTCACAATGTTCCTAGTCTTAAAGCGCCCCGTCACATCTTTTTTGGAAAATGGGTTTCAGAATGAGCATATATTTGTAAAAACAATGAAGTTGATAGGATAAAACCTTACATCTCTTGTCTTTGTGTTGTTCTCATTGAAATACAAGTAGATTTATAAATCAATGCTTTCTGTTTTTATCTGTATTTCAGATACTGTCCCAACAATTTTGGAATTGGGCTTGTACCTTAAGTTTCAGATTTTTAGATTTTATTATATTACTTTCACACATACTGAGCACTTACTTACCTGACTTCCTTTAGGTCCTCTAGGCCCCTGGCTGCCAGGCAACCCTGGCATACCCTACAGATCAGGGAAAAAGGACAGATAGTAAAGTCAGCATCCATTCTAAAGAAAATGTTTGGCACTGAGCAGTTTGTTTTGCTATAAAAGCCATGTCTTATCAAGTCAAATTCATCTGAATAGCGAGAAGTGTGTTTATGTTTAAAGTGAAAGAAGCATGCAAGGCTGACATATCTGAGTCAAACACAAGCACTCACATGCCTCCCTGCTGTCCCCTCGCCAGGTGGACCAGGCTCTCCTCTCTCTCCCTTTGGTCCAGGTAAACCCACCACATCACCCAAGTCTTCGGGGAGCGATGGACAGCTGTCACATGCGTCACCCTGACGACAGAATGAAAAGACAAAAGCATCCATGGGTTCAGTGGCTCAGTCTCCATTTCAGAGGCTTTGGCATTTGCCACTTTGAAATATAAATACAGTTGAAGTCACTGCATTTCATTACTGCCATACTTTATTTATTTCATTTCCTTCCCAAGCAAATCTGTCGCAATCATCTCTGCTTACACTTCCGAAAGCATAATCTGTCAGCCCTTCCTGTACGGCGCAGACTGTTGTTTAATATTTCATAAGTAGTTTTACATTTCACGTCACGTTTAGCATTTTTACAACTCGGCTGCGAGAGACTGAGCAGCACGCAGGCTGCATATTGTATGTTTTCGTCTTGTCAACTCAGAAACATCTCTATTTCTCAACACAAAGTGAATTAGTCCAAACGCTTTTTCAAAATCAGTGATATTGCTCTATATGCACTCTACAGTGAATGGCCAGTGCACTTTACACCGCCCACTTTATGATGCATTATATTGTTTAAACGAAGCACAAATATTATTTTATTTGTTTACACGAAGTGCATTTGAGCTATGCAGTGTCCAGTGTTCAGTAATGCATTAATAACTTTAAAGTTGTTAGAAAGATCCTTTGAAAATGTATCACTAATTTCATTCCTGCTCATAATGTACATGAATCATTTCACATCAGAACTTGAACGCTATGCTCTGACTCTGAAGACTTTGTATGAGAGCAATACAGCATGACTCAAACTCATTGGACCACAGAAATACAGTTTTGACAGATGGATCCAGATTGCTTGTTAAAACTTACAGCATATTCATTAAAGGCTTTGGGCTTTGTGTTGCTTTCTGCATACCAACTTTTCTACAAGCAAAACCTCACCTCAGTGTTACTAATTCTCAGTCTATATCTGAATCCCCACTGCTGTGTGATACCAACCATTTGGAAGCATGAAGGAAAGCACATGCTCCTTCAGAGCCATGTGAAGCAGCTATAAACAGACACAACCCTCAGCAAGCTCAGCAAGTGGTCATTTTTTATTGATTAGGTCAGTCCAGAAGTACCACTGCCCTGCATGTTGTGGTGTTTCCCTGCTCGCCTCATGAAGAGCTTGTTAATGAGCTCATTAGTTGCATCAGGACTGAGGGGATGTGGAGAAACTCAAAAATGTGTAGAGCAGTGGTCCTCCAGAATCAGCACTGAGAACAGAGATAGCACCAATCCGATATCAAGTGCCTAGAGATACGAAGGGGATACGATGGGAATTGTGGGATGATGCAGATAATTAATACTCTTCTTGTACATATATGCAGATACATAAACATATATAAAATGTAGAAATTAAAACTACTAACATAACATTTTCTCACTGTCCAAAACAAAAACAGAACAAGTATCTCCAGAAAGGAAAAGTGGTCTTACCTTAACTGGATAACTTAATGTAAGTTTAATGTAAGATGTGAAAAAGTTTTACACTAAGAGATTCTGGAGCATTTCTACAGAGCCCTGCGGGTGACATCCCATACAAATTAAAATAATAGTTAATAACGCCTTATTAACACGAGGATGAGATCCTAATGCATGGCCACAACTTATTAAGGCAAGGGAATGAGATAATTAAGTCGTGGTCTAACTATCTTGTTTCCATGCGACCTATCTTGTTCCCACGCCTTACTAAGTTTTGTCCATGCATCATTTTTATTTACACAGGATGTCACCAGCAGGGCACCGTACATTTCTATTGGTCCATTCATCATGATTTTTTATATAATGTAAAGGACGGCTGCAATGTTCAAAATTTGTCCAGTATTACCTAAACATTCCTCAATACATCATCAAACATCAAAAGGTTTGAAATATTGGTCAAATCTAAACACGTGTTCTTATGGTCAGCGATGATTTGTTTCATTAATAAAATGCAGACATTTTATTCCAGCATCACCTGAACATTCGTCAACATATCATCAAACACTGGTTTGAAATATGGGTCAAAGCTAAACATCTGTCCGATGCTGATGTTTTTTTTTTTAAACAATTATGTGCTGACACTGATATAAGTCCAAAATCATGGTGCATCACCACAAGTGTCAGTATCAGGCCGATATCAGCAGAAAGTATGGGATCAGATATTGGACAGCAAAAAAGGATGAATTCTATCAAATTCTGTAACAGGTCTATGTTGAAATAGCACACAGTCGCGTTGTGTGATGTGATGTTGTTAGTTGTTTCTTCCTTCCTGTAGAGTAGAAGAGTGTTTGAGTAGCTTCAGCATGATGGCCTACTTTTAGATGCTCATCTTCAGTGAAGGGCTTCAATTAAAAACAGCTCATTTTAGCCTTTTCACTGTGTTATCTCTAATTGAGAGCCACTTGCTTAGATAAGCACCATGTTTAAAATAACAACGACAAATACAGAGAATACCAGAAGAACACAAAGGAAATCTGATTCTTTACCAGACATACAGGGATCTACTAAAAGGAACTCCAGCGGGACGTGGAAACACGCTTCCTTAGCCTTTTCCTAAAAGCAGTGGCACAATCAGGATCTTATGGACCCCAAATTCTAATACTACATACACATACAATAAAAACATTAGTATAATTTTGTTGTTTACTCGTAATGTCTCAAACAAGTTGGCATACGACTTCACCCACTAACAGCTACTGTTAAATCCTTAAAGGGCCAGGGCCCAAAGTTTTATTACACACTTCTATAAACTAACAAAAGCTCAGCCAAATTGCACTGAAGTCCCTGTAGTTACTGAATAATAAGCCTTACTATGTTATAAGCCTGGGATTTTAAGGTGTTAACTTAGATGTTAGATTACCTATTTTTAAGATTTTAAATAATGATTATATGATGTTGCAGGTTGTGTTGGGTCTGTTGTAAAAACTCTTACTATGGACGAGCTGCACCATGAATAAGAGGAGGATAAATAGAAGTCAGTGCTGTCTGTGTAAGATTGATGGAAGCTAATTGGTGAGGTGTGTTGTTGGATCTTTCTAGCATAGGTGTAAATTTATGTCAGCATCTACATGAGGGGAGCAATGAGGTCTGGTCCCCTTTGTCATGGGCCCCATTTAAACGGACGCTGAGCTCTTCTTTCTCTTTCCCACTTCTCACTTTCTCTCTATTTTCCTTTGTGATACCTCTAATGATAAGGTAGTATGTAGGGTGTTTTCTTCATGCTTATTTATTTAGTGACAGCTCAGCATGTTATTTTCATCTGTAGGTAAGACATGCACTGTCTGCAATTTGGAGGAATTATACAATGTATAAGTAAAGAATGCCTTTTACAGTAACGACTGGCAATGCTGTGCACACCAGTTATTTAGGGGGCTTTCTTTCATTACTACACAAATTCACGTTATTACTTAAGGCAAATGCAAATAGCGGCTGTTTCTGCTGTTTAACCCTCTGCGGTCTAAGGGCCTTTTTACAATTTGTGTGTATCTGCTTAAATTTGTCTTTAAAGGCACTTGTATATAACATGATACCCACATGTTTCATATTAAAATGCTTTTGTCTTTGTTGCTACTTTACATAACCGCTGCAGCAACTTCAGAGGCTCTAAACTTTTTTGCATGCCATTTCATGTGTCTCCGATGTCGAGTCTATAATGAATGAAGAATTTCCTGAGTCCTTAATGATCATTAAGTCCTTAATGACTTCCTGAGTGTCTACTGGTCAGTTTCACCCAAAATGGGATAGATAATGTGGATATCAACCCCTCTTCATAGACTCATAACTCTCGATGTGAGTCACATACGATCCTGTGATCAGATGGAGTTGAACGTGAAGACTCTACAGATTCAGGAATGTATTTGTAGAACTGTATTTCTGCACTGTATTATCACAAAGATCGACAATCATATATAGAAACATTGAATTTGACATACGGGCAAGTTGGCGGACCCAAATTCAAGGGGGCTAATCTACACTTCTCCATTAATAGAGTGATGTCTCAATGTTCTTGTTGCATTGATTTGGAAAATAAAGTGTATAATCTAACAAAGCCGAAAATTCATATTTTTTATATTTTTTCATGTCACTAACCTCGGGTAAATCAAAATATATTTCACACACTGGCTGTGTTTTATCACTACTCTGGTTAAACCAGTTAATAACCATCACTTATCAATACGAATTCCATTTTGAATCAGATCTCACAGAATCATAGTGCATCCAGCAATAAAGGCAGCACAGAGCTTCTTTAACACAGTGATAGAAAACATAGTAGCACACAAAAAGCTCCAATACCACATGGCCAGCGTGGGTTACAAAACTTTTACCAGTTACTGTTATCATGACTGCCCAAATGACCATGTTTGGGCATACACAGCCATGAACGGAAACAGAAACAGTCAATTGGTAAAAGAGGCCTGCTTTTGTGGGAACATTTATTTGTGAAAGTCACTGCTCATTGGTATAATCTGGTCATCTGCTATTGAAGAGGCTCATTCATCACCCTGTACGAACCAACTGTGCAATCTCCAAAACTGGATTCTTTCAAATCTCGAATTTGAATTTTCTAGAATTTCTTGTTAGAAACAAAAATTAGACACAGAAACAATAGTAGAAACATTTTACTGTTTTCTACTGTAATTCTGCAATAGCCTATGTTAATATGACAAAGTTATGCCTGTTTAATTTGAGGAATTGTAGCAAATCGTTGCTTTTCATCATACGGTTTCAGTACTATTTTTAAGACAGCACACAGATGAACATGTTGCACACAGTGGTTCCCACTGATCTAGCTTTACCAAAATCACAGTAAGGGCCAGCAGTCTCACTCGGAACCATTTGGCGAAGTAAGTCCTATTAATAAAACTGAAATGAGCAAGCTGGTGCACTAGATGAGAGCAGGAAAAAGGCCCTGGCCCACAGCCTGTCCAAGCAGGAGGATTTTCAAGGGACCGCAGGACCTCTTCACTCTGCTCTACAGAAACAGTGATCTTATCATTTGATATCTGAGGGATAAATCTGTTTTCATCTCCAGCAGGAGATCCAGGAGTGAAACTCAAAATGAGTCAGTGCCAAACCATATTGTGCCTTAGATCTCCAAAAGGAAGGACTTTTACTTATCTATGAACATAAATGCAGAAATCTGCAAGTTTAAATGAGTACTGTGAGTGACCACAAAAATGACCAAAGAGATTCTAACATATGCAATAATTACATAAATCAGAATCCGCTGTAGTTTATCAGCATATTGATCGATTGCTGTCATAGCAAGCCCTAGTACCTTGGTAAAGGAAAACGTATCCTTAACTTGCACACCAGTATAAGAACATTTTATTCCAAGTTGACCGTCTATATTGGTCAGTTCATCATGCAGTGTACACAAAGACAGCTGCCATTTTCAGAAGAAATAAAAGAAATAGTTTTGAGGTTTTGATATGACAACAACAACATGTGAGTCGAATCTCAGACTGTAGTCAACAGAATATCTAATACAACTAACCTTCTCTCCTTTAAGTCCATTAAGGCCATCTCTCCCTGCCTCTCCAGGCAGTCCTGGGGCTCCTTGTTCCCCAACCAGGCCTGGGTCACCCTGTAAACCCTGTTCACCCTGAAAATGCAGAAGGGTTGTCAGAAAGTGCTAATCTAATGTCCAGAATGTCATTCATTATGAATCAGGCATTCATGCTTGCCTTGTCTTATAACTGTAACTTACTTTTTCTCCTCTTAGTCCTTGAAGGCCTGGAGGACCCTGTTGAGACAGATTAAAAGTCTGATTAATGCAAGAGTAGCTCAGACATTGATTAGTCTGGATTACTGCTGTCATCGTGTCCACAGTGATGGCTGGATGAGATGTGATTTCACTGAGGAACTGAGATGACCACCGGACATAAATAGACAACTCCTCACTGATAGCGCCACCCAGGAGGGCTGCATGATTAATCTTATTTTAATGAAGGGCACAATTTTCTTCACTAAACTGAACATGATCGACTGCGATATTGGTGAATCTAAATAAAGTTAGCTAGCATGAGATATGCTGTCATAGCGAAACCTTGTATATGCTGTACATACTGTAACCACCCATTCTATACTGGTATAAATCTTTTGTATTTGGTTGCACATTGTGGTGTCATATTAGTATGTATCAAAATCAATATATTCATTTTGTATACGGCCAGTTTCCAGATAAAGATTAAGCCTGATCATACATTCACATTAGCAGATATAAGAGCGACAGGTGACCAGAGAGAAGGTGATTCAGAGACAAGCAGCAAGTGAACTGGCAGCAAGGCAACAAGCCACAAGCAAAGCTGAATTTTTTTGTAAAAATGCAAACGAACTGTGACGCAATGAAGCAACAAGCTAAATTATTGGCTCAAATCAATTCTTCAGACCAACTGCAGACATTAAGGTCTGAGGTACAGACTAAACTTTCTGTTCTTACTAGCAGATCATTCCTGCTTCCTGGAATATCATACAATTAATGGATGGGAAGCTTATAAACTTGTAAATTTATAAACGTATAACCTTGGTTCATATTTTAAACCAAATATAGTACGAATTTTTACATTTTCCTGTCAGAAACTTGACACGTAACAACAAGAGCCGTCTCAAACACACCCACAAGAGACAAGCCTGAGCTAACATTAGCAACTCCTAATGTGAACGTATGGCCTGAACTAAACAGGATTTCTATTGGTGAAATACCACCACTAGGTGGCACTAAGCTTAATCCATGTCCACGAAACTCATAAAGCCCATACAGTTTGATTTTGTTAATATTTATCATCTTAAACATACAGGAACTTACTTTGATTCAATTTGAAGGAATACAGGCTTAGAATTTCTTGTAAGTGTAAATTTATTATTATTTCACCTAGACTGTACTTGTAAAAGACACAGAGAGCAGGACCCAGCAAGCTCACCTGTTTGCCCTCTACTTCCTCTCCCGGAGGTCCTGGAGGCCCTGGGGGCCCTTGAGGTCCTGGGGGCCCCGGCAGACTGGGCTCTCCTATCACTTTGACAATGTTCGGGCCTCCTTTCACCTCAGAGGCAATGTTCTGGCACACACCACACGAGTCTCCCTGAGATACATATAACAGTTACAACACGCCACCCAGACACTCACAGAATAGATCAATACATGTTCCGCCCACATTTCATAGCAACTGTTCCCAGGTTGGACAACCTTTAATAAACAATAGCAAAAATCTCACTCAACCTAAACAGAAACTGTGGCTTACTTTGCTTTGAGTTGCTATAAAACTTTTAAGTTTCCAGTTTATAATACTATGCAACTGTGCTGTACTATGCCATTGTAGCTAACTGAAACTAGGCTGGCCACTCACCTTTTCACCTTTGAGACCAGGTAAACCCTCGTCCCCCTGCAAAAAATTACAAACAAGCTCTGAATATGACAGTGATGACCACAGTATTGGCAATTTACACTTCATAAAAAACATGCTGTCCTTGGTTAGTCAGCATTTGTGGACATCTATACGCTCCAACTGAACATTGGAAGCTACTTTTCCACTGAGCCTATTTTTTACCTTTTTTATTCTAACTGAATCCAGGTTCAGTGATAAAACACTGGCTGCAAGATCTGGCAAAGGTTAGTCAAGGTGAAATTACCCAAGTGGATCTATTTCACTGCTGGCAAGCCATATCTAGCAGAATCCAGTAAAATATTCCTTCACAGTTTGTATAACCGAGGACACCACTTTGTTGATCTTATGCTGAGCTTCAATTCTGTTTGGGAGCCTAAGGGAGAATTCAGCTCCAAACCCATTTCTGTAATATTCCTTAAAAATGTTGACAGGAAATCTTGAGAGTGTCAATAAAAATGTATGTTTTCTGCAAAACATCCTTTAGTCCAGTGGGCTTCATCACCTTTAACCCTCTCTGTCCATCCTTGCCACTGGGACCTCTTGGACCAGGTTTGCCCTGAAAAAGATTTTCCCTGAAGTGAGTTAAAACTGTCTTGGTCGTTCATCATAATCCAACTGCCAAAGTGAAATACGCCATACTTACCGTTTTCCCCTCACTGCCTTTGCTACCCGCATTACCCTAAAACCAAACCAGAATTTTAGCCATCACCAACACACAGGGCAGTCCTGAACAACTAAATGTGAAAAAATAACAACATCTGTGGATAACTTGGTCTAAAAGAGGGCATCTGTCTGATAAACAACAACAAAGACAGAATCACAGTACAGCTCTAATGGGGCTGCATTAGTCTGACTTGGGGAGGTATGCTAATTTAAGAGACTGAAGACAAAATCTGTGATTATAGCTTCTTTCTGCAGACCCCCTACACTGAAAGCGCAGATTTTGGTTTTTCTAACCATGAATGTGTTTAGTGTCTCTGCTTAGTAGTCAGTTTGGTTGTAACAAAACAACTTAAATGGCTGTCAAGTCAGTACTTATTCTCTTTTTGAAAGTCAGTAGTTTCACTCTTCTTGCACACTTTCTTGTACATCTCAGCTTGTGATCACTGTGATTTTCAGTGACATGATAATGGACAATTAAAACAATGTAGTAGTTACTTCAACCTAAAAGCTCAAGGTTCTGCAACATGCTAGTTTGTGTCATATATATTTTTACTTTGTTAAACCTAAAGGTTTGAGTGTATTCAACTCCATGTATATTTCAAACAACTTGAAAAAGTGCCTTCAAAACCTAATTCATTTGAGGCAATGAGTTACCTCTAAAAGTTTGAGTAAAGTGAACTTGTCAGGATTTACAGTGTGGTCATTCCACTGCCGGAATGGAAGTCAATTAGGATTTTTTAAAACTATTATAATCAAATTAAAATAATTATCTGTGACTGTCATCAGATTAACTAGGAAACTGTATTCTGTCTGTGTTGTGACTCCACAAAAATGGACGTGGCGATAAAACATGCAGTAAAACTGACATTTTCTTTGTATCAAAAATTGTTTACAACTGCCATTATAAAAAATAATTGAAATAAATTAGAATTTAATTTAAATGCAAACTTAAAAATGACCTACAGAGTGAAAATCCTGTTTCTCTTTCAGTTTTGTAAAATCACACACATTTCCATCATACAAATATATTCCATCAACAAGATTGTAGACGAAGTAGTGCATAGTGCACAAGCGACCTCCAAAAAACACTGTAAAGGAGCTGGTGTGCTGAAATGATGTAGAAATATAAAAAATCGACAAAAAAGGGGATACGTGGTTTTCTTTGGACATTGACGATATACAAATTCAAAGCACAAAACTGCAACGGACATAGATTTTACAGTCTGACAGTAATAAGTGTGGAGTAAATGACCTTCTGTAACTGGATGAACTTAGAGTAGGTAACAGGAAATAGTAGGTAATAGTCTGACTTTCCTCTTGTTAGTAGTCCTGTTTGAATTGACCTTACAGTAAAGCACTAACAAAACCTGCTAACAAACACGGCTGTGTTGTTATTGCTATTGAGAGTGTCCTGTGGTGTATTGCAGATGTGAACATCCGGACTGCGACCTTTCAATTTGGGCCTCTGTGAGAATTTGGGGAGTTAAACGCATACTTTAATCTGTACCAGCTGGCCAGTCAAATACCACAGATTGCATTACAGAATGTGATGTGATAAAACTAATCCAGCTTCAATACAGCTCAAGTGGACATTCAGTAGCGCCAACCTTTTCCCCTTTGAGTCCACTCAGACCACTAGGCCCTGGATCTCCCTGAGAGAAAGAAAGAGCATGAGGCAGAAATAAGGAGAGAGAGAGAGAGAAGATGGGAAAAAGAAGTGAGAGCGATTAGAGAGGAAAAAGAGAGTATGAGAAATGTACAGCACAATAACTAATGAGTGAGAACAACACAGGAACATTAACATACGCAGGTAAATAAAAGCCATCTGTGGCTGATTAGGCACAGACAACCTACTCCTTTTTAACAACACATTCCATTTATGCCAACTTGTTCTAAATCAGCTACTAAAACAAACAGCATCTTCAAAACGACTCACCTGTTCTCCTTTCTCCCCCTTCAGAGTCTGAGCTGCTGCAATAGGGGCTGGACCGATATCACCATGCGTAGGACATGCGGTGCACGGCTCGCCCTGAGGAGAACAGAAACAGGTGGGTAAGTCTGGAAAAGGCCCTAAACGATATGAAAATCGATATTTAATGGAAAAAATTCTGATGATTGATATTATCAACAAGAATTTTTTACTTGGCCAAAAATGAAACAGACTCCAATCATTTTAGTCAAACTGTTCTGAACTGACATGATATGACCGCAGTTGGTCTGTTATGAATTGTCAGATATGAATTCTTCAACTCAACAGAAACTTAAATGTTGAAAAATAAAGTTTTGTAAATTTTGGGCACCCCTAGCTGAATTACATATTATGAAAAAAGAAGCAGAAAAGTAAACACGACCTCTGCAGCAAACTATTAAAAAAATTATACAAATGTTAGTGCACAGTTACTTTAGATTTGCTTAACTAAAGACAAAAAAGAAACCAAAATATTAATTGTGGTATGTGTAAATTTTGGAACACCATTCCATGAGCGAAGTCTCACAATTTAAATAACTTGTTAGTCCTTAATTGACTTGTTAAGACAGGTCAAGAACTGTCATTAGTAATTAGTGTAATGAGCACATTTACTGTAGTGTCAGGGTGGAGCTTCCCAGCCTTCTTAGCAATTATATTAGTTTCTGTTAATTAGCTCTTACTTTTCTTATATCAGCTCTCTTCATACAAGTTGGCATGAATGCATTTTAAGTTTGCTAGCTCAGCTTTTGTTGCTGTAATAAGATGAGTATCTTAAGAAGCGAGTGACCTTCCCCTTATTATTATTTTCCCCCATTATCCCCCTATTTACACTTTATTTGGCGTGGTCCTTTATAGATGATTAATAAACTCTTAATAGATTATCAGTAACACATCAACAACATACCAGTGAAGTAGCAGTAGTGCAGCATCTGAATATATTGAAGTATCACTATCTTGTTGATGTTATGTTGATACATTACTTACAATAAGTAGATGTGTTGTTAATATGCTACTTACATTATGCAAAACCTAACCTAATCCAACCTTATCCAAAAACTAACCCTAACCCGGGTCTTAATCCTAACCCTAACCTTAACCTCAACCCAAAACCTAATCCTAACCCTCATATGCTTTTGACATGTTACTGAGAGTCTGTTAAGGGTTTGTTTCATTTAAAAAAGACCACTCAAAATAAAGTGTCAACTTATTTAGTATAAAATAAGCCACTTCAAAGAGATTCTGGAGCAGTATTGGTGGAATTTATGCCGATACTTAGAAATGCCTGGGCCTGTATTCATCAAGTGCACCAGAGTAAGAACACTGATCTGAGATCAGGTCCATGTATCAGTCCATGTAGCCCTGCTGAGTGCTGCTTTGATAAATATGGACACTGGAACTTTAAAACTGGTTGATTTTATTGACTGATATTTCAACCAGGCCTTTGTTTGAGATACAACCTGACTGTTTAAACTGAAGAGTGATGCTTCATCTCCACAACTTTACAAAAAGTCCAAACTCACCTTTTCCCCTTTGGCCCCATCTGACCCGGGCTCACCCTGTAAAACATTCACAACACCACAATTGAGAGACAGCTCTGAAGCAGGCTGCTTACACTGCGAAACATTTAGTCATCCAACACTTCACAGCTTAAATCAGCAGAAACGAGCGAGGTGTGAAAGACACACTGGACTGTCAGCACTGGGGCCGTCACAACTCAATCTTTCTGGAGACTTAGGTGTCAGATATACTGCAATCAACTAGTGAAAGAGCCTCAGGGATCTGTTTAAGGTACTTAAGAGTGTGTATGTGCATATATAAGTGTGCCTGCTTTGTGCTCTTTGAGTAGCCATGAATAATTCAAAAAACACATTATGTCAAACTGCAGCCCCAGAGAGCTGCAGTGCTGCAGTTTAGTGTTTTCATTCCTTTAACCCTTAGAAGTCTAGACTTTTTGTCATGTTGCAACACATTCGATTAACATTACTAATGTGCCATTAAGTATTCCCTTCACTGGCTTCCTGTAGCTGCCCGCAACAGATTTAAAACCCTGACGCTTGCACTTGCCTACAAAGCCAAAAATGGACCAGCCCCTCCTTACCTCATGGCAATGGTCAAAACTCGATCTGTACCTTGAGCCCTTTGAGCTTCAAGTACAGCTCGGCTTGACCCGCCATCCTTCAAGGACAAATGGAAGAAGAGCATCAGGTCTCTTCTCTGCCTTGGCACCCAGGAGGTGGAACGAGGCACTAATCTAAGTACTTATTGAAATGCACTGTATTGCACTTATGCTTTGTCTTAACTCTAAATCTTTCTTTCTAGGTATTAGCACTGGATTTTGCTTCTGGCAGCGTCTCAGCTCAAGGGCAGTCTGGACTCTAACCTATTTGTACTAGCTACACGCTTAAAAAGATGGTACTTCAAGGGGTCTTTAGTAAAGAAAATGGGTATATATAGAACTTTAAACACTCAAAAATCCTTTGCATGATTAAAGGATTCTTTGCATCATTAAAGGTTCCTCAGATTGATGGGGAATGTGTTTTACATGGTTCCATATAGAACCTTTTTGAAATAAGTTCTATATAGCACCAATTGACATAAAAATAGAAGAACTCTTTCTGGTGCTATATACAACCATCTACAGCACATTCTCTGTCAATTTGTAGAACCCTTTAATGATGCAAATAACCCTTTAATCATGCAAAGGGTTCTTTAAGTGTTCATGGTTCTATATAGAACCATTTTCTTTACTAAAGGACCCTTGAAGAACCATCATTTTTAGCACTTTTATAAGTTGCTCTACATAAGAGCATCTGTTAACTGCCAAATATGTAAATGTAAACGTGAATGTAATGTATAATGTATAGTTACATAATGAACCACATAGCTAGTTACTTATGTAATGATCTTACGTTATAGCCTTTCCAGACTACTCTGCTCAGCTGAGGCAGGTTTACTGCAAACTCCTAGCATCACTTACAGTTCAGTTGGAGGAAGATCATTAAAACAGCTCCAGAACTCTGGAATAACATTCCAGAGAATATTGAGCATGAAATGCAAGCTCTTTTTTTAAATCCACATTACAAACACATTTGATTAGGCTATCACTTGCCTAGAGCACTGTGGGTCATTTTCATTTTATTTTTTTTTTGTTTGCAACTGCGCAGTTATTTCATTTAGTGTTTTACATACAGTGTTAGAAATAAAGGTTCTGTACAGGTACATTTTTGTTCATCAAGGTACAAACAATGTAAGTGTGCCTTCAAAAGGTACCAAAGTGATTTTAAGGTCCATTTGTGTACTCTAACTAAGGTTTTTCACAGGCGAAAATTATGTATTTGTACCTTTTCATAATCTAATGTTTTAAAACAAAACAATAAACTAAAAAGCCTGGAGACGAGACGGGGTGTGTGGGATCAATACAACTTTGAATATACAATTTAAATAGAGTACGGTACAATTACGTTCCCTGACTAAAGGCACTGAGATGTACCCTTGAGGGTACCACCCCAGTGACAAGAGGGGTACTGCCCCAGTGACAGGTGACTACCTTTTTTCTGAGAGTGTATAGTCACTATTCACAAAAACAAAAGTATCTGTTTTTTGTTCTATTCATTTTTTTTTTTTACTTTTATTTTTTGACCTCATTTAACCACAGCAGCTGCCCTATATACATGTTGAAAAATTGGACCAATAGAAATACTTCAAAATTGCTTGCAGTAAAGTCTCTTTATATTAACTTAGATTAAAAATCAAGTTTTTGGCCTCTCCTGTAACGAGACTGGAGATTTTTGTGGATAGTAACGTAATATTCCCAAGCATAGCACTTTGAGATTTTTCAGCTAACATTAAAAGTGCTATATAAAGATTTATTATATAGTAGAGTATATATAGTATCATGAATTACATTTACATTCAATTTACATTTATCATGAACAGGGCAGCAATGTAAAGAATGGTTTTATACTTTTCATCAAATTCAGTTTAAAATAAAACAGCTCCTTTTCTACTGACAAACACATTTGTGGTATCGACTACAAGTTTAGAATCTGGACTTTCGACAGAATTTCTCATCTTGCTTAAATGAGCTACAAGTGAGAAATAATTAAACAAAACATAAGTAGAGGCAGAAACGCCAGGGGGAACCTAGAAGACTTAACACACTTCATTCAGCTCAGCAGGTGATTAAAGTGCTCTGTGGTCTCAAGTTTGACAAGTTTTACATGGCAACCTGACACAAAACTGTTCGGACCCATTGATGTATGTATGTGTTGAAGAGCACAAATATGAATACGAGTGTCGACCACTAACAGGCAAAAACCACAAAAGCACACAAACCTTTTCACCCGTCTTGCCATCTTTTCCTGGAGAGCCCTAGAACAGAGAAGACGGATCAAAACAGGATCAGTCTCCGAGGCCGTGCCATGAAAGCCCTCCTCACTCTCTGCTACTGTATCGCTTTACACATCACACCTTTTCATTTTCCCTCTATCTTTCTCACTTTCTCCAAGGCCCACACCGGGGTGTGTGTGGATTGAATCTGCCGTTATTGGAAATCGCTACAGAGAAATGCACACAAGCGCTTTATGGTGCACTACATAGAGTCTTATTTGGCAGATTTTATCCCTCTCGAACAGAGCAGAAGACAGTAGAAGTAAATGGGTAAAAAGATGGAAGAGCTAAAAGCACACATTATGCTGCGATATTTCATCTACCACTTCCTAGACGCGAATAAAACGAATAAGAAAAAAAAAACTGCTGCTATTGACAGAGGGAAATAGGCCTTGCTTAGAGAAAACTCACCAGGCCTCAGAGATGAGATATATACGCGGTCCCAGCAGGTATAATTATAGGAGACAGAATATGATTCTGTGGCTTGCTTGGTGGGGAGTGGTATAAGGACATCATCACTCATTCAATATAATGCCAGCGGGGTTGAAGAGCGCTGCCTGAATGCTGCCGTGTTCCAACAGTTCAGGAAAAAAGAAATGTACTGCACCTTCTGAGATGAGTATTATCTCTCACAGGGGGACCTCAAACTAAAAAACGAAGTTGTGTTTTTACCACAAGAAGGCGATGATAGAGGAACGTGCGCATACAAGACACTATATTACCTCTTCAGGGTCCATATAAAACACTAGTGCTAGACTGGGACATATAGAGTAATATTGATTATTGCTGCTCATGAAAACGTCCCATGAAATCCAGGATACAGAGAGCAAGAGAGTGATGTGTTATTGTGCTCTAAAGGAAAAAATGTTAGCTAGGGCTCATAGGGTTCTGAGGTTTCAGGGTTTAAGGTGGAGAACATCGGAAAAGTATTTATTATTAAAAATTGAGCTCACAGGCAGACCCTGCTCTCCTATTCCTGGGGTTCCAGGTTCGCCTTTAGGCCCTGGCTTCCCCTGAAGGGTCACAGTGTTGTCCAAATCTGTTGGCAGCCCAGGGCACACTTCACAAGGGTCACCCTGAAAAAATGAAAACAGATGCTTCAGGTTATAAAATGTCTGTTGAGTCAACATGTAAACTATTCAATATACACATATATTACTGCACATGTCAACTAAATGCTGTATTAATGCAAGTTCTCAAAAAATATTTTAGCATTCAAGGAGTAATCTTTGATCTGTATGTTACTTGGCAACCATAGCAGACTGTTAACAAAGTACACTGGCTGGCTGAAGAGTCATTCGCTTAGATTGTTATGAAAAATACATTAAATAACTTATCAAACAGTGGTGAGTTATTTCATGAAAAGAGTGCAATTTACAATATTTAATGTTTTGCATAAAAGACAAAAAATGGGCAATTAAGGCTTTTTGCCAGTCAAAACACTACATAACATAAAAATATAGAAAAAATAAATATAAATACAGCACAAAATACCAGCTGGTTAAAAGAATACACATTTAGTTCCAGATTTCTCTTCATTTGTTTTAATAAAGCACTGACCACCCAAATTAGGTACTGAATAAAAACTACAAATAATAAGACAGGTTTGGAAATGGTTAAGAAAATTATGCCTTACTGTATTAATGATATTTGTATTTAATCTAATATTTTTTTCCTGAGCAATTAAACATATTGCCTAATTAAAGAGCTTTTTTAAAATATAAATCATTGAAACATATTTTTCCTGGGTGCCTAAAACCTTTACTCATCTACATATACCTACTACATCAGTGGTCACCAACACTCCTCCTAGAGATCTACTTTCCTGCACTAATACTAACACTAATGCATCTGATCCACCCAATCAAAGACATCTGAAGAAGTTAATTAGCTGGAGCAGGTGTGGCAGATTGTGAATGGAAGGTAGATCTGAACCAGGCTTGCACTACATCATATATACACCACATATATAATATTTAATATAAACAAATTGTATGTAATACATGTATATCTTATAAAACCATAAACTTCTTTACTCATAAATATACTCCAAAGTTTCCTCCCAGAGTCCAAAGACATGCAGTCAGGTGAACTGGAGGTGCTAAACTGCCCCTAGGTGTGAGTGTGTGTGTGTGAGTGCGTATGTCTGTGTGTCTGCCCTGCGATGAACTGGTGATCTGTCCAGGGTGTATCCTGCCTTCCACCCAATGAGCGCTGGGACAGGCTTCAGCACCCCCTCCGCCCCTTCCCCCCCACCACGACCCAGGAGGATAAAGCAGTTTATATGATGGATGAATAAATGAAGGATTTTTAGTAGGATTATGAGCGATGAACTATGAGAAATAATAATATGAGCTATAAGCTATATACACCACTGGGGACCTAGGAGTGTTAACACACTTCATTCAACTCAGCCGGTGATTAAAATGCTCTGTGACCTCAGGTTTGAGAAACTTGCTAATGCACTGTCACACTGAGTGACGTTTAAAAGGTAAGTGACATCTTAACAGCTTCTACAGGATACAAGTTCAGTTATTCAACACAGATAATATGTTATTTTCTCTATCCTTGACAGGGTCCATCACACATAACGTCCACTCGTCATGGAAAACAGAGAAAACGTCTTTCTTTTACTAATTGTGTTGCAATATTCACAGAAAAGTCATGCAATTTGCTGATGTGAGAAGGTCTGTCTTTGTCAGTAAGCTCGGCAGTCAGTTTAACATGACATATTCCATCCAGTCTCAATGTCACAGGTTGTACTTTTCATTGTTATTTGGCTCAAACAGTAATTTTGGTTTCTGAGGTATTGAAATGTGTTATCTGGTAAGAGCAATATAAAATGAAACATGAAACTGGTGGACAAAAAACTGATTCCTTTACATTAAAAATCTATTTCCATTTGGCACTGATCTCACAGAATAACCTTAATGAATTACACTATATTTGACTTTGGTGCTATTTTATAATAGCAATGAGCCACTGGGAGCCCTTCATTATAATCATTTTTACCAAGGTTAAAGGGTGTTAATCACTTTTAACACCACTTAACTGCAGTAAAACCACTGTGACACATTGCTTTGAGCAGCTTATTTCTTTCTCAGCAACTACAGAATAAAACACAGCTTTATGTCAGTGTATCAGTTATCATGCAGGAATATGTGAAATGATCATATTTCAGCTCTCACTATCAAGACTTAACAGACAAAAGACAAAGCCAACGACAGAAATGCACTGTTTTCCATAGAAAGGTGGAAACATGGGTTTGTGTCTTCACATCCAGGCTGACTCACCTTTTCACCTTTGGGACCACCAGGCCCTCTCGGACCCTGCAAAGCAGAAATATCAAAGTGTCCATCACATTTTCACCAACATTTCCATTTAGCCACTTCTACGTTTCCTTGTAAATGATGATTATGGTGCTGATGCTGATGGTAATAGTAGTAATGATGTTAATTACAGTGTTGTTCACGCTCAGCACATTTTGTCCCCTCTACACTGTCAGAATAATGGAGGGTTTGAAAGGAGTTCTCTCTTAAAAAGACGCTCCAGGTCAGACCACTGTTTTCCATCACCACAGCTAATGAAATGATCACTGCACTTACGGGATCGCCTGGACTGCCATCTTTCCCAGGTATCCCAGCATCCCCCTGGGCACAGCGAGATACAGTTATTACTTTCACCCTTCAACAGGTACAGCTCTTTGAAATGTCTCCTGATGTAATGACTAGTAGCATTAGTAAAAGTAAAAGGGAATAAGTGTAATGGGGTCCACTGAGGAGAAACTATTGTACCTCAGTCTAACATATTCTTACAATAATTAGCCAAATTTTATGCCACTCACTTTGTCTCCTTTTGATCCAGGAGGTCCACCTGGGGTCCCCTGTGTGAAAAGAACAGGAAGAAAAAGAACTGACTGTTTTAGCAGCAGGACTTCATTTAATGATGGAAACACACCACAAGCTATTTCACAAATTGTGTTTGGTTTCTCTTTAAAGTCCATTTATTACAAAATTACTTATTTTAAGAGCAATTACGCATCCATTTGCTGGTTTTTATGAAAGTATTTTCCTCTGAAGAGAAGCAGCAACATCTGTACAAACTGATCAAACAGCAGGGCACACAGGGGTAAGGATACACATTGTAAATGCATGTGTAACACAGGGCTGCAGAATGAATGATATTTCAATTAAAGAAGACTCAGAACTTTTGTAGAACAGTCATGAAAGTTTAAGAAATAGTAAATTGGTGAATCAGATTTTTTAATAAACCATTTAGCTTCTCTAACATTATAAGTTCCCATATTTAAAACCTGAGATGCCTGAACTCTGTACTCCATCAAAGGGCAGTGTAGAGCTGCATCTTACATTTTGGTCAGAGTTTCTAATGTGTTTACTCCAAAGGAAAGAAAGGAAGACTACTGCGGCTGGCTAAAGGCTACCGCACACCAGACAAGAAGTGCCACACAGCAAATACTACAAACTAAGAAAACAATCCATCCAATCAATCCAAAATGCAGCATCACGGATCCTCACAAAAAAGAGAGATCACATCACTCCCATTTTGAAAGACCTGCACTGGCTGCCTGTATCTTTCAGGATAAATTTTGTAGTTCTGCTCCTAGTTTTTAAGCTCTAAATGACCTTAAATCTCTGCTCAGATCACAGAGTGTCTGTCTATGTTCCAACACGTGATCTTAGATCTGCAGATACTGGCCTTCAGCAAATACTTTGAGTAAAATACAGAAAACATGGAGAGTCTATTTCAGTTATTATGCTTCTAAACTGTGGAACTCAATTCCACCTTTCATTAGACAGTCAAGCTCAGTGAACACTTGAAAATATATCTCTTTAGCGTTCAATTAAAATTCTGTCTCCAAGGTATTTATCTTCTTAATATGATCTGTGTGAGTTTTTTGTATGATTATAAATGAATACTTGTAGTTTCTTCTATGACTGCTAAGCTTTCACCCCTGTATTTAAAGCACTTTGAGCTGCCACCGGTATGAAAAATGCTCTGTAAGTTGAAAAAGATAATATTATTATTGTTATTATTATTATTATTATTATTATAATTATTATGTACCACATAGGAAGCATTACAGAAAAGTACTGATTAACAAGTTTATTTAGATTTGGTATCAGCTAGCTTACTTCATAAACTTATTGCTTATGAAGTTAAAATATATGATGTGAAATAAAATACTAGCCTAGTTGCTCGGCTAGTATAGATGAAGTAAAAACTGATGCTTAGCATTTGTTTATCTTAAGGACAGATTGGCTGCCTTCAGTGTGAATTTCAAGTCACATGTCAACTACCATGGATTTGTGGTCTGACTTTAGCATAGTGCATGATTGGTGCTGCATCATCCGCCATTAGGGGGTCTTACAAAGGCCTTACAAATTCAAATATCAAACATGACTGAAATGCCCACCACTAATTTTTAGATGATCCAGATTTCTGGATGATATTAGCAGACTAAAGTTAGATAACTGGCTAATGTGCGATATCAGTATCATGTATCTTACCGGAGGTCCTGGTTTGCCAACGCCAGGTAGCCCAGGAGGTCCTGGCGGGCCTGGTTCTCCTGCAAGCCCCTCTGGACCAACTGAACCTGTAGCTCCCTGTAAAACAAATGCCAGAAGTTAAAGGGCTCACACAGTGAAGTGTAATGTGTAAACTGTGAAATCAATTTTCCATTTCAGAGTCAACAGCAAAGGATTGGTCAGTTTTACCTTTTGCCCTTTAGGACCCACTACACAAATAGAGCCAGCCCGACCCTGTAAAGAAGAGACCATTATCTCGGAAATCCACAGGATGAGCTCACAGAGAAACTGACACTGACACTGATAGTGATAGTAATGCCACATTCTGGAAACAAATCAGAAATAAGCTGAACGGCTATGCAATCTACTGCAATCCAGGCCATCACTGAAGGCTGCTTTAAACCAGATAAACAATTTAAAAGTAAAATTCTAAACATGCATTAGGAGCTGAGCTGTTTCTCCATCCTGTTAGCATAGTTGTATACTGAACGAAAAAGATTAGAGTGTTTAAATCTTGGTTAATACGCCCCGACTATCCATTTAAAAGAATCAATGAGACTGCATTGATTTACGGGCCTTTGTTGGTCTAACCTAATCTATGTGGCATTAAGAAGATTTAACTTCTAAAGAGATATCTCAGGAGGAGAATAGGCACAAGTGAGTAGCTCGCAGGGAGTCTAATTCTTCATAATGCTTTTAAAAGCTTCTAGCAGCAGCATAGTATGCATGTGTGGAGCCATTTTAAACACCCTAGCTGAGAGACGCCTGCTTCAGTGTGCTTAAGTAGAAACATAAAGTATGTGGTGCATATTGATGAGACAGTTATTACAGCGGATATTGCCTCATATTCATAAAATAACCCCTTAAGTACTGGGAAGTATGAAAGGGATTTTGGAATGAAGGTGACTATGAATGTATAAACAAAGAAGAGTGCAACTTTGTGCTCCGTGTGTCTCTCATGTCAGAGATTTTTACGTACGTCTTTGCCCGGATTTCCGGTTAGACCCGGGGATCCGACCTCGCCCTTCTCTCCTTTATCTCCCTGACATTGAGAGAAGAAACAGATTGAGAAACAGAGAGAGAGAGAGAGAAAGAGAGAGCTGAACTCTGGGTTCTGTCTTGAGTGATGAAATACATTTGAGCATTTTAAGCCTCAACTACAATCTTGTGTTTGATTTAAAGTGATAGTTGGGCCAAAAACACAAGCTTACAAAAAAAAAATTCCCATATTTTAAATGTTGTCAATTAACTATGATATGTTTGGTGTTGAACATCTGCTTCTTTGATGGAGCTATAAGGCTAATGTAGTTAACAAATACTGATGCTTATACTTCACTAATTAGCAATGTGCAACCTGCACTCCTAAAGCATCTTACATTTGCCTCAAACCACACTGAGCTGTTATGGAATCTCAAATAGACTTGCTTATGTGGTTTCTGACTCTGTAGGACACTGTTATCTATAAAAATGGACTAAAGTATATCACACACAGTGTCAGAAACCACATACATATGTTAATCTGACATTCTTTAACAATCTGATACGAAGTATCTGATCATTTAAGGCCATCAAACATGCTGTGATGTGTCGAGATATAAAAAAAAATCGAAACCATTGTTTTTTAATGAACTGCTGGGCAACTCCGAGCACTGCTCCATCTCTCTGACCACCATAGCATTTTCCTATTGCTGCTTTAAATTAAACCCTGAAAAAGACAACATGCGGCCTGAAATTTTACACTAAAAAAGGCAGTCAATCTTAAATCTTAAACAGCAAATGCTGATGGCCTGCTCCTACAGCTAACATTACCAGTCGTTTTTCACCTTGTAAACATTTGATCAAAAACAGTGAGTTTGTGAAGAGTTAATTAGCTGATACCATTTTTTTTTTAATTTTTAAAACTATATCAAATGCAAAAAAGTAAAAATCTCAAAAAGTGAAACAAATTGTCATCACATATTTTTTTTCCACATTTTGTGAAAACACTCAGATAAATCATTTTGTCCACAATAATTCAGATTCCCCATATCGAGGTGCTATTAGCACTTACGTAGCATTTTCCTGCATCTATAAATGCAAGGATATCCATACCAGCAGTAATGCACATATAGTTGGAGTCATACATTTGAAAACAGTTTAAGCCTCGCTGTTATTTAATATATGATTTTTAAATCAATCAGCTTAGTATTATTAAAAACAAGCTAAAATTCCAAATCGTTGCTGGCTTTATGTATGACATTACAGCCCCAAAATAAAAATTACTTGGCCATTTTGTACATTACGAGGCCTTTTCTTTACATCTGGATTAGTTCTCTATTGTTCACATTACCCGATAGACTGCAATTACCATAAATGCTAAACTTAACCTATGTTGCTGCTCGCAAGACTGCCTCGAGCAGATGACTTGGGCAGTGGGGAAATATATTTTTGATATTGCACATGCGACACAGTCAGAACAGCTCAGGAGTGACTGACTATGAGTAATTGAGCACTTTGAGCAATTGAAAACTTTCATAAGCCCTTCTGACTCGACAAAATATTGAATGGAGATGTACATGTGCACACAAATGTGTCTGAGATGACCTTTTTTTTCATTTTTCCTAGCATATGTGACAAAATTGCTAGATTTTACAGCCCTGCATTAAATCTATAAGAGCACAGTGTAACTTTCTCAGTGCTCTCACTGTGACAAGAGATGTGCTATAATTGCATTTTGTACTATTTGATATTCAGTGTGATGCAAAGCTATAGTGTGTGGTGGCCTTTACACATGCAGTTTGCACAATGCTAGCTAGGTGGCTTAAAGCTTCCACTTATTCTTAGCTACACAAGCCTTGTAGCTTCGGTGCAAAACTAAAGGAACAAACTCAAGTCACCAAATCTTGGCTGATGAATGGAATTTGGAGGAGGGGAGGTAAAACTGTGGAAATCAGATCTTCGTTTTAATGGTTCTAGAACGTCTAGCACGTAGAAATGATACAAACTGTAAGAGTTATCAAATATGAAGGCATACATAAACAAGAAGTCTGTGCAAGACTATTATTGCTTATTTACTTATTCATTCATTCATTCATTACCTTAATTCCAATAGCATCCCCCCAATTTCCAGACAGGCCCTGAAATATAGGAGAATAAGAAACAGTTAAATCAATGGGCAGAAACAGGAACAAGATATCCCCTGGGCTTCTGCAGATCCTGTTAAACAATCCATCGATCGCAGCCCTCACAAGCACCGTGGCACACACTCACCGGCTCTCCCTTTACTCCTTTCTCGCCTTTAGCTCCTTCCGAGCACTGCAACACACACACATACACACATGCAAGTACACAGCGAGAGCAAACAGAACCGACTGTCCATCATGAAGTTTCCCTATAGTTATACAACAATCAGTAGCAAAAAAGGTCCTGAGAGAATTCTGGCTAAAGACAAACTGACTCGACCAGGAACGCCAGCTCCAGTGCAGTCCAGACCCTGCAGACACATTAACAGCATCACTGCACAGTGGACAGAGGCACTATCCTCTTAAAATACACACAGGCATGCAAACAGTTTATACCGAGAGGCGCCCACACCAACTTTAATGTCCTGATCACCATTAAGGAGATGCTTTGGTGGGTTTTGCTAATAATGTATCAGCAGATGATGCCAAAAATAATGTTTAAACAAGTCAGCCAATCAAAAAGAAGCTTTGGTCAGTCTTTAATGAGGCACTGGTAAACGATGCCAAAACAAATGAAGCTTCCCATGCACTTCCTGACTTTCTCTTTTCATCTCAGCGGGTCTGGGATGGGAACACACAAGGGGAATTCCACCATTTTTTACAAATTTCTGCATTATTCAATTGTTGAGATGTAAACAAAGTCATGCAGAGTGGTTTGGTGTGAAATGGATCGTTATAGAGGAACACAATGAATCTGATTTCTTTACAGTGGTGATGATAGGAACCAGGATGTCTACAACGCAGATGTGAACATTTTGTACTATTTGATATCCAGTGTGATGCAAAGCTATAGTGTGTAGTGGCCTTTACACATGCAGTTTGCACAATGCTAGCTAGGTGGCTAAAAGCTTCCACTAACTGTTTGCTACACAGGCCTTGTAGCTTTGGGCAAAACTAAAGAAGCAAACTCAAGACACCAAATCTTGGCTGATGAATAGAATTTTGAGGAGGACCAGTTAAATGACAAGTTAACCTACATGTGTCTTCAGAGTTTTTATGTGGAACACCAATAATAGTAAAGCCTGTTTTCTTTGATTCTGCCTCACAGCAACCCTGCATGTTCCTCTCCACTATAAATATATTTTAAATTATGTTTTAAACCTTTCGCAAATCAAAGAGTTTGATGTGGAACGTAAACAATGTTAAAATTTAAAGACATGGAAATATATCTGCAAAAAACAGTCACAGTATATATATCTGCCTATTCACGTGTATAGCAGTTCAGTCCTGCCCATTAATGCCGATGCTATAAAGAGTGTTTCAGCTTGCATTGTTTATTGAACAAAGCACAAAACAGGGTGGCCAATCAGGACAGAGGTAATGTACATATACCAGCTTTAAATGCACAGTAACAAAACATCCTGTCTAATTCCAAAGGATAAAAAACTGGTCATACAAACCTACAAAAATGTCAAGACAATAAAGTAAAATACAAGAAACTTTGAGTAAAAAATCAGTGGAATTTCCCTTTAAAGTAAATGCTTTTCAGCATTAATGTGTGTATTGCCTGGTTCTTACCGGGTCTCCTTTCTCTCCTTTGAGGCCAGGCTGACCCCCATGCCCTTCCTGGACAAGCTGCAACAAACCAGAGATTAAGTTACAAGTCATTCAGTGTCTGAGTTCATAAATACTACATAAAACACACAGTGTGCATACAGAGCGTGCCCACGCAAGCCCATGTGTTGACAGCACAAGTGCATCATGCAGTACAAAGGAACAGACGTTATAATAGGATTGTCAAGGAATAGTTCAGCAAAACATTTTAATTTCACAGTTTTCACCTTAGCTAGACATTCTTATGACCAGAGTTTTCTTCTTTAGTTTTGCACTGGAGCTACAAGGCCAATACAGCTAAAAACTAATGAAGTTTATACGCCAGCAGTTAGCACAGTGTGCCAGAATTACCACACACTTGCCCTAAACTGTGTCTGTTGTTTTTGTGTTTTCTGACTGTATGCGTCATAAGACAACAGTTATCTATAAAAATAAAGTACAGTACTATGTAAAATTCCAAGACCGCCCCTTCCTTTACTTAATTTCCAGTCAAAACTGCCATTGATGGACAAATTATTCCTTTATTTAGTGTGAGAAACAATTAGAAAATATATTTAACAGAAAAGCCTTACACAGAAGCCTTAACAACTACCTTCAACCCTGCTTCCTAAAAGTCAGGATGTTGTGCAGAATGTAAATAAAAACAAAAGCAATGATGTGCAAATCATTTAAATCCTATATTAAATTGTAGGTAGTACCAAGACAACATATCAAATGTTGAAACTGAGAAATGTTTTTTGATTTTCGAAAAATATCTGCTCATTTTGAATTTGATGCCAACAACGTGTTTCAAAAAAGTTCAGGGTAATAGAAGACTGGTAAAGTTGTGTAACGCTACCAAACAAAAAACAAATAAACAGAAAATCACCTGGTGGAACATCTTACAGCTAGTTAGTTAGTCAGTCTTTTAGAAGTAAAGATGATGAGGGGTTTACCACTCTGTGAAAAACTGTGCAGGCAAGTAGTGCAAACAACGTTTATTAGCGTAAAATAGCAAAGAACTCGAGGATTTCATCATCTACAGTACATAACATCATTAAAGCATTCAGAGAATCTGGAGAAATCTCTGTATGCAAGGGACAAGGCCAAAAACCAATACTGGACATCTGTGATCTTTGGGCCCTCAGATGGCACTGCAGTAAAAACAGACACCATCTGTAGTGGAAATCTTTGCATGGGCTCAGGAACACTTCTGAAAACCACTGTCTGTGAAAACAGTTCATCACTGCATCCATAAATGCAAGTTAAATCTCTACCATGCAAAGAAGAAACCTTATATGAACAGGATCCAGAGTAGTTGGGCAGTTGCTAGTGTGAATGTTAGTGTCTCTTTGAGAGGGATCATTATGTCAGAGAGAAATCTGCTAACAACTTTTGTTGGGAGGACACAGCTGGGACAGGCAGTAGCGTGCATAAAAGTAAAGAATGGACAGATTTAATATTGACAGATTTGATATTATATTTAGCTGTTGAGACTGCTGTGTATTTTTTGTTAAACATTTTTTTTTTGGTTTTTTTCCTGGCACTGAAAAATGAATACCTTGTGCTTTATGGCTGTTTTGACTGGGAATTTAATAAATGTTGGGTAGTCTCTGATGTTTGCACAGTACTGTATGTCACATAGGCAGGGGTTAAACTGGGCTGGAATGCACCAGATCAGGGCGGATTAAGTGATTTTGGGGCTCCAGGCAAAGACAGGAATGGGGCCCCCTGAAAGTACATTTTTAAAATAGTTGGGGCTCTGGGCTCTTGAGTGGGCCCATCTACACTGCAAAAGCTGGCAAGTTAAATTCTAAATGTACTCAATATATCTAATATGTCTCATTTTGAGACTGCTGTAAGAATATAAGACGTTCTAGGCACACCTGACTAATTTTATTAAGTGAAATTATCTCACTATATTGGTGGATAATTTTGCTTGTTTGAAGAAATAATATGTAAAAATAAATTCCATTTAGAGATGTATTTAGTAACTTGCAATGTATTACTTTTTTATAATTACCCCAACGCTTGAGCTATGTATACTGACAGTAACACTATGCACAGTCTGCTGCACCTGTGCGGCCCCTTTCCGAATGATAAAACAAAATCAGCTTTAGTAGTGTTGTAACAAATCTTATGCTTTTCTCACTATTTTTGCATTCCTGTGCTGTAATTGGATGACTTTTAATTGATTTTCCACCCAAAAAATACACGGAAGAACCTCCTCTCATTAATGTACATTAGCACTTAATTATCTTGTTCATAACAGTCTGTCTTTATGCAGTTGTGGCATCACATAACAGCACGGAATAGTGTGTTTAACCATGAAATCTGATCGGAAGGCACTGAAAACTTGGCAGTAAAGTGTTGTACAGAGATGAACTGAGGATAAACTGTGTTGTTTCTACCACTAGTCTCTTAAAAAACAGGAGGCGCTGCTCCAAGTACATAGTTGAAGAAAGAGGTTTTGAGGTCATTTGGGTGGCATCACTGTTTGAAGCAGTTTATTCTGCCAGTTTAAAAGCTTTGCAGAGACTGTCAGAAAAGAATCTGAAGATGTTCTAACATGACACATAAGGAATACTAAATATAGCCAAGTAAATGAATGGAAACAGGTAGGCTATTAGTTTTAATCACATTTTCATTCAGTGCTAATAACTTCATGGAATTCTCAGCACTGACATCATGTAACTTGAGCAATATCGTCCCCGTGTTGTTGACATCCACGGAAAAGACAGGGCTTGCTCATCTCTGATTTAACCCCTGCATATAGCTAAAAACAGTAGTAGCAGCCACCTTGAAAACTGACTTTCGACTTCCATTCCTTTTTTGTCGATAACTGTGTGTTAGTATGTCAAACATCTATATTCGAGATTACTAACAACTCAACATGGTTTGTGCCAAGTGTGTAATAGTTAATAGGGTCATATCTTCCATTATTTGGTAGCTTCATTAGCCTTGTAGCTCGTACTGTAAACATCAAGAAGCAAACTTTGCACAGCAAACATACCACGGCTGAGGTAAAGAGAAAATTGTGTACATTTTGCACCAAACTATTCCTTTCACACTCTCCATACCCACCTTTCTACTTTTCCAAACACATACACTAAAAGGCCCTCCTGAAGCTCAGCTGAAAGCGCAACACTGTTTCCAAAGAGAAGACAATGACCGGCTGCAGCCTTGAGATGTGATGCTCTCACATGCATATTCATGCGTATGCTGCACTGCTCCCTACTACAGCGATTATAACTACATTACATGCTCCGTGTGTGGCAAACTGTATGGGAATACCCACATTCTGATCCTCACTGATCAGTACACAGCCAGCACACTAGGAGAGAAAGCAAAACCAAGCATTTCATTCTAGAGTTTATAACTGTTATTTCAGTTGAAACATGTTATGTTTCCAGTGTTCGGCTTATAATCCTGTGCAGAGCACTTCGAGATTTTATAAGTAAAATGAAAAATTATACATACTGTCCTAATGCCCTGGTCAAATGGCATGTTTTGTCTATTTCCTAAGTGAAAATAAGTACACATCCTCTACAGGGAACAATGTGACTGACAATATTAAATATGACATTTTTCAGCACAATTTCTATTCTACTTCTATTTGTTTCACAATATTGGGAAAAAATAAGGCATACGACATATAAGGTGCCATAACTTTTACACGGGCCACATTTTATGTTTTACTTCTTTTTCCCCATGTTAAATTCAGGCCATAAACAGCATATTAAAACGAGAAAGATGTGCTCTCTATAGACTATGTATATCGCTGCTGTCGAAACAAAATCTCAACAAAAATAAAATCTTTTGCTTTTTTTTCACTTTTTGACAATTTGAAAATGCCTGTTGCTCTTTATATTGTGTGTAAATTTCATGATGAATGGACCAAAACGACATGACCCAAATTCACTTAGAAAAACGTCTGGTTCCATTGACTTACATTAAAAGTAAAGTGTGTTTTTTCCTTCTCCTGTAAAGTTATCATTGCGGAGATACAAGGTTTTGTTCCGACAGCAGTGATGTACTTATTTTCACTTATAAAATCAATAAAGTATTTATTTGACTAGGGGCGCCCAGACTTTTGCATATGACTATTAATGAAAATAATACAGATTATTTTTCTTATCATCATTATTATTAATAAACGGGAGCGGTTCGGCGCAGTGGACAGAGAATTTTACATGTTGGTCTGTGGGTGGCAGTAAAACACTACAAAAGCGTCTCAGCAGAGGAATGCAGACTGAAGGGAGGCTGTGCGTATGAGGGGGGAGTAGACTAGGGGGGCTGCACTGGTGCGTCTCTTTAGCGCACCCCATCTCTCTCAGGGGAGACAAAGATCAATAGGAACAGAAGGATCTCTACACCAACGCCGGCCCGCGCCAGCTGCACTGCTACACGGGAGGGGCGCATGCGAACTAAAACAACTCATAAATAGCTGGAGCTTTTAGTGGAAGGGCGTAATTAAAACAAAATCTACCACCCGTCGTGTCGCTAAAGTCCCGCTCAGACACCATGCTGACGACGTATACTGATGTGGTGAGCTAACGGAAAGAGAGCGAGGAGAGAGGGGAGAGAGGGGAGAGAGAGAGAGAGAGAGAGAGAGAGAGAGTGCAGGAGGGGAAAAAAGGCCTTTCCACTCCGGTGCTGCTTTGCTGTGGGAATGGCTGGAGTGAATACTGCACTTACTCATGCTTTCCAGTGGAGGGGGGGTGCTATATCATTTATTGTACACGTCAGTTGTTAATCACTGCCAGTCTTCACTCTTTCTTCTCTTTCAGCACAGGGATGGCTCTGAAATGGCTAAAAGGGCCATCCTTTCTGCACTGCTCAAATATTTCATCCTTGCCAGCGTGGCAGGGAGTACAGTGTGGGCTACACTATTGTTCATGTCAATTGTTATTCACTGCCAGGCTTTAATCTTTCTGCTAGTCTTCACTTTCAGTACTTTTATGAAGGGCTCTGTGATGATTCTGCATGGTTCATATATTATATTATTTCTATTGGAGAGGAGAGGTAAAATGCCATTATTCTCATACAATTCCAGTAGAGGCTGCACGATACCACTTATTCTTTTCCAATACCGCTACTAAAACCTTGACTATTGGCCAATACTGACAGTGGGCCAATATTCCTTCACCTTGACGACGCTTTCAAGTGAGCTATTTTTTTATTGAAGCACTTCATTTAACATGAGCATCTAAAAGTAGGCTATCCTTCAAACTACAGACTTGGATCAGATACCTTTAGGGCTGGGCGATATGACAATATATCATTATTGAGATCAATTATGTCACAATACAATGCGCTTTTCTGAACATATCGTGCATATCACCAGTACTTGTAGAACTTGTAGAAGTGCATGTTTCATTATAAAGAGAGCAAAATTAGTCCTGTTTAACTGGATTTAATGCAACACAGTATGCTAAATATTGAATAAAAATCACTGTGTTCACAGTTTTTAATAATACTTTTTATAATATAGCACTACTAGATGTTTTTTTCTCTGTCCCAACTGATCAGATGTCTAAAAGAATATATATTGTAACATATCATGTATCATGAAAAATTCTTTAAGTATCACAATATTATACGTTCGCCATATCGTCTACCTCTAGACACATTCTTGACTCAAAATTCCAGAATTTTCTGCTGATATCAGCCTGATATCCATACCCAGCATCGGACAGTTGTCATCTCTAGTTGCTGGCCTATGCTTACGAGCTCACTTCCACAACATCAACATGCATTAAGGTGTCCTAAGACATACTAATTATACTCTGACAAAATAAAACTTACATTCCGTGAATGAAAATGAAGTTTTACACTTCTTTCATTTTAATTCATTGGAGCTCATTGAGGCAAACAAATTCCAGTCATTACATTCACATGTACACTGTGTTTTCCAAAGCCGTTTTTCATTCATCCAAAAACAGGTTACAAAACACTTCTCTCCAGCATGCCATACGAGACTGCGAGGCCTACACAAAGGAATTGTGTAATAGATTGACAGGAGTTGTTTTGTATGCTAATTTGAAGCACTATTCTGTTATTGTACAAGAATGATGAAATTAGTAGGCACCACACAAGCCCCTGAAGATCCATGCTGTATAATAATGTACAAATCGCTCTGCTGTCAGTATATTATCCCAACTTACTGTTTTGGATGGTGTTAACATTATCTCTACTGAAGCTCCATACACATCTTCATTTGCTTACTATTTAAACTGAATCATGGCTTCTATTTAAGGCCTATTGATGCGTTTTTTGCAAAGCAGAGTTTCCTGACTGAGCTCTCACTAATGGAACACATGTGGCAGATTCTTCTCCTCTACAGACAGGATCAACTAAGGTTTCTACTGGCTTGGATGATGAGACTTACTTTTTCTGCCAAATCTTTTGATCCGAGGATGGCCTGTAGAAAAAGAGAAGAATAGAAGACAAAAAAGTGGTCAGATTGCTGGAAAAACACAAGGAAAGTCCCATGAAGACCCATGTAGGGTCCTTCATGACCACATACACCTACCCCCTCTCTATTGATGCCCCAAACAGAAGTCAGTCAGTGCAACTGACCTATCCATGCTCCACTCACAAATGCATGTCCTGCTGTTTGTATAAATGTATGTATCACTGTTGTCTGAACAAAATCTCCATTTTTTGTCGTTTTTCAGTTTGTGATGTAATGTGAAAGTGTCTGTTGCCCTTTACATTGTGTGTAAATTCTATGATGAATGGGCCAAAAGAAATGGCCCAGAATGACTTGGCAAAAAGTCTGGTTCCATTGACTTACATTAAAAGTAAAGAAGGTTTTTTCCTTCTCCTGTAAAAGTACCATTTTGGAGATACAAGGTTTTGTTCCGACAACAGCAACTTTTTTTTTTAAATGCAATTTTAAATAATGTTGGCACGGTGGTAAGTTTATCATCATTTCAATTCATCCTAGTTTTAATTAGCTTCAATAACACAGTCCAGCTCCGTAGTGCAGTATTTTAAACTAAAAACTCAACATTATGTAGCAAATACAAACTCATTAGGCTGAGTGGGACTTTTGCCAACATTCTGTAAAATTTGTCCAACCTCGCAACAGCTGCATTTGTGAGCAGATCAGTCTCATTTGAATTCACTGTTTCTGTGAAATAACTTTGCATCCTTTTATTCACGTCTTACAGGCTGTTCTCACATAGTGCCATTTATAGTTACCATACATGTATATCTGTGTTGCATGGACAGATTTGTTGCAGTGGGTTGCATCACTATGATAAACAGCAGAAATATGAGGAGGGCTCTTCAAGCCCTAAAACTGAGGTAAGAGAACAAGGGAGGAGAGAGGGGAGGGAAGGAGAGGGAGGGAAAAAGAGCAGAAAATAAAAAGAAAAGCAGAGAGGATGGGAAGTGATAAAGATTAAGAAGCTGTGTGCTGGAAGATGGTGTGATGTGGTGCTGGGTTGACATTAGGACTGTCACGATTACTTGATTAATCATCGGTTCAAATTTACTGTCTCATTGAGTTGGCAATGACCAGTTGGCAGTTTGCGTGATGATGATGATGACGAAGCCTATTTTAAATTCTCTTACTGCTCTCTCCTGCATTAAGAAACAGAGGCTGATGAATGCACACATTTAGATGGGCACTGAGGGCCAGTTTCCCAGCCCCAGATTAAGCTTAAGCCAAGATTTTCCAATGGTGATTCACCATTGGCACGGCAATTTAGTGCAAGACTAGGCTTAATCCATGTCTGGGAAACTGGCCCCGAGTGTTCTTATATACTTTTAATTAAATCTTTTTAAAGGCTTCCTAGTTTATCGTTTTCCAAACCTTTGAAAGGATCTGCATTTGTTCTTGTTGTTCGGTTAAGTCCATTTTTATTGTTCATATTTACTCAATGAATCATCAAAATAATCAGTATCAACAGAGCATATATTACAAATATGATGCATAGTTGACATCGCCCATATATTTCCTAAAAAATGTTATTGCAAAGTAGATAAAGGTAGGCATTGTGCATGGCAGTTGTTACTCAGTGCCAGTCTTTACTCTTTCTTCATTCTTCAATTTCAGTATATTTATGGAGAGCTTTGAGATGCTTAAAATGGACATACCTTCTGCATAGCTCAAATACTTTATTCTTATTTTCAAAAGTTGATAACGTGCCTATTACATCACTTGCACAGCATTAAAACATGTATTAAAGTGTCCTTAGATGCAAAAAGTAGATTTTGACTACCTAAAACATACATTTTGATAGTAAGAGAATGAAACTTTCCATTTCAGCCACATTATTGTGATTTGGCCCAAATACTGTTTTATTCACCTGACAACAAGTATACACCTGCAGTTTATCATCATTATGATACATGCTTCCACTATCGACACATCATTAATTGCAGTGTTGACAGAAGGAATCAAATGACACAAGCGCATAGAAAAAGAGTGATGTAATTTGGCGCAATGTCAGAGCAGTGGTATGCTTTCCTGAGCTGGACTCAAACCATGAGAGCGAAACATAGCCATTCTGCTATAGAGCCAATTACAAATTAGGCACAAAGTACTCTCTCTAACTACAAGCCTGTAAAAATACTTCAAACGTAATGTTTGTTGTCAAATTCAGTGCTGCGTATAAACTAAAGCAGTAATGGCTACTGTTACAACAAATGTGCATTACCATAAGGAGGTTTTTAAGGAATTGCATATATATTTCAACATTTGCAGACCTGTGTAAAAAAGCGGACTAATTTTCTAACAGCCTTATAATGCAAAATCTTAGTTATAATCATTGCACCATCCAACAACTTACTGAACATCATATTTTATGAACATAACGTGCGGGACTACATTTAGGTGCCATAAAATGATACCCACTTTCTCTTACAATAAGGATATTTTTGCCTAGCTGCTTTTGGAAAAATAGGCCCAGGCTGGCTTTGCAGAAAACAACCAGGTAGAAGACATGCGCTATAATGACAAAAAAGAAAAAGAAAAAGAAAAAAAAGCTCAATACCTAATCTCCAGTTATGCCTGCAGGACCAAGTAACATATTAATGGGCCAAGTAAAGCAACACACACGCACACAAACTCTGCAGCAGACAGAGACAGAGCACACAGCAGGAAAGTTGTCCACACAGCTCCAGGCATGCACAAGACTGAAGAAAATTACAGTGACCTGTTCCAAACGCACTAGCGTGGAATGCAGGCATTAATAATGCAGGCTGCTTTGTTTAGGCTTTGTTTAGGCTGGTTGTGCCGCTTGCTGATGATGTCACTCATGCAGCCGTGGCAATGCAACGCTCCGCCGTATGAGAGGAGGGGGTTAATGCATCAGCACTGAGGTTCTATCAGCCACCAGCACACTGCTGGAACTCATTAACCCCCCTCCCCACACATACACGTGTGCATAAACACCATGTGCCACACAACACAGGCTGCTCTGCTGCACTACAGCAAAGGAAGTGTGTCTGTTCTCCAGGTCAAACTGCTGCTGACGCTGTGTTTTTTACTTCTGAAATACCAGTACTTAACCTTCACTTTCAGCCAGAGTTAACACTTAGAAGTCAGTGCGTTAAAATCATGGTGTAGTTCTATATAAATTATTTCTCACTCATAGCTTAAGAGAAATTCTCAAAAAAGTGCAGATTCTAAGCTCAAATTTATGTCTGTAAGTGGGTTTATGAGGAATAAGGCTTTTAAAGTGATCATTATAACAAATCTTTTTAAAAATGACAAATGATTTGCATTTTTGTATCTGCAACAATCTTTCCAATCTATTCAAACTATGGCCTCTTTTCCACTGTCCAGCCAAATGGTTCTCATGGCCGTACCGTGCCGTTCCGTGCTGGCCCAGACTCGTGAGACCAGTTACGGTCGCTAAATTAGAACCCGGGAAATATTGAAGAAAATTACACAAGCAAGTGGCTAACTGCTAACAGGCTAATAGCTACACACACACCACCCAATACAAAACCTGTTTGATTCCGTCTGTCACTCCAACACCAGTCTCACAGCAAGCGCTCATCTTCATTATCCTCTGAACGTGTGGTATTTGTGCATCAGTTACTGAAATTGAGCCTGGAGCGCAGTGGGTTTCACCTATAGCTGACTAACTATACTAGCATTAGCGTCACCCTCAGCTTTAGCTCAAAGCACCTGTTTCTTACGCAGCAGTTTGCTGGAACCAAGTGTGTACTACCATGGGAGGCACCATACGCTCATGTGGCAGGCTAAAAACTCGACAGAGCAGGTTCAATTTTGGCTTTCTACCACTCCAACATGAACCAATTGACTTTGCTCTTGTGATAGCAGAGCACCAGTTAGTCGAATCGAAACTGTACTGGGGTGTTTGGATCTCTTTAGTGAAGCTAAATTAGCTAGAGGAGAGGAAGGTTTCATTTCAGCTTTATATTCCTGACACCAGCCACTCGACTTCTTTTCCTCAGATTTGGGTCATTATTATCTAAACTTGCATTAGTAAAGCTTCTGTTAGAGTACTTCTGTTACAGAGTGAACTGAACTTGATTGTGTTCAGGGTTGAAATAACGCAGCAAGATGGTAGAATACCAATGTAAACGTAGAACCAATCAACAGACAGCTAGCCATGCCTAAAAAGACGTGCTGAGCCCAGTTTTAACGTGTTCCATGTCAAACTGTGCCCGTCTGGAAAAGCCACTGGAACGGTTACCCTCCATGCTAATTGGAGAAGAAAGTGGAAAAGAGGCCTATGATATGTGTTTCTTAGCTTTTATTTATTTATATTTATTTATAATACATTTATTTATATTTACTTATACTAAATAAATAAAAATATATCAATAACAATTTCATGGTTTTCTTGGTCACACCACCTGACTTGGTAAACTGAACTTGTCTAATTATGACTCAAAAATTTCAATTTTGTCAATATTCATGAATAGGCCTTGCCATTGCCCCATGAAGGTCGCCTGGGGTCTTCTTTATGATGCATCACCATGGCCACCCTGCCCTTTGCTGTTGGTTGCGCCATATGACATTTGAGGAAATCACAATATACAGACAATTTTTTTTTTTATTATTTGAATACTTGTAAAGCTGCCCTATTTTGCAATATTCTATGATTCTGAATGTTTCAAATATAAAATTATGCAATTTTATAGAATTGAATATGACTAAATGATCCTTTTAATAGTTAACCTAATCTTCATATGCAGTTGGTTGGTCGCTCTACCTGACACTTTTAGACTTTGGGAGGCATAAATGCCCAAAATGGATTTTATTTTATAGCACTGAAAATGTATTCACATAAAGTAGGTATTAAAGAATACTGTGTTACACATTTTTTCTATTATTTAAAAGGTAAATAATGCAGTTGGACACAAAAAATGCACCGCATGTCATTGAATCAAGTAAAAGAGGAGATAATCAGATTGAAATAATTTGAATTTTAA